ATATTAGATGGAATAATTTAATCTAATTTTCCTTCCACTTAACTTCCAAGGGCTCTTGTAAAACAACAAATCCCACCATAATGAAAAAGAATTTTTTGCAAATGCTGATGTTATTCTCTGTCCTAGAGCTCTATGCTTTCTTTGCAGAGCCTTGTCTCTTTTATGCATGTAAAAATCTGGAATAATTTCCAATAGAGTCAGAGGACTTACTGCAGAATTAGATGTCTTTAAATAAAATCTGTTTGGAAATTAGAGTTTATAGCTTACTGGGTAAGTAAAGGGCAAAGTTATTTTCAAATGTTTATCTCTGAACATAATTACAGTATAATAATTTACCTATCCTTAGTTAATATTTTTTGAAATATTTCAAAATCTTTTTTTTAAATAGTAGAATGATAATTATACAATGATAGAAGATGACCTGAGTGCTTGAACAATTTTTTGAACTCAGGCTAGAAATTTTCACTGAATTTTAAACCCTTAAATCAATATTGTGCAATTTCTACATAACTTTTAGAAAAACTCATCAAATAATATAATGAGATTAATCCATAAGCAACAGGGGTATCTGTTCTGTTGTAAATAGGAATTAATTTGACTATACACCTAAGCAGAGGTGTTTTATACAATTATTTTAACAGCAACTCTATTTAGATGATAATTAAATATGCATTTAATGAAATCTCCCAACGTCTGTAAGAGGAAGGCTCTTGTAATGTTTACTCTATTAACGTCTGTTCTTGCAGTCCTCCCAAATGACATCAACTGCAGTATTTCTATATGTAGCAGATGTCAAAGGGATCCAGTAGTCAAAAGTTCAGCAAGCCTGGGATGAGAAAGCTGTAAATGGCATATAGTACATGGGTCCTAATGACTTGCAGTTTAGTGCATGACAGATCAATTTTATATGTGCTGTCCAAGGTGTGAGGGAGGATTTAAGCAATTCTATGTGAAGGATAGAACCACATGAAAGTAGGATGAGAGAACTGGGGTTTCTTGCTTTTTTTTTTTATTTTTTTCCCCCCCCCGAGAGGAAAATATTCTGTGTCCGTTTTAGCGCCAGATTTATCATTTCAACTTGTTCAACAGCATTTTAGGAAAACAGCTTTGCAAAGCAGGACCCCCTGATAAGCAGGTTAAAAGCTGTAAGCATTAGGATCAGCCAGTGCTTCTATAGTACTAGACTCCTCTTTGGTTAATACGCTAAACTGTTGACTTACAAGTGGTGAAACATTCAGTATAAGTCAGTTCTTGTTGCTCTGAATGGGTGAAAGGTGATTTATGGCCTTTTAATCCAAACTTTAAGTCTGCTTTCTCCACTACAGAAGCATAAACCTATTTTTCCTGCACAGTACACACTGCTGGTGTAAACCACAGCAGCACTGCTCTGCTTTCACCTCTCTTCTGCTATGCTTTGGAGATTAATCTGCAACAGGGGATGTACAAATCTGACATGAACTGCTAAAGCTAATCTTAAAATGAGCAATTCATGGACAGAACACTGTTTCCTAAATTGCGTGAATGAAATACAAGAGTTTTGCACTCTCTCTGAAAGAAAAGGCTCCACTCCTACAGTGACTGAGATGGCTGTTAAGGCAGATTGTACTCTCTTGAATTTGCACTGAAAACCACGTGGCCAGCCCAAAAATGAGACTGACAATAACAAAAGAATAAAAATAACAAGATAAATATCCTAACCTTCATCCCAACCTGGGAACTTTAAAAAGGTCAGGGGGACAAACTCCTATGCGCTATTTCTTCAGTAGAAGGGTAGCCCTAAGAGATCTAGTGCTTCTCTCTGTTTTAATGCAATCTTTGATCGGAGAGCCTCAATTTTTAGCTTTTCCTGGCAAGGTGGGTGTTACCAAACAAGGCGACTAAATAACTTGCCCAAAGATCTAAGGCAAGACTATGAAGAGATCCCTGTTGCCTGGCTGTAACTGCACTGGCAGTTCTTTGTTGTGGTTTTGCTTATTTCCACTTGTCTAGCTGATTTCTTCCACTGCAATCAACTATCTCATTATACATCCTGGACCTGTCTGCCCAGGTGAGAAAGCAATGCCTTTCAAAAACACTGGGCTTTTTTTTTTTTTTCTTAAAAAATGAACAAGTTAGTGAGCCTGGGATGAATGAATTGCAATAGCTACATGTTAAAAAGGGATGCCAGAGCATATCAGCCCAGATCTGCCATTTGTAGGTTAAGCAGCAAGGTGCAAAGCAGACAGTCAACTTGAAGTCAAAGAGAAGGATCTTCTTTCGGTTACACTTTTTTAAACTGTCTAAAATTCTTCCAATAGTCCCAGAAAAAAAGGATTTTTAAAGCAACTCTCCATTGACTTCAGTGCAGCGACCAGGTGTAGCTGAAGGCAGATCTCAGTGTTTCAGGCTTCAGCCCAAGCTGTGGGTGCTCACAGGGCGACCCCTTAGTCCAGTGGTTTCCATCCTTTTTGGATTTGGTCCTTCCACTGGATCAGCAAATTCCCATAGTGTGAATTTAAACCTAATGACAAGAAGTTTTGTCTGTTGGATGGTGGACCATCACTGACTGCAGGTCAGGGCTCATAAACCACTGTACTAATGGTATCCCAAATTGTGACAGTTGGTTTGGTTCAGTATTAAAAACAGTATAGAAAGGAAGGAGGATAAAAACTAAAACAGTTGCAACTGAAACCCCTTGGGTGCCTCAGGAGACTGACAATAGTAATTTTGCAGAACCAACGATAAATCAGGTAAAACTTAGACCCGCCGTGCAGGTGAGCTAGGAAAAAGACACAGTATCTATTTTCTGTTGTAATAGTACCACACAGCAGTAATGTTGTCCTCTTGGTGAAGTTACAAATAATCTCATATTCACAAATGGAAAGGATTGTAAGGATGGAAAGAGAAAGCCTTCATGAAATCCATCCGTCCTCCAGTTCTTTGTCAGATGAACCTGATTTTTCCATAAATCAAGGCTGGTTATTGATTTTCAAGAAAGCAACAAATTTCCTCCTCGGTCAAGTGCATTATGCCAAATGCATCCCTGATGCAATTCTGCTCAGAACAACCCTCTTACTCCATGGATGATCCTGCACTTTGTTCCGTTGGCCCGAAGCAGCTCTCCCTGTTTCGCCCTGGGGGTGACTCAGGGATCTCTCTCCTTCCCTATTACCAAGTTCAAGCAATTGCACATCATGGATCAAAAACTATTTCAAAACATTTCTGAAGCTTCCAGGAAAACTCCAATTATATTTCTTCAACCAAGCTCATGAAATTTTTTATTTAGGATTGCGGGAATAACAGCACATGAGTAATTCAAGGCTGAATATACATATTTGCAACCCCAAGAGCTGAACAATGCTCCTACTACTGTTTTACAGCCCTTATTTGTTTTTATAATATCTTCTGTCTTTATACAAGGGAATTTCATCAAGATAAGCAACCTAACAGTAATTTGTTTGTGCTCCTCTACATCCTGCATAACACTTATTTTTCTCTCTTTAAGGCATAGCAAGGACAAAGCATTCAAGTACTTCAAGATTTATCCTGCTGAAACAATTATAGTGTTGCTATACTAACAGCACTCTCCCTGTAATGCTTTTGAATGATTTGATAGTACTCTGGGAGAGGACTACAGGGAAAGCAAGCATAAAAACAGGACAAGCAAGTGCATAGATCAGGGTACGAATCTGAATAGCTGATTGTGCCTGAATCCTCTTAATGTAGTAATACAACATTAGTGTCCACAGAGCGCCCAAAGGTCCATCCAGACCCGGACCCTGTCTCAGACAGGGCCAACAACAGAGGCCTGTGGAAAACGATGAAAAAAATCCAAGTGGAGTACCATTTTCCCTGAATATTTCTCTAGACTCCAGTCATTTGTCCTCAGCAGCTTCTTGGGTCAGAATGCTTTCGTATTTGATGGCTCTTAGTGAATATTGATAATAACAATGATCACCTGTCAAAAGCACACTTGAACCCCAAGACAATGTAAAAACACCGAAAATGAGGAAAGAAGGTTCTATAGACGTTGGCTAAACCTCTGCCTTTTGTTGGTCACACAATCTGGGAAAGCTCTCTGGCATCAAGGCTTGCTGGCATGGAGTGGCCCATGACTATCCTAGTCCTCTCTCTCACCCTCCAAAACATCAAGCTATCTATTATCTTTTATAGATGGTCCTTTGTATTATCTCCTGGACTGCTGCTGGGCCAGCCAAGGACACTTCTAAGATGTACGAAGAACCGATTTCCTATGCCAGCAAATGTTCTTTATGCAGATGTAGCCACTGATTTGAACTCGGTTGAGATGGGTTTATAGAAGGCATGTCTAACACACTGCTTGTGGAAATCCCTTTGGTAAGAAGGTAACTTTAGGCAGTCACATCCAAACGGTGTTAAGAAAGAGATGTGGTTTTGGATGGGTGTAAAATCAGTTCTTTTCACCCTACCAATTCAGGTGAAACATGCTGAAAAAAAAAAGGAGTAGACTCTATGACTATGTGGTGTGTAATAGTTGAACGGTCCTAGATAATGGATGAACTAATATTGCTCAGGATATACTGCTGTCAATTCTGCTTTCTCAGTCATTCCAGATGGTCTTCAGTGGTATTTCAGAAATGATCACAATATGCCTGCAGCTTTATTTACTGGCTCCTATTTTTTCTCAGCAGTATGTAACTCACGTTCTGTCAGGCTGACACACATTTTCAAGTATTTGAACAGGAATAGAAACATTTTTCTTGCACTAGTGGGGGTGTGACATACCCTTCATTTGCTCCTCCTTTTTCATATAATGCATTTATGAGCATTATATGATGAAGTTGATTTTCCAGGCTGGGAAATCAACAGATGGTGATGGGTATAGAGCTGAGCTGCAGTATACCCATACACATCTTGATAGACATACAGATACGTGTACACCAACAATCAACATGGATAAGATGGCGAATATACTCGATCCTCAGTGAGGTGGTTTTAGAGTAATTCACTGACATACTCACAGAGCTGTTCAAGGTTCATACCTTCTATGGTAATGGCTTGGTCTCCTCTCCTCTCCTGGGTCAGGGCTGCAGCACTGTGATGGTAAAGTTCTGCTCCACTTTTTGCAGACCCTAATCTGTTCACCAGCTAAAGAGAATCATGCAGGACCAAATGAAACACAGGATGCGTTTTGTATAATCAAACCTTCCTATATTACATTACAAATTTGTTGCAATCACATGACAACAACAATGGATGAAGATGTGACCCCAAACCAAAGCTAGAGTTTGAACTTGCACAGACAAGTTACAGCACATCAGCTAAATCACAGTTATTTTCAGTTTGCTCTGCAGCCTGTGGCTTGATCCTGAGGTAGCTCTGTCTACCAACAGGCACAGATTCCTGCTGTATGCCATTTAGGTGGAAATTAAAGAGGGTATTTTGCTAATCATCCATTAATCTGCCGAGTTTTACCCAGCCAAAGGAATACTGGACCTTGGGATCTTAGCTAATGGCAAATGTAAGGTAATCTGTTTTTGCTAAAATTCCAGCAGAAGTCTTTAAATTATTTCAAACTTCCTAGACATTTCTGTGGAATAACTGAAGTTGCTGTGAGCTGAGCTGTTTACCATGGGTCAGCTGACCCGGGCTAATTTCCTAAACCAAGGTTAACTGTTTTTATTGCCAAACCCTGAGAGCTTATTACTATTTTATCACAATGAGTATATAGACTATGACTAATCTTTGGAAAATATTTTACAGTACATTTATTAGATACTTCCACATATGCTTGCTAAATAAAAAGGGATTTCAGTGGTTTATACTTCTATTTAGACTTGATTTATTTCTCTTGGCTCTGGATGGTTGCTTTGTAGCAGCATGAATCTGTCTTAATTTAAAGATAGTCCAGAAACAAAATGTCATGTCAGAATGGTCCTAAACTAGGTCCTAAAAGATCAGCATATTCTGAAGCTTTTGGACGTTCACAATCCAGATCTAATTCAGAAGAACCTGACTTTGTATAACCTTTTTTTATATGGCAGGCAGCAGCAGTTACTCAGCCTTTAATCTCATGCAAGGGATCTCTCTCAGTAAAAAGAATTCTCCTACCTATGTCATGTCAGACAGAAGATCTTTAGCTATCTCTGAACTTACCTCACATTCATAGTGTCCCATATCTTCATTGGAAGGGTTCTTGACCACCAGGACTATTATGCCACTTCGTGGTTCGCTGAAAGTCTGGTATTTACTTGTGTCCTTCAACAGTACACCATCTTTGTACCATCTGCATGTGGAAAAAACTGAGCATAAGCCCGGAAAAAATATGCAATGTCAAGAAGTCTCCAGCTCACTAATCTATCTGTCAGACCAGTGGGCAAACAATTCAAGAGTTGATCATTAGACAAACATTTGGATGCTGGAAGGTAGGTCTACATGAATAGATCACACATGGATACAACTGCATAGGTTTATGATATTCTCAAGAAATCTCATCAGTCAGTGCAGAGAAAAGGGCTTCAAATCATGAGGAGATATGCTGAGCTTTTTGTCAGAATACCCCATACTCGTTGCTGATAAATTCAATTCAGGTGTAAGGCAGACAGGATAAAGAAATGTTATAGTGTTGTCAGGGCATTAGATCTGATACAGTCCTACGTCAGGAACTATCTGTAGGCATTTATTGTCAGATGCTAGATAGAATAAATTTCTGAGAATCTCAAGAATGTTCAGATCAGGAAGAGCCGGCGTCGGGATGGGGTTAATGTGGAAGACACAGAGAAGAAAGGGTCATAACCTTGAAAGAAAGGGCAGGAGACTCTTCTGACCATGAAAATTTTGGGAACAGGATCTGTTCCAGTGTCACTTGAAGAACTGACCTGATTTGAGGCCTGGGTGCTCCTTCGATAGTACAGGTAAATTGAGCATCTTCACCCTCGACAAAATAAGCATTTCTAACTTTGTTCACAAACCGTGGTGGCACTGCAAAGCAAAGATAAAAGTAGCTAGTAAGAGAAAATATGATCAGACTTGAGTCATGTGTCCCTGACCAGATAATTCTCATGATGTCTCCATACAAGACAGTAAACACCATTTTTTTTTTTTGACCTATGAACAATTGACTGCACCTGTACATCAAATAACTTTTTAGAATATTATGCAGGAGAAGTTATACAGAAATTCTGGAGTATCTTAACATTCATGTTTAAGGTATTACATAGCAGACCCCTTTAAGACCATGTATCTTTGCAGAACTTTACCTTGAACAAGGATCTTTCCTAAGGTACTGGCATTTCCAGCAGGACTGGAAGCAAAGCACATGTACTGTCCTGAGTCAAGACCCATTAGGTTGTCCAAGATCAGTGTGCAGGAACCATCAGGATCTTCTATTATAATGTGATGGGGATCCACCTCCACAGGCTTTCCATCTTAAAGACAAAGAGAAAATTATTTTGAAATAGCTTAGTATCAATTATGTTTTCTCCATGGGAATTTCATCCATCTTTTCAGCTTGAGAGCACCTAGAGCTGTATTTGCTGTATTGCAGCTGATGTTGGTAGTTGAGGAATGAGCTCTTCATCTTCGTCCTACAAAACTTCCTATGGGCAAAACATTGTTGAGGGACCTCATACAACATCAGTCCACATTTAAAAGTGAAATTGTCCCAGCGTATGTCCTGTGCAGTCATAGCTCTTATTTGCTAGCCAAAGGAACACCTCCAAAGTGGCTGTAAACACAGAGAACTGATCTTTGAGGCGTTGAACACATAGCAAAGCTGTTTCCTCTGCAATACAGTAATGCTGGGGAAAAGAGCATGTGCACACAGCTACCTGTGCTATGACAGAGAAATATCTGAGCTAGTTCAAACAAGTTGTTCATTGACTAGTTGACTAACTGCCACAAGGCATGGCTTCATACAGGCTAATAGGCAAACCTGAAAAAGAAGGGTATATTAACTCATAGGAAGATCTATGTTACTTGGGTTGCTTAGTAGCTAACTTTAAGACTAGACTTGAGTATCTCTAAGTGGTCAGCTTTTAGATTAGCCATTGACCAATTAGCACAAAGCAACATAAGCAGAGAACAAATCTGGAGGATGCGTTTCATGACTTGATGCTCATACCTTTGTACCAGCTGACAGATGGCTTGGGAGCTCCCGTAACTTTGCAAGCCAGCTTGACTGTCTCTCCCAGCTCAGCTGTACAGTCCGCCAGTTCTTCCTCAAAGTCTGGAGGGACTGAAAAATCAGAATAAACATGTTAGTCTGGAGGACAGGGGCTCTGTCCATAAGATGGCTACTGAAAATTAAGAGTAAGTATAATTTTTGCAAATATGCGAACTTCAGTATGGAAAGCTGAACAAGAAATCTTAGCAGCTATTGACCTTCTAAGTGACATGCTGTCCTTACTTCTCTGAGACTAAATTCAATCTGTGAAGTGTCTGCTGTTAGCTATAAAGATGAAGCATAAAAAAATGGGACTTGTTGCTGATATGAAAGTATTTTAGGCCATGATTTTAATAAGCATGTCCATTATTCAGACACCACACAGCTGTCACAGTTAAGATAATTCCTCCATTCAAATGGACTCTTGATACCCAAACTAGTATTCTATTGGTCTCATACTATAAGATCTATACTTTGTTAAGGGACTTCTATTTTAATTTATTACTACCATATGAAACTGTGCAATACTATTCTGATAGTCTTCCTCATTAGAACACCTCACTAAAAGCACAAAAATAAAATGGTCAGACTTTTTTTCAGTGTATACACTAAACCAAATTCTGTTCTGGAATTTTAAGGTGCCAACTTTCCTTACACTGTAAAGGGCACCATTTGTAGCTTATACCTGGACAATAATGATCTAATATCCCTGCTGATAAATTTTGTGGAAAGAAAATTGGTGGAATCTCAACTGACAGTGAGGATGAAGCAGCCTCAATGACAAGATAAAAATCCAAAGCAAATCCATGTGCTCAGGTACAGCAATGTGAGCCAGAAGCCTGGAGTGGAGGATTTGGTACCCAACAAAGTCACAGGAGATCTCTATACTGGTATCAGTGGTCCTGAGAAAACTTTTCCCACTGGAAACTAATGCTCTTCATGCAGTGGTCCAGGGCCTTTGTCGCCAAATTCTGTGGTCATCTACCCTTCTGCAATCCCTGCCAGATCTAATGCATCTCTAGTGCCCACTCTGCAATTTGTGTTTTAGAAGTTTCAATAATGTGTTTCTTGTCTCCAGCGACACACATTTTCTGGGCTATTTTGCTGGAAAATAACATCCTCTGCTTATTGACAAAAATGTAGAAATGTGAAGACAGGGAACCGAGCAATCACTTCAGTCTCCAACCTTGATCCCCCACCAAAGGCAACACACATCAGTGGAAATGTCTAGGGATAGCCAGCTCTTCTCAGCTCATCAGCCTGTGTTTTCCACACTTGGGTTACAGGCATTGAAGAGCAATTAGAAAGTTACACATCTGCTCTCCTATTGCCTCAAAACCTATACAGGTCCTGTGGGACCTCTGTTATGTAAATTTAATCACTCCAGTGAGATGCAGTCCTGGATCCCTTGATCGTAAGTGGAGAGTGTCAAACACCGTTGTCCCATCCTGATAAAGATGCCTTCCCCAGCTCAGGTGAAGGACCTACCACTGCTATAATCATTCCAGTTAAAGCTTACTGCATCCTGTCAAGTCACATGAGTTGTTATTTACAGAAGTCTGTTATGTGATTAAAGGAAAACCTCTAACTCTAGTTCAGTTTAAGAGGTGGCAAATGATCCTAGATGGTTTCTCTCCCAGTTTTGCGGATCTCTTTCCTGAATCAGGGAGACCAGCCAAGAAAAATCAGGAGGTTTGACCTATCTCGGGCCATACTCACTCCAGACAGGCTCACTGATCCGCTGCTGTATGCCACAGATCTCCTTCACCCAGGAGTTCTTGATAATTACTGTGCGTGCCTGAAGGAGGTACTTGCGGACCAAGTCTTCCCGTTCGTGCCAGATCTCAAATGCCCGGTCATCCCCTTCCACAAGGTCGTTCACATCTATGTTGTTTAGCTGCGTGACAGAAGGAGGACAAAAAAGTGAAAACACATCCTGTGTTCTAAACTTCAGCCAGAACCTTTCCCACAACTGAAATCCAAGGGTTTAGGACAGTTCAGAACTGGGCCTAGCCTTTGTGAACCAGAACCATCTTCAATCAATGTGTGAAATGGAAACAACTATTGAATACCTGCAAGTCTCCTGCTACCAGTGCGTACCCTCTTCAGTGGACATGAGTTGTGACATTCCCATTAAAGCTATATTAGATTCTCTAACAGCAAGAGGCATAATTTACACCACTTTTAAAGATTTTTCAGACTGCATGAGCAATGCAACATGGTTTTGGCTGAACAGCAATCAGGGTCACTCTGCAATCCTTTCCCTGGTATATATGACTTTCCAGTTACCATACAGATATTTTCCTGGGAGTAATTATCATATTTCAGGAAAAAAACATCCCACGCAAACCCTACAGTGCAGCACTGTTGGACCCAGGGACATCACAATTAGAGACTGCGAAAAGAAATTACAGAGCAGACACTCTCCAGACAAAGCATCCTTTTTCTTTTTTTTGGAAAGTAAAATCTGTCTGTCAATGCCAGTGAGGACAGAGATAAAGACTTTCAAAAGGCCCTGACTGGGCTTGGTCAAGAACTCCATGGGGTTTTTGTTTGTTATTTTTACCAGAGTTGAACATTTATTGCCTTGGGAAAACTCTCTGAAATCTCTCGCAGTTTTAACCTGAGTACTGAATGTCTGAAGATGAGCTGGTCAAATCCTCTGAATTTTTAATTTCTAAACAGAACTGGTGCCAGGAAAGAACATAACCAGCAGAGAGAACCACAGAGAATGTAACATATGTCTAAACCAGCATTTCCTCCAATTTAATACCAACACTGCAGACTGCCAAACCCAAAGATCTACAAATGCTAGCAAATACTATAGGCCACAAAATATCACATACTTATGCAGTTAACTCAGTGATCTAATAGATGAATCAACACTTGCACATGTAGTCTCATTATTGCACTGTGAAAATCCACCCATGTTTCTAATATTTTCTGACAGATTTAACAGAGAAATTTGGGAGAGACATATATTCTACTTGTGCTTCAGAGGCTTTCAGAAACAAAGGAATAGCTCAAAAAGATTAGTGAAATATCCCATTTAGATGACCAGAAGCTGGATATAAACATGAAGTTATCAATGATGGAAAAATACTCTAGGTAAGGATATAATGATCAGACCTTCATGATGTTCTTGAAGATGTAACTGTAGGTGTCTGTCTTTGTGTCTCGCTTTGGTTTGCAGATCACAATGTAATTTTTGAAGAGGAAGACATGTCTTTTGTGTCCTTTCCATGCCATTCTAGCTCCTGGAGCTCCTTCCCAGACAATGAAGTGACCCTGATAGGAGAAAGATTACATAGTGATAACTCTGGAATAATTACGACAATGATGTCTCACAATCATTTTTGCAGTGAACAGATAACAAATGTTTACATTGTCACTTTGTGTGTCTGCTTTATTACAGCACAGCAGATTGTTTCTAATGCTAAAGGCGATGCATCAGACTGACAGCACCAACAGATGCACACAGTAGTTGTCATTACTTTGACCTTTAAATGGTATTCTTTGTTGCCAGAAAAATACACAGCTCATGTCAAGCAGGCATACTGCACCGGTACTAATGATAATGGAAAATTATATCCTGTGTGTTATACGGACCCTTTATGCGTTCACTTGGTCTCCTCACCAGAGCAGGACATCCATTTCACATACCTTCAGACATATACAGCTCAGTTAGTGACATGAGTTCCCCCTGGAATCATTAGGGAGAAGTAAGTGCTCTTGGGATGTGATTCACTGGTGGAGGGAGATGTCTAAATGTGGCTAGATGAGTCCCCACTGAAGTGTCTCACTATCACTGCAATTTAGCCTTACAACTCCACTCAGCAATACACTGTGATTCTCATACAGAGGACATAAACAGGCAGAGTAAATTACTTGTCCAGCATGACACAGTAAGTCTACAAAGAAACATGAATTTGAGTAAGGGCGTTGAAAGTCCTAGACTACTGTTGCAATAGATGGGTCACCTTTCCTCTGTGCTCCTAAAACACACATCTGTTCCATGAAAGAGACCTGGAGAAGAACATGGGTCTCTTAGAGACCTCTCTCCACAGCCATGGGAGAACATCCATAAAGTGATCTAATGTTTTCACATGGAGCATATGCAATATATACTATGCTACTTTGTACTGACATCCCAGTAAATGAGGCTCTTCAAAAGAACTGTGTCAAATGGAAACATGTAGATTGAAAAGGCTCAGTGAGCTTCTAACACCTGAGGAATCAACAGGAAAATCCACTGATGCCAGTAATTTCAGGAGTTGGCCCATGTAGCTTGCCAATAATAAACGAGGTAGAGATAAAAATTAAATGTTTTAAAATCATGTGGGGGCCTAGTACATATTGTTCCCATTTGATGAGCAGGTTGGAAAGGCAAATAAATACATTATATGTGAATTGCTCCATAAGCATGTATGCTCTGCTTCTTCTAACCTTAATCAAACCATGAGATCCATCTCTGAACTGTAAGAAAGGCAAGGAGCTAATACTCTCTCTCAGATTTGATTTCTAAAAGAGCTTCATGTAGGACCTAAAGCTACTTAGAAACTAATGAAAGCATGCATAACACCAACACTGACTGAGAGATTCCAGTTACCTGTCGGATGGGTTCACCAAGGCTTTCCAAGGTCCCTGGATAATTCTCAATGAGTGACACATGGAGGTTGTTTTCTGCTCTTCGGGTGAGTGCAGAAACAATGGCATAAGCCTGCTCTAACAAAGTGCAGTTTTGACTATTTCTTGCTTTGTTTCGGATTAATTCCTGTAGATGATGAAGAAAATGTTACTGGGCAGTCAGAGAAAAAGAAGTATATATTTCCCTGATAGCTGAAGAGTTTCTCAATATCTGTTCCAGCTTTTTCATCAAAGCAACTTTTATCCCATTCTTTCACCATGTGCCACTTAGCTACTAAAGTCTCCTCTTTCTTATCCATTCTGCAGCCTCATTGACTAACCAGTCTGGCTTTTTCTTACGGCAATTGATATTAGACAAAGACAAAGTTGAAGCAAATACCAGATATGCTTCAGTGATTGAAAACCAAAAACCCCCAGAGCAATCCCAAATGTATCCATTGAATTTCTCTTGTGTTTTTTCCCTGGGGATACCATAACGCAAATAATTTATGTGGCAATGCTAATCTAAGAGTTTCTATTAGATTAAAAACAAGATAGGATGGAAAAAATATGAAATGGCAGTTATTCTTTTCTTTAATGTTTGTTCCTGTTCCTCTCTGAGTAACGAAGGCATGCTCACTCTCTTTTCCAAGAGGCCCTTTAAAATATTTGTGTTTTGTGTGCAGGCAGCTGTTCAAAATTAGAACATTGACTTGAACATTCTTCAAACTATTCAAAGTGCTACTTCTGTAATGCTAGGAAACAGAAATATTTTGGCAGTCTTCTTCCTGACTATCCTAGTGCTATTTCCCATTAAAAATACCATTAAAAAAATGCTAGTTTGAAACTTTCATTTGTGGTCTGGGCTAGAACCTGGGATAGTAGGAGAGATGAAAGATTGAAATGTGAACCATTTCAGGATGGTAGAATGGGCAAAGCTTTTCATAAAACAAAAATTTAATTTTACTATAATGTCAGTATAAAACATGAGAGAAGCTGGTAAGTTAATATCTTACACATTGGTAATTGCTTATTTTTATAACATACCTGCTGCTGAGTGTGAAGCAAATTCATACTTGTCTTGGATATATACAGACAGTTATTCATATATATATATGTATATAAGCATATATTTTTATATATGTATATGCATATATTTAAAGATCATTCAGATAAAGCTTGCTGAATTTTATGGGGTTAGAGCCTGTGAACCTCTACCTGGATTTACATTTACAAAACTATTTAGGGGAGCACCATCACTGGTGTTGATTACTGTCTTACCCAAGTAGCTTTCAATTGTAGTTGCATCAGAAGAAAGCCAAGAAATATGAAATCAAAATAAAGTCTTTTTCTATACAAGCCGTGCAAGGAAGAACATAAACCTATCAAATAAAAGCATACAACCAAAGTTCTTCACCTTGATTATAGTCTGATACTGCTGGATCTTGTTTATGGGTTTTTCCAGGTAGTGCTGCAGTGGTGGGATAAGTGGCTGTGAGGGATCTTCGTTGGTTAAAATTTCGTCTGTGTATCTCTGAAAAATGTACAGAGAATAATGAGGAAAGGTTGTTATAAAGAACAAAAGAAAAGATTACTCCCTGGAAAATGTTCATATGATGCTGGCTCATAGACCTACCTCAGCCAAAACTGAATAGCTCTACCAGACCTTACTACCCGGTATTTTGGACATATGTAATTCTCACCCTTTCATTACCAGGTAGTTATTATTTTATTATGAAATGCTGAATTTGTCTGCTTTTCAAGTTCAGGACTGACACTGGGGAAACATGATCCAAATCTTGCAGAAGCGGATGGTGTGAAAGGAAAGACCAGCACTGTCGGAGGGTGGGAGGGCAGGAGTGAATTTAGTGCCAGCAACTGGTGCCAGACTTTGGTCGAGAGTGGTCCATGTGTTTGCACTGCTGGAGAGTGGAGTGAGTGAGGGTCTTGGCACCAGAACCTGGAGCAGGAAGCGCAGGTCGTGGGGTCCATGTGCTGGGACATCAGCCACTGGGCTGGATGTTTATCCTTTCCACTGACCTGGTTGGTGCATGTGGGTGCAACTCTGCAATCCACCCTAAAATTTCACACCCTCAAGTAGGAGACCCAGGAAGCAGGCAGAGACATTAGGGAGGCTGAGAGCTTGTGCTCATGATTTGAGGGATCTGTGAACGTGGGGTGAGTGTGAACACATACATTTGTTTTCTAGCGAGCAACAAACTGGACTAGCTGGTGAGAAGAAGGCTCACGGAGAGGGTAAAAGCTCTCAGGCTCTGGACATGGATATCGGATGGACAGAGGGGCTATGCTGCTACTCATGGGATGCACGAACACGCATGTGCTCATGGATCTGGAACGCTGTGTGTGTGTTTGCACTAGTGAACTTCAATCCTGAGCAGCTGGAGAGGAGAAACAGGATTTCCCTATCTATACTAATATTTTATGTGAGTTTGCTTGCTCTTATAATGTGGTGCCCCTTAAAACATCCCTTTATTACAATTACGTAATCACAGCCCCATTCATATCTGTATAATCTTTGTAATATTAAGAAACACAAACATATGTAAATATGTTCCCATATTGATTGTACCCACCAGGAAGAGCTAGATAGTGAATACAAAATTACTACATTTAGCAATGATTTCCCACAAAAATATTTAATAATCCTTTTCAGGAACAATTTTGTGATTAATAACTACATTTCTTGATGCAGTGGGTTATAGGATGCATCTTCAGCAGTTACTCTGGCTACTAGTTTACCTTGTAGAAATCCTGGACAGCTTTGCTGACAACAATAGATTCAGCCTGTACCCTTCCCACCAGGTACTGGATGTACTTATTAAACTCTGCCTGGTGCTTGATAAAGCACATGGCCACATCATCATCAGTGTCACATTTCTGCAAGCCTCGAAGGAAAACACTGTGGAGACAAAAATAAAAGGACATCTGAGGAGAAGGTGATGGAATGAGGCTAGAACACAGCCCCAGCAGGCAGACCTTTAAATCAGGTGATTTCAAGTGAACACACATTAAAGGAAATGACTGGAGGAAATGAGGGATGTTGCCATGTTATCATTAAACTTCTCAATGCCTCTTCATCTAGGATGATGCTGGCCGCCTTAGCTTAAATGTATGAAATGTCCTGCAAGGAAGGTAGGGATTATTTTCAAGGGTTGAGCTCAAGTTAGGAAGTTAACACCTCCCCAGATCCTTATGCCTCATTTTAAGGATCAATGAGACATCCACATGAATTAAAATAAAGATCCTCACTTTGTTTCATAAAGGATGTTGAGCCACGTTCATGTACACAAAGATTTTTAGCAGTATTGGTAGCTGATGACATACATCAGCTCTAGAAGTTTAAGTTACTTTTGGGGTAAAAAAGAGGGAGTAGAGAGGGAGCAAAGAGAAAGGAGATCTATTCTCCCTTCATTTCCTGGCACAGGAAAAGTGCCAGATGTCCCACAAAGCGTCCTCCTCATTGCAGAAGAGATTCTCTCCATAAGGATTTCCCCACAATAACTGTATATTTTTAATTGCAATCTGCTCAAACTCCTTATGGGTTGCTCTTAGCACTGATCGGAGCACACGTTGATCGGGGAAGATCAACTGGTTGTTGAGATTTGTACATGCACATTATTGACACCCCCTTAAGGTAAACCAAAATTTAGGACCAGAGGGTAGGAAAAAGGGGAAGAAAGTGTGATTCTGCTGCTGTTGGCAGAGACTTCCCAAGAAAATGATCACTTCCCATGAAAGCGAGGGTATCAAGGTGCAAAAGGAGGCCCCTTAGCAAGTAAAAGTATTTCAACCTGGACCTTGGGAAGTCACTTTGTGAACAGCAGATCTGCAGTAAGTCTTTCCTTGGAGTAGGCAGCATTGTACCACGACATTGTACCTGGGCAGCCTGCTACAGCTGGATGTTATTTGTATGCATGGACACTGGCATCAGTTCTAAATGAATGTGTGTCTCTATGAAGACACCACTGAAATGTCCATCAGACGATGCTGCCTTTTTATAATAATTCAATGCTTCACTGTTAAATTTGCTTAAAAGGTTAAGAAATAAGCTGGGCGTATGAATCCTTGAAGCTCTGAAGGGTATTTTGGGAGTCCCAACCCTGTGCTCTGACTTCATCCATGCCACCATCGACCACGCAAAAAGGACCATCAATTCCTTTGCACATCAGCACTGCCAGTGCTCCGTGTCCTTCACAATAATGATAATTACTGTGGCTCTGACACCAGATATGTGACCCACTCTTCGGTCTCAAATGAAGGCACAAGGCAATGCCCACCTGGAATGGAAGCGAGCAATGTCATCAATATTTCTGAAGATGGTGGATTTCTGACTGGCGACAGCTCCCGGGACATTGGAACAGGTCTCAGTGTAGTTAAGATGATGAGTCTGGAGGAACTGTAGATCTTGAATGTAATCCTCCTCTGAGATCAAGAGTTCTTGAATAAGAACGCTGAAGGGAAAATAAATAAGCAAAAAGAAAGCACAGAACAATCATCTTAATTATCCTTGGCATGCAGAGAGACTTTTAGCCTCTAAAATAGATATTTGATCAGAGGAACAGACTCCCTCGAGTGTGTTGACTAGATTCTCTCTGACAATAAGAGGAATTTAGGTCAGGAACTGCTCATGGAGTGACACTTACAGATGTCTGCTGTTAGGGCAAACAAAAAAAAACGATCTATGTAAAGTAGACAGTAACAACTTCAATAGCACTTTATACAATCAAGAACACTAATACCTCTATGACAACTCACTCAGTAGTGTGGTGCACTGCAAGGGAGTAATACAATGTTGTAGCTGTTTTCCTGAGAGTACTTTCACTCTCTCTTTAGACATCATCCTCAGATATAGAGAACCCCAAAGTACAGAAGTACTGAAGTTTAGGATTTTTGCAAAATTAGAGGTCTTCCAGAATTATATCATGTAAACCCTTCCTTTCAAGTCACCCGATATGATTTAGGTTGCCTGGAATCTTCCTAGGCTGAAATCAATGGCAAAAAATCAAAGATAAAAAAAAAAAAAAAATACAAGTCTGAGAGAATCCAGAGTTTGCTTGGTGTTGGGAAAGGGGAGGTGGTAGGACTGAGCAGAACAAATACAGTGACTCTGACAGGAGGGACCTAAATGCCAACATTCAAGTAAGTTCAAAAGGCAGGAAAACTGGAAGGTGCAAATACCAAATGACACAAGCTCACCTTAACTTCCTTTTATATTCATCTTCAGAAACAAACTCTCCAGGGAATTCAGGAGCTTCTGTTGTTCCCCACTCTGGTGACAACTGAAATACAAGAAAAAAGAAACATTAGTCTTTTAAATTAACAGTGTTTTTAGCAATGCACACTGAGGAATATTCCTCATGTGTTCACAGTCCCTTTCAACAATTCCTAAACCAGTTTAGGAACCAGAAATTTCTTTTTCGCTGGAGGATGGTCAGGTCTTTCAAACCCAGTCACTCCTGCACACATACAGAAATGTTGTATAATCAGAACATGGAAGAGCCCAGTACTGTTACAGGCCCCTTCAACAACTCCTCATCCATCACTCCTTCCAAAAGGGATGGCTCTAAACTGCCATGGAAGCAAGTAATTCTACATAAAAAATAAATACAGCATGATCAGTCACCTTTAATTTCTTGTCCAGATAAGCTGGAGATACCCAACCCTGTCGAGAGGGGCTAGACTTTGTGGGTTTAGTCCTGACCAGCCACTTCAGAGGATGAGCTGAATCAAGGACTTCCACATATTGCCCTTCCTTCAGAGTGATGGTCTCCCTGTCAGGAGCAGCAGGCACGTAGTCAGCTGTGACCATGTAAACGTCAAAGATCTGCAGGAATGAAACTACAGTTATTTTGTGCTCTGAAAATAGAATACAATAACACCAACAGAACATAAGTGATTATCTGTGCTTAATGTTTTATTCTCCAGCCCCTGTACAGCAAAGAGAATCACTGTTTGCTTTTTGCGAATAGAAGACTAAGTCTCTAGGAAGCTCAGGGTATATTTTCAAAACCATCATGAAGCAGTGGATTTTTCTCCCAAGGCAAAAGAAACAGTGGTGTGACTGAATAGTGTGAATAGTGACTGAAAATGTCAAAATATGTTAACAATTCCAAAGTTTTGGTTTGTTGGTTTGGTTGGGTTTTTTTTGTTTGTTTGGTTGGTTGGTTTTGTTTTGTTTTGGTTTGGTTTGGTTTTTTTTTTGTTTGTTTGTTTTTGTTTGGTTGGTTGGTTTGGTTTGGTTTTGGTTTGGTTTGTTTTTTTTTTTTTATTTATTTTTTTTTTTTTTTTTTCAGGAAATATTTGAAGTGAACACCCAAAAAAGTTCTAGTTTTCACAAAATTCTCATCATGAAGAACTTCCTAACAAAATTCTTCTGACAAACTCTATCCAAGGCCAGAGAAAATCAAGCTCTGATTTTCTGAAGCTCAGCCATGAAAGCAGAAGGTGCCAAATAATGGATATGTTTTCACCATGTTGACTTGAGCAACTTGTTCAAGATCACACAGTGAACATCAGAATTCGATTGTCTGTGCTCTATATCACAGACCCAATATTTAAATACTAAATAGACTTACTAAAGTGAAGTACATCCTTGAAGGGGATGGAGATCCTTAAACCATAGGAGATTGGTCATTCTAAGTAAAGTTTTCTCCTTGTGTCAAACTTGTCCATAAAGATATCATACCTCTCCTCTGGAATCCCCATCTTCAGATTCAGAGGAGGACTCCTGAGCAATGGATGAAGGTCTGGATCGTCCATGGCGAGGAGATGCAGAGGGAGTTTTTGATTCATCATCACTTTCTGCACCTGGCACTCGAAGTGTAGCTAAAAAGCAGAGCAACAGTAAAGTGTGAAATAAAGATCTCCAATTTGAACGTGAACCAAATACATAACAGTTTTCAATTTCATAAAAATAAATATTCCCTAGGAAAGGCATTTGTAGTATTTAGTGTGATGTTCTATTGGTATTTAGGATTAAATGAATAATTGGGATATTTTAATGTGTGAGGTTGCATGCCTACTGCATGTATTGCCACTGCACTGCAAAAATATTTGTAGGAGAGGTAATGCCTCTATTTTTGCTTCAAGATAAAATTTTACTACAGGATAATCAGTATATGATACACAAACCAGGGTTTTTCATTTAATTTGACAAATTATTGGGTTATTGCACAACTGTGCATGCAGTTTTCAGACCCAACTTGATTTAAAAATCCCATTGTGAGCTAAAACTCGACAATGTGGGAAGTCTTCAAAACAGGATTGCTTTCAGACTCAGGAGTGATGAATATCTGAGGAACATGAAATACCTAAGATGTTCAAAATACACTTCCGTTTTTACAACTTGTTCTCCTCTCTAAAGCTTACAGTTACTACTACTTATTTAAACAAACACTGTATGCATAAAATGGACTCTAGACATCTCACTTTACTGTAATAGCTTTTTTCCTAGTTCAAAATTATGGACTGAGACATGCAGTTTGGATGGATTCTTACTAAAAATTCTTAGTCTGAAGCATATACAAGTGTTCATATTTGTAGGATATTTTATGGAGGATGACTATCTCAAAGCTTGCTTCATAAATCTCACTGATATTTAAAGTCAGAATGATGACTAAGAAAAGACTGGATATTTTTCTACACTAATTACATTTCATTTGCCAGGTACCTTACCTTGACTTATCTTTGCAGATACCATTTCTGAGATATGGGAGGTGAGTTTCTGGAAGAACTCTTCTGAGCCAACATCAGCTAATGAAATAGGGCTTTTGGGTACACCTTCTCTGCCAGCTTCAAGATCTCCTGGAAAAAAGAGAATTCTCTATTAAGCAGGCAATGTAATTGGAAAGTCATCTTTGTTTGAGAAAGAAAAGCTTCTGTGTAAGGAATGTCTAATTTTCTTCACTTCCCCTGTTTTTAAAACTGTTCTTGTTCACATTTAATCCAGATAATTCACCCTCGAACTGAGACCAGTCCTGAAAAGTTCCAACATTTCAGTTAGTTTCAAGAACACAGGACAAAAGCAGGTGGTAATCATGAAATACATAGACAATCTCAGCTGTAGATGTGAAGGGCAGGAGTAGGAGAGAGAAAATAACTTCTCTTACCTTCTCTTGTTTCAGAGGGATGAATAGCTCTGAAAAAGAAAGAGTAAAGCAGAATTAAAAGTTAAAATAAAATGTGCAGTAAGGAGAGCTAAATGAGAAACACCCCTTCCTTCTCACACCTGGGAGAAGGCTAGGAATATCTAGATTAGGACTCTGGAGTACAGCTGCTGGTAGCTGATACTCACCAAGGCTAATATGAGAAACGAGAATGGGGGCACCTGGATCATATGGGCACAGAAACACTTGGGTGTCTTAGTCTTTGAACCAAATCCTGTCTGAGAATTCTCATTTTTCCTGACTTCTATTTCAAATCGTTTAAGAAGACCTGGCTGCTCAGGGAGTGAATTACAGAACAGAGTAGCTACCATCTCCCCGGTGCTACTGGGATTTTATTCCCCCTGATACTGAAATAAAACTATTACAGTTGTCAGCATTATGTCAAGTGGGAATCTGTAGACTCAGTCAGTTTTCTGTGAAATAATGCAAAATGATTTCCAATGGTTTCACCAGGAAACCAAAGACTGGAGAGTATACAGATGCTGTGATCCTGCCACGAGATCTTTTCCCATCCCATCAGGATGCCCATGTATTGGGGAAGCAAGCTGACTACTGGTTCTGCAATGGTTCTGAGGTCCAAAGAGACCCTTACTACACTGACAGCTTTTAGCAGCATCAAATTCATTAATGCCAGAAGGAAAGGGGCAGGAGATTCTATTGTCAACACTGAGTGAAACTGGCTTCACAGACATGAAGAACTACTAGCATTTGCTTGCATCTGATGAAGAATGTTTGTGGTGCTTCCTAAGACTACAGCCCTGTCAAGACTAATATCCTGAAGTCAACATCTCTGCTATTCCTGTGCTATTTGGAGTCAGGATATAAATTTTCATTGCATGAGCTGATCTGTCCTAATTCTCTGTTAGTACACAGGAGGCAGGGGGAAGCTCACTCTACTTGATGTATGATAAACCATATATCACTAAGTATGCCTAACAGCCTGGGCATATCCTTGGGAGAGGTTGCAGAGGAATAGTTGGAATCACACTTCAGCTTTCTTTACTGTCTTCAGACTTCAGAGGAAGACCGCTCAACCGTTTTAGGCTGGACATATTCTAGAATATAAAGTGTGTTCAAGTGGATATCGTTTTTCAGACTGGATCTGCCTAGTATCCAAGCCAAGAATGGCAAGTTGAGGAAGTTATTCTTTAGGTACATTTGTAAACAAGAAGTTTGTGAGCAGACCCTTTTAATCTACTTCTTTTTCTGTGAAGCATCAGTGTATTTCAACGTTGGCAAATAACAGTCAGACTTTGAACCTGTGATGTTTTATTTTGAATTCTGCTTACAAGATGAACAAGTATCAAGAGCTTTACATGACGTACCTCTTTTTTTTTTTTTTTTTTTTTTTTCCCCTGGTTCCTATCCTCTCTGATAATCAAGCATAAATGGCTGATATTGAAACTAGAGTATTTCTAGCACTTTTCATCCTATCACCTCAAACTATTTTAATGCTGGTGCTGAGACACAAGTATAAGATGACCAAAGTGAAGACTGCCTAAAAGTGACTCATGGGAACTTCTACAGGGTGGTACCTGCATTGCTCCACTTCAGCATGGGTGGCCAACCACTTACCCCAATGTGGTCATGATGGCTTCTGACACCATCACACGCTCCTGGGTCAGAACTTCAGCCTCTTTCACTGCAAGATTAGGGTTTATTATTAGAGGACAGAAGGCAGAGAATGTTCTTTTTATATATTTCATGTAGGCACCTTTTTTAGATATGGATTACTGGGAACACTGGAGTGCTGAATCTGTCCTATTAGCAGCTCCTGACCTTGGATACATACTTCCACTCATAGGATGCAAATAGCTTGCTCCTCTCCCTGTTCACGCAGATGTATGATCATCCAATTTCTCTACACTGCTCAAACTATGCTCCCGGAGATCTTGGTACAGTAATAATGTGGGATACAAGGAAGGATAACAGAAAAATGGAGTCCTTCACAGTGCTGCCCCTACTCCCAGCCTATATTTGCTTATTCCTCGTCTTACTGAAGGAATTGTGCCAGGAGAGTCCCTGGGAAGCTCTGTAAAAGGGGAATCAAATAACACTAGCTGCCTTAAGACAATTTTACAATGCAGAATACCCTAACAGAGTGAAGCACTCACAGTATTTCTTCAAATGGTTACTTTATCTAGTTACTTTACATTGCCTTTCTTCCTTTCTTTTTTCTTTGTGCTTAATTTGGCTGTTTCTTAGACTTGTCTTCTATTTATAAGGAAAAGATTCTGCTGTAGACCCAAGATAGGGTCAGAAATCTAAAACGTTATAGAAGTAGAGTGTAATCATTTGCAAGGTAAGCAAAGTCATGGCTAATCTTGGGAAAATGCAGTTTTTTGAGTTGTAATTTGATTAATTTCCTGATTAGTCATCCTTGTTTTTCTCTTAGGCACTGTATAAAAGGTAATATAGAAAATGTGTTTGTATTGTAACAAAGATTTACCATCTGAAACTTCCAAGGTGGCAGTGCAGATGGACTGGCCAGCCTTGTTGGTAGCAATGCATGTATAAGCTCCACTGTACTTCTTTTTAACATCCAGCAGGATTAGACTGTGGTGCATATTTGAACTGGCAAGCTTATACCCAGGAGTGTCTGGTTTGATCCACAAGATATCTTCCTGAGACTCCTCTTTCAGCCAAGTAATAGTTGGTGGTGGATGTCCTACAGGAAAAACCAATGCAATGAGCTTTAATTTTACTAGCGGTGTTCCTGCCTTACAATTATGAGCCATGATGTTAATAAATTCTATTTTGATCTGTTTCCTGATACTTTTCCAATAATAACAGATGTAATATATAATACAGAAACATAAACCTTTCCACAGCACATTCATAAGGACATGAAACTTTGTTTGTAAAACTAAGACTTAATCAACAGATCTTCATAAGACTAACAAGTGTTATTATCCCTGCTTTTACATAAAGGAAAATGGAGTTGAAGATGAGTAAGATGCTTTTCTGTAAAGCACATAAAGTCTCTTACAATGTTGGGAGTAGACTCCCAGACTTCAGATACAGGAGATGAAGTTACAATGACTTGGCCAGAGAGACTCTAGAATGTGTCACAAAGTTATGCAATTTAAGTGTTATGCAGAAAGGCAAAGTATATATCCACTTACCTTCAACTTTTACAGATAATGTGATGCTTGCACCTTTTTTCACCTTTTTATTAGTAAATCTTTCAAGGAACTTTGGTGGCATCAGCTGCTCATAGGAATCTGAAAATTACATTATTGATGAAACATAGTGACACTTTTTGTGTGAGTTTAGACTACTGAAAAATTCCTAGGGGTTCTCTTATCCATTAGGGCTTCTCTCACCTGTTTCTGATGACTTTTCTTTCTCATCAGGATCTGTAACACAAGAAGAACAAACAGAATGGCAAACACAAATACCTTTCTGTCTATGACTTGAAGAAAAAAAAAAAAAAAAAGTGATTCCAGGGGGTTAATCCTTGCAGGAGATAAGAGATATTACAAATAAATGTTAGTATGATTTATAGGAGGCCCTCAGTTTTAATAAAATTAAGTCTTAAAATTAATGGGCAGAAATAAAATGTATGTTTATGAGACAACAATCAGACTCTAGAGAAGTGACATGTCTCATCTTCGGGACATGCAGTAAATTTGTAGGTGAACCAGTTTTAAAGCATTTCATCTTTTATCTACAGACTTCCCTACCTCATTTGACTTACCTTAGTAGGCTTTCTCAAGAAAAATAACTACCTAAAATATAAATAGCTGGTGGAATAGAGAAAAGCAGGTGCCATAAATAATCCAATACCTACCTTTGACTACCAGCCTGGACGACGAATATGCAGAACCAGCAGAGTTGATGACAAATATTGAGTACTGGCCAGCATCTGCCTTAGTGACGTCATGAATTTCCAGTGAGTGGAATTCCTGTTTATCAGTCTTCAGGATGCGATCCGAGGCCTTTAACGGCTGTCCGTTTTTGAACCAATAGAGACGAGGCTGTGGGTACCCTGCAAGGAGCAGTTACAGACATGGAGAACAGAATGCATTGGCAGCGTCAGTTTGGGAGCGTCTCCAAACAGGCAGATCCTTCTGAGCAGGAGCCAGGGAATCCTCAGCTCTGCCCAGGGCTGCTGTTTCAAAGATTTACCCAATTAGGAATGGCTGTAAGTTCATGAAATTCTATTTATCTGTTAACGTTCTTTCCCATCTCATCAGTTTCTGGCACTCCCCATATTGACTGCATGTGCAAATGCCTTCCAGGTTAGAAAGGTAACACTTAGGTTTGACTTGCAATGTACACAAAGAGAAAAGTTGAAGCCAAAACTGTTCTCATCAGTTTTATAGGCAGCAATTGGAGAAAAGAGGAGAATCCCTACCTCTCTCTACCACAGACAGTCAACACCAGAAGAAAGTTTTTAGGCTATAGCAGCAACCCCCCTCATAGAGTAAGGCAAGTCTAGGGATGTTTAATTTATTAAAGAGATTAAAGGACACCCTCACTATCTTTTTTCAGTCATTATTGCTCCTCTGTAACTAATGTGCTCAGAGAATTAAATGACTCAGTTTTCAAAGGCCTGTGCTTACACCTGAAGACAGGGACGCAGAATAAAACACTTAATCTGCCTGAGTCTGCTACATAAATCAATATTCAGAAGCATGGACACATTCTTCTAGCTGGTTTGTGCAAATATGGTACAAGATGCACAAACTGGGGTTGCAGCACTTCAACCCGAGAGCAAACCTGGAACAACTGACAGTGCTGTGGTCTCCCCTCACCTTTCACCTTCAGGTGAAATTTAGCCAGTGGTGCTCCAGGTGCCACATGAATATCATGAAGCTCATCGAAGATCTGGGGCAACTGCTCTTCCTCAGTGGTGGATTCCTCCTGTTCTCGGCTAAGAAGAAATTAGAATTAGAAAAAAAATGAAGTCAGCAATCCAGAAAAAAGTTAGGAATCAGAATCATCTATTTTAGGCCAATTCAGTCTGTGGATTTTGTCATCATGACAACACATTCAGCACCATGTGACATTCAAACTAATGGACTGATACCGTGAAGAAATATCCAGGCTAGCCTGAAGGCAGCCAGAGTAAGTTTGCACATGATAGATGTCCAGCTGTGCAGCTATTGCATCTCAGCTGGTCTGGCTGTTCCTTCATGACATTAAACTGGTCCTGCTAGATATATCAAAAATAGGTTTGACATAAATATACATATTGATCTCATCAAGTCAGGAGTTAGAAGGAGATAGAGTTCAATATTTTACCTTGAAATATATTCTTTGGCACTGTAGTAAGAAGATGTCTCCGTTGCATCTGCTGCTGTCTCATAGTCAGTGCTGGTCACTGTTAAATGGAAAAGGAAATGTCTTCTATAATCTGAGCTCTGAAAATATTTTTCTTACTCCAATTATAATTTTCTTACTAATGTGAGTGAGTGGCAAGTCAATTTCACACTGTTACTGCAGCAGGATCCCACACGTCCCTGGATTTATCTGAAAAGCTTTATTCTGAGCCTTGCTCTAGAGTTGGCAAAACCCAGCTGAATACAGGAATTTTGCAAGTAACACATTTTGTGGGCAATGCATATGTTCTTTTTAATGTAAATGGTGTTTTTCTTGAAAAAAAAAAAAAATCCACCCCTTCCCTTGTTTTTTCAACAGTGACTTTGAGACTTACAGTCTACTCGAAGCTCAGCCTTTGTTGAAGCAACTCCCATGTTGTTTTCAGCAAGGCAACGGTAAACACCCATGTCAGTGGGGACCACAGCTGTGATGATCAGCTGATGGCATCCTTCCTGGTCCTCGTTGATCATATAATGATCATTTTCTTCAATAGCTTTCCCATCCTTGAACCAGCGAACCGTGGGGAGTGGTTTGCCAACAACAATGCAGTCAAAGCTGACTGGATATCCATCTTGCACCTCTTGGTTTTGGAGCTCAGTCATGAACATGGGAGCTAAAGTCAGGGTAGTTAGGAGAGAGGAAAGGAAAAACATGGTTGTGTTAAAAGATGTATTTTAAATACACCATTGCCCAGTGCCTGAAGACTTCTGTCTTCTAGATTTTTTAATTGCAAAGGGATGTCTTTTCTCTGTGACAACAGTCAAGAAGAAATTGCCTGACAAACACTATTGGAGATATTGCATAACACCATAAGCATTGCAATACCACAGTTGCAAACTATACATTGCCCCTGTTCCTCTCCTTGCCTTGTCTTTTCTTCCTCAGGACTGTTCTGAAAACTGTTTCATTTATTTAAGTATATCATAGAATTTATGTCTGTATTATTGTAGTAGGGGATATTTCTATTGTGAAAAGCAGCTTTTCACAATATAACATATAATCACATAGCATATAAACTATAATCATATAGCATATAGTCATAGCATTTATGGCCATATTATTGTAGTAGGGGACATTTCTGTTGTGAAAATCAGCTTTGTAGATAAGTCAATACTTCGCAACTCTCTCCTTCATCACTAACCTCCCTCCTCTCACTCAAAATGAAAAAGAATAAAAAATTCATCAGTTTTTCCAAAAGTGCAGTGTTTCCAGAAAAATATCTACACCAAATGAAAAACAAAGGCTTTTGGGAAGTTATTCATGAGTGAAAAGGTGACATTCTGACCTGCTCCAGCTGTCTTTTCCAAAGAATAAGCAGATTTGTTTCATCTACCTGTATCAGAAGTCAGCAAGGGTGGTGGAGGTCTCACAACTGGTGGTGCAAACTTCCCATGGGTGGGTTGTGTTGCTTTCCCAATACGCAATTCAATTTTTTTAGGGCCTTGTTCCAAAATGTCAATCTCCACGGGAATTCCCAGGGCACCAAACATCTCTCTGAATCGAGTGGCAGCAGTTTTTGCCTCAGACAAGATTTCAAACTTGATGTAGATGTACTGGTCATCCTCACGATATGTCTGATGGTCGACCACATCTATGTCCCCTTCATCTGCACTGACAAAGAGTTCTTCCTCCACATCAGATATCTCTGTTGAGATCTTGGCCCTAAAGAGTCTATGGAGTCTCCTTCCTGCTTTACGGAAAGCATCATCCAGTTCACTGCCAGACGAGCTCTCTGTCTCACTGTCAGTGCTTTGTTTAACCTGCTTCTCCTTACGAAGAACTTGAGGTTCCTGAGTGCCAATAACCACCTTAGCACTGTGTGAAACCTTGCCAAATTTATTGGATGCTTCGCAGGTGTATTTACCCGCATCTTTCCTATCCAGACCAGTGATAATCAAAGAGCAGGTCCCATCACTGTAATTGTCTATGTGATAGTAGCGACCATCTGATAGCTCTTCCCCATCTTTCAGCCAACGGACTTTCATGTCAGTTTTACTGTGGGCCACACACTCAAGGTGGAGAGTGCTTCCAGGTTCACCAGAGAAATCTTTGAAGGTCTCAGTAAACATCGGGCACTCTTGTTGCTTGATCTCTTTCCTGACTTTGTAACCTTTGAAAGCAGCCTGGATCTTCACAGCAGCCTTGTTCATGGAAGGATCGTCTAAGTCTGGCATTTCTGGTTCAACTGGCTTAGCAGCTGGGGCAGCCACAACAGTCTCCACACTAGATTTCTCCCACTGTTTCCATAATTTGCCTGTGGAGATGGACTGAGCCTTGCTAGTAACACTGATACTTGTCTTCCCAGCTTTCTTGAGGTAGTTCACCAGTGAAGGCGTTCCAGCTCTAGACTCATCATCTGAGCTGGTGAAAGAGAAATCTGCTTCTCCTGTCCTAGCCAGCTCATCACACGTGGAGTACTCCTCTGAGTAATAGTGAGACATCTCTGCTTCCTCCTTCCTCAACTTCTGAAGCTTCTCGTCCTCTTCAGGCACTTCACTGATGGAATCCAAGGTGGGCTCCCGGCTCATCCGGCGTTTCTTGGCCAGGGCTTCCCACAGGAGGTGAAGGTCTCCCTCCTGAGCAGCCTCAGGGGGCAAGCTGGGCTGTACATGCCCATCCACCAGCTCTTCTGGTTGGCTTGCAGGGGCTGCTTCCCTGGCGATCTCTTTTAGCATTGTCACTGTGGGAACTGAGGGCAATTAAATTGATAAGATGTTAAAAGTCTGTGAGTAAACTCTAATAAAGTTTATGGGAACATTATTCTAAAGCCTGGGCAGAATAGTATCAGTGGGATTTAAGTAAGCATTCTATTAAGAACAGAATGTGAAATGAATATAACTGGACATCAACCTGGGCAACCTGTTCCAGATGGCCCTGCTTTGAGCAACAGGGTGGACTGAACTATCTCCAGAAATTTTTTCCAGCCTCAACTATCCTGTGATTCTATGCATGTGCATAAAACATGGCCAAACACCCTTTTTTCCCCCCTTTTTCTTGCATTTAAACCCAACAAAAAAATTCTGCAATTTTTGGATGTTGCAATCAGTATCTGGTTAAGACTGCCAGTGGAGCCTGGAAAGCTATTCCAGGTTCATCTTATTTTACAGCTAGACAGGGCTTCACTGACTGGCTTAAATAGATCCCCACTGGTTTTAATGGGAGCTGAGTCTCTCATCTTATACAGATGTAGCTGCCTGTAAATACTTCAGTTTAGATGTGTCTAGGTGAGGGTTGTGACACCCTCTGGGACACACCGACTTGCCTCTTCAGAGTGCCCAGTGCCATTTGAGATGCTCCAGGCTGTCTGGGACACCCACATGTGGCTCTCAGATACAACACAGGACTCTGGGCCCCTCTGAAGAAGGAGATGGAGGACAGGGATGATATCCTGAAGTGCCTCAATGGCATGACATGTCATGTGTGGGCCACCAAATCCCATTGTAGGGGCACAATTCAGCTTTCTAAGCACTATGACCTAAAGCCATTTGGGATGTCTAGGACAGAGTGCTGATAGATACCAAGCGGAACATACAAAAGAGCCCTCATCTTCTGAAGTGGCAGCTGAAGGCCAGACAGAGTACCCTAAAGCATCTCAAAGGGCACCAGAAACCCATGTAGAGATAACTGTATCACACTTTTAATATCTGAGTCAGGAAAATCTTATCTGAGCAGCTCAAAGCTGTTAGGGATTCAGAAACATGCTGAACAATACTGAACAGGAAGATAACAATTCTTTGTGGATTGTTATCACAGCTTGTAAAAAAAAAAAAAAAAAAAAAAAAAAAAATTCCAGTCCAAGCTATGGAGATACCCCTGTACATCCATAAACAGAACTGATTTAATACCACAGGAATGCACTCTCTGTACCTTCAAGACACAAGCTGGCAACAGATTTGACTTCTGGAGAAACCATGCAGGTATATGTGTCTTGATCTTCAGGTTTAAATGCATGAATAATGAGTATCTGCTTTTTTGCATCAGAGAGGATTTCGTATCTCCCCCCAGCTTGTATTTCTTCTTTTCCTTTGAACCATGTCACTCCCTCTTCAGTTTCACTGGATAATTTGCACTCCAAGCGAGCCACCGCCCCTTCAGAGACTGATCCTCCCACCAGAGGATGGGTGACTGTAACTGGAGGTTCTGTAATTACAAAAAAGTGAATTAACACAAAGAACACATCATAATCTGGCTTTAAGGCACTTGAGTTCTCTCTATAAAATACCCAAGCATCCCATCCTTCATTTATAGATTCTTTAGCTGTTGTAGACAACCAAAGGAAAAATGAGAGGCAGCATCCAAAGTTTGCGCTTCCAAAGATAATATCAAAATAACTTCACAAACTCTCCCAGTGGTAAAACCGACTCCATTTAAATATACACATGCAAAAGTGGTTGCATTTTTCCCATTCCTGTGTTTATTTGCTGCTCTTCATTTACCCATTGCCAGTATTCAAGCAGTCCTACAGATTCTAGAAGATCTTAATATTTAGAAGGGAAGCAGTTCTGAAGTGAGACAAGAAAGAAACAATGAAAAGAATTAAAAAGAAAAGACATTATTAAAAGCAGCATTCATTCCAGTCTTGAAAGTTAAAAAAAAAAAAAAAAATTATGCTACCTTAGGAAGAGGAAAAATTCTCAAAAAGCATAACGAATTTAAAAATAAAAATTGTCTGTATCTTCTTTAGTTTGGAAGGAGGGCTACCAATGATATGCTGTTTGTACAATAGTGACACTCAAAATGAAGTCAAGACAAATGCATTAAATGTAGAGATGACTGGGATGGAAAGCAGGCAGCTGAGTTCCCCAAAGCAGCACACTCCTGAGAGTGATCTGCCCCTCTGCCCGTCTTACCAGGGTGAGGGGACCACTGCTCAAAATGCCCTGTGCTTATTATCGACAAAGTCTGCATATGCAGAGTTATCAGGGTCCAACCCTGGCAGTTGTTATGTTGCAAAAACATCATTTTGTGTCTAAGCCTTAAACAGAAGAAGACTTTTTAATTATTATTCTCACTTCAGGGGATTCATCAGGCACTTGGCTATCACAGGAAGAGTTACAAGATAGAAAAGATTGAGGGACTGACTCTCCATCCCACTGTAGCTTCCAAAATATCACCAACAGACAGCAAAGGAATGGTGTCCTCCAATATTTCTTTGTGATGGTTATTGAAAAAGATACACAAATAATACAACAAAAGAGAAAGATGGGTGAAGAAAACAACACTGCCCACAGAGTGCATCGGTACCAGGGTCTTGGTTACCCCAAATGCATTCCAACATGCCCCTTTTGACTCATTCCATCCTAACTCCACCAGAAAAGAAACTCATGGTGACCAGGCAACACATGGATGCAGTGCAGGCTGCCAGACAGCTTGATGCAGTTTGAAGAAAATAAGTGTTGAGTACTAACAATGAAGCAGGTTTTGTTTGCAGCAGCCCAGAATAATTTTTCCAAGCTTTCTCCTCTATTGTGTTGGCAGCAAAGCTCTGAAAAAAGTTGCAGAGTGAACTCTTCCAGGAGACGCCTGGAACAGGTGAAGCAGGCATGCCATGCGAAACACAAGGTCTACAGCAGCTTGCGGTCCTCCATGGGGGCATCTCTCCATCCTCACCTAGCCGCACCATCTGAGGGAAGTGCACTGGCTCGCTGGCCCCAACTTTGTTTATAGCTGAGACGCGGAATCTGTAAGGTTCACCCGGGGTGAGATCGTCCACTGTAAACTCCGTGTCTGGAATAATGCCTTTGCTGCATGACTGCCAGCCAATACCTGGGATTTTCCTCTCCACATTGTAGCCTAGGATGTCACAACCACCGTCGCTCAACGGCTTGTACCAAGACAGAGTAACAGAGTGGCTGTTCTTACTTAAAACTTCAGGTTCTTCAGGTGGATCAGGGTGGGCTGAAGGCACAACAGAGTTCCCATGATGTACAGCATAAGCAATAATGTTTTATACTAACGCAACCAAGAGCAATGAGAAGGAAGCACAACACATTCAGTATTTGTCTTATTGTAAAGTTGAGTGGGTAAACACCCATGGCTGTGAGACATACCTGTGCACCATGGATTTCTCCTCTGTCTGCCCTGATCTACACTGCTGATGACAAACATTCATTTTCTGACTATCATTTCACATACTTAATATTACATATTATTGTGACTTTTTCCTGCTGCTTTGTCTCACCCAGCTCAAAATAAAGATGACCATACACTGTCCATATTATCAAGGAACTTAGCAGAAAGATTCAAGTACATTTGATTTTTATAATTTTTTTCAGGCCTCGTCTTAATGGAAATCAAGTTATTGTTGGACTGCAGAGTAACTCTAGTAACTTAATACCAAGTCACTCAATTTCTGTGTAATTGTTATATATGTCACAGCATCAGGCAATAACTAATAAATACATAATGGGAATGGTCTGATATCTTAACAGATTGGCTGCTGACAGTCATACTTGGTACACTGGAAAATGTTTAGCTTTCAAGACAGAAATGATTCCTTTAGTCTTCAGGTTCAAGGCATTTACTAAGTAAATCAGAAATTATTAGACAGACAGACTACCCTTATTAATTTAAGGAATCGATGGTCAATTACTAGCTCTCGAACATCTCAGCTACAGCATACAGCTAAAACACCTTGCAATTATCTCACAACCATCATTGGGGTTGATCTGGCGTGACCATTTCTGGGTGACCCACCTATCCCACTGTGCGAAGGAGCCGGACCTTGAGCGCTTGAGTCATTGGTCTAACCTGCCCCACGAGGCAGGTAAGCAACTATCGTCTTTTCTACTTACAAAGTACTCCAAGATCTATTAACTCATGTATCTCTGAAGAACACGGTGTGTGTTTCATGGATCTCACCCACATGAAGATTTTAATATGCAACTCATCAATCTGGAATAGTGGTTGCACTCTACTTGAAGAGATTACGGTGATGTTGAACTCTGAGCAAATTGATTTTCATTAGATCCCATGTTACATTTGACAAAATACTGCACCTAAAGAAAGCTGGTGAACATCTCTGCCATCACTAGCCTGATATAATTTTCTTCTGATCAGCTGAACTGTTTCTGGTCAAAGAACAAGCAGCCCAGCTGCATCTTCTCAGACTAAAACCACTAACTTGGGACATACAAGGCAAAGAGAAAAGAATCAGCACAAAGATTAGAAAATTCAGTGTTGTAGCTCAATACCAAAGTCAGATTTCAAGTGCCACTGGGCTAGAATGACAGACACTTACCTATCACAGACAACTTCGCTGATGCAATTGCTTCCCTGGAAGCAAAGGTCACCTCTCCAGAATGATGTGGTTGGGCTTTTTTCAGAATAAGCTTGTATTTGTTTCCATCTGCTTGTACCTCCCAGTCCTCATCTGACTGGATCTCTATGTCATTACTATACCAGGCAACTTCGTTAATTGGCACAGCTTCACTTAGAACACAGCTGAACGTAGCTTCCTCCCCTGGTGAGACTTCCACGTCTCTGAGAGGCTGCAAGATCTGTAGGCGCCATCCTATAGATAAAAATAGGTAATCAAACCCCTCAGTTACAGAAACAAATACAGGCATGAGATTTTGTGAATATTTACGTTGAAGCTCTGGACATTCAGGCCTCAGAAACCAAGGAGACCATTAAAACCAAGTTTATGTGTTTCACTAGAACAGAAGGTATCACTGGGGACTGAAACTTTCCAAAACTTTCAGGAGCAAAAACCAACCTAGCAATGTCTTTCTTTCCCAAGTAGCTGAAAACAAAAATGGAGATGCCATGCTATGACTGAAGATGGTTGTTCTTGTACTCTGTAAGGGGTTCTGATCCCCACAGGGGTCTCCAGTAATAGCATAAAATACAAGGATACAGATATAATGTTGTTGCTGATATAATGCTCATCTCTAGAACTTTGAAGTACCTATAAACACGACCCAACTCATCAGAATCATGACAACTGTAAGACAGTCATTTGCTGCTAACTCATTGCCAACTGATGCTGCTTATATCCACATTGTGGCATATAGAACAAGAAAAAAAAAATGAAATTGTAAAAAATCATCCATTTATTGTGTGGGAAGAAGATTTAGGTAAGAAGCAAGCAGCAAATGCAACTTTTACTCTCTGCTATTCACCATATTTTCCAGCTTCATTTGCCCTTTCCCATCAGAAAATTAAGATTCCCCATGCAGAAATGCTTCAGTTACCTTTCACCGTCAGGAAGGCTGAGGTCACCGCATCGCTGCACGTAAAAGTCACCCTGCAGCTGTCCCGGGGAGTTAGGTTCTTCAGCAGCAGCAGATGCCTCTGCCCATTTTCAAAGTAAACCATCTCAGTGTTTTCTGTAGTTTTGGCAGGCTCATCGTCAATCAGCCAGTTGTAGTTGTAGCACTCAGGCTTGGAAAGATAGCATTCAAAAAGGGCTTCCCCTCCTTCCACAGCTTCCACATTCTCCAAGCCCTGGACAATGCTGTTCTTGGCTAGCAAAGGAGGACAGCAAACAGTATTAATTGTTTGGAATATTAACAAGCCTTGGAGCACTGGATGATTCCCACTACTGGAAAGCTGATAGAGATAGTGTGGATGTGACAAATGGTGCTTGTAGGTTTAGTTATCAATTTCAACCATGCTCTAACACAATACTATATTTAAAAACACTTTGAATAGTGAGATAGTTGAAAAATAATGTTAAACCTCTAGGACCTTTAAGCTTTAACATTTCATCTTCCTCCAGAATTCTGACTTCTGTTTTCACAAATGAAGAAAAAAAATGTTGGTGTTTGTATGAATCAGGCCAGTAGTCGATAGGAAGGGAAAGCTCAGGAAGAGAAAGTATAACCAAATTCCTTCTGTCCCACATCAGGAAATATTTCCCACAGATCTCCCAGGCAGCACACTTATCATCATAATTGGGGAGATGTGAATCCACTGATGGCTCATGATAAAATCTTACTGCCATTCATGCAAAGCAAATATGAGAGAATATGATCGCTGGAAAAGCTATAAGTGACTGTCATCTGCACTAACAAAACTGCCTCTAGGAAATACACAAAAAGTTAAAATCTCTATTAACAGTATTTTGAATAGTAAATTTCTGAATTATTTCAAAAGCTCTGTAATAATGCGTTAGGTTTATTTTCTCATGCGTGTGTGGTGAATTGTGTGGTCAGAAACATGCACATATCTAGACACTCCATTTGTCTGCAGAGTCATGCATCAGTTGGCATTTGTACATAAAGAATCAGTCTGATGCAAAATTAAATGTGGGCTGGTGCATGTGAATATAATTTGTGCTAGACCAGCTACATGGACAAATTACATGCATAACAGCAGGGACACACAGTAAATATAATTTACACAAATACCATACAATGGTCAGCATGATCTATACTATAAACCAACACCCTGTGACATTCCTGCTTAGATCTCTATAACCATTATCTAGAACTGTTCTAAGTAAAAAAAAAAAAAAAAAACCAAAAAAACAAAAACCAAACCAAAACAAAAAAACAGAAACCCCCCCAAAAAAACAACCAACCAAAAAAACCCACCAAAACCAAATCAATTTATTCAATAGCAAAAAATAAGAAAGCATGAATTACTAAAAAACTTCTGCATTTTATAATATTCATACTTATGGAGAACAATGAGGGGTTTGTAAATCCTTGGAAAATGTATAATTTTGTTAGAATTAATCCAAGCTGTTTATTTGTGCACTTTTGGAGTGCTGGTTTCCCTAACTACAAAAAGCAGACAATTGCAAATCCTACCTCCCATGGGATGCTTTTAGATTATGTTCATTAACATATTTTTAAATCCCTAAAACGGAAATCATTTATCAATGTAGAAAATATTATGATAAATAACACCCTATTCTTCTGTACTCACAACTCTGGTTAGGCAAGAAGACATAAATGCCTAATAAAAAAAAAAAAATTCAGAAATAATTCAGAACCATTGTCTTGCTGATCACACTAGTTCACATGGTGACCAAAACCAAGAATTCCATACACAGCAGAAATAAGAAAGAAACATTAACATAAAGCCCTAAATCTATTGTTAATTTCTTTATTTGTTGTTTCTCGGGGCCCTCACAAATGCTGGTGACAAGGAGGAGGTAATTCCTGAATGATCACTATTTGAAATAAGTAAAATACCAAGCTACCTTAGCTTGCTGAGAATAAAATTAAATTCCATGCTATCCATTAACTACTGGTTTTAAGGCACACTGTATGCAAAAAGCACTCTGTAACAGCAAAAAGTACTGTTATTATTCACGTGGACCAACATTACATCTGTTATTTTACAATAATTCAGCAGGATACATCCCATTACACTGATGTTCCAGTTCATTGTAGAAGAGGTATGATGTGTAAGCAGTGTAATAAGTCAGTGTTAATTAAAATTAAGTTCCAGTGAAATGGTGCAATTTCATAATAAATTCCCATTAACGCCCAACTAATTCTATCATTGTTATCAGTACCAAACAGTACCACTGTCAAACCAGCAGTATCACTGTCAGCAGTACGAAAGAGCTGGTATCTGATGTGTCACTTATTGTGAGGTGCTGCCATGATTTTTCCACCTCTTTTCTTTGGAACCCATGATAGTCTTCCTCTTTGGCTGGAAGACCTCACCTTGAACATCAAGTGCAGCCATCACTTTAGTGCCTTCAGCTTCACAAGAATAGATGCCAGCGTCTTCCGGTACCGTAGGTTTAATTTTTAGCATGCTTACATTCCAGTCCTGATCGATAATCACTCGCTGCCCATCTGCATGTATTTCCTGATCATTTTTCTTCCATATGGCGTGTACTGGCCTAGAATATTGGCATATGAACTCTGCTGTGCCATCTTCATCAACAGTTATATCCTGCATGGGACTGACCACTTCAATGGTTGGATCTGTCAACCAACACGTCAGGAAGGACATGCATTAGTGGATCCTCATGGAAATCGCAACTTAGAGATTTTTGACAAGCACAGAGCCCGTGGGGAGCAAGCAGAGTGACAGTGCAAGCAGGGAGCTTACTGGGCACACTGGGGATTAGCAGTTTAGTCTGTGCTTGTGTCAGCATCAAGCAGGATCGAAGCGAAACTGGTATATTAGAATATAGCTATCACACTGGAAAATGGGCCATCAGCAATTAAGGCTTATGCTTTAACAGTCCTGAATATGAACTTCCGTGCAGAACATCTGATGGGATTCCCTCCAGGCTTAGTGTTCCTCCAATCATTACTGAGACCCCCTAGACTGGGAAGCACTGGATGTGAAACACTTCTGCTTCCCAGAATGTGGCAGAAGCACAGGTCTGCAATAGAGGAAGGCAATGGAAGAGCTGCCATGAGTGGTTCCCTGCAACACTCTATCACATAAAAATATGAAAGTGCTACAAACTCTACTGGTGGCTCCTTGTACGAGCAAAGTGCAAATGTTCATTGGAAAGAAATGCAACATGAAAATGCAAATACTCTTTCCTACCCCATCCCTGGAAGGGTTCAAGGCCAGGTTGGACAGGGCTTTGAGCAACCTGGTCTAGTGGAAGATGTCCCTGCCCGTGGTAGGAGGAGTGGGAACTGGATGATCTTAAATGTCCCTTCCAACCCAAACCCTTCTAGGATTCTGTGATTCCTGTCCTGTGGTGGTGATGGCTATATGTCAGGAGTCATTGACAGCACGAGGATCAAAGATCCAGGACTACTACAACAAAAAAAGGGCACCTCACAGGAGACAGGTACTTGTTGTTTTGATTAATCATGTGTTCCTCAGCAACAGAGACTCTAGAGAAGCAGCATGAGCCACTGAAATTTCATATTGAGAGCCCATGAGATGCTGGGAAAAGCTGGATACACAGCTCCACTGAAGAAGGTAAGATCCATGAGGCTGCCTTTAAGCATCTAGTCTTTCTTTTAAAATACTAGTCCTGCTTCTCAGAACACAGATGTGGAGCATAGTAGATACATCTAACCTCAAAATATTGTGACCTTCCAAAGCAGCCAAGGAGTCTGTCCTGAGACAGCAAATCGGACCACTTTCATACAACTACAATATATATGCTGAAAAGAAAAATCTGAATGAAATCTGAAAATGGAAGTCTCCCTGCAACATCTTTCTCAGCAGATCTATGTCAACTCCCCCAAGAAATTGATAAGACTACAATAAGACATAAAATTATGACAGTAAGAAAAAGTTGATATATGACCTTATCTCTCAGTTGTTCTGATCACAAGCCAGTTAGAATAAACTACAGTGGACCTCTGTCTGGAATGTTCCTTTTTAAACTGGTTCATCAGGTTGAGGATTTGTGATGCTAGAGGCACACCTTAGGAAGCAAAGATAGTTTTGCAAATGTCTTTTGGAAAGTTGTTGCAAGGCTTGATCCTGCTCCCTAAGGCTCCCGCTACCACTCTGTGTGTCTGCATGTGTGATTATGCAGAGGAGGCATCGATAGCAGATCATGGAGCTGTTTTGGTTACACCAGGACTGAAGGAGCAAGAAGGCATCTGTGCAGATAAGGAGCAAGCTACTGCTGTCCCCTTCCATAAGATGCAGACACGTGCTCCTCACAGCAAATGTCCCTTGTGGTCTTGGAGAAGGAAGGTGTCCTGGTTCCACTGCCCCATTGCTCTTTGCCACTGCTAGCCTGAGACCTTGGTGCCTCTATTCATCCATGCAGAATGACAAAAATCTCCTTGAGATTTAGGAGCCAACATGTACCCTGGGGCCTGTAATTCTCACCCTGCACAAGGGGGTCAGAAGGCAGTGGTCATCTCTCCGAACTTTTCGATTTCCCCCTGCCCATATGTGAAGATACCATCGTGCTGGGCCCCTGAAGGAATGTGCTTGTAGGGCAAGGATATTGTGAAGGCCCACCAAGAAAATCTGTAATGACCTCTTACTTACAGATTATATCCAGTTACAAACATGCCTTACACCAGGAGAATGGGACACATGGAACAGAGAAAGACAACTTGTTCCCTGATGAGGAGCAAGCCATGGATAGCTAGATAGACCGAAATACACCTAGTTCGAAGAGAAGTCTATATTTAAATTCCTGGACATTGGAATGTACAAAATAGGTTGTTAACACAAGCACAGCTAGAAATTTGCTAGTGTTTTACTCTCCTCTTCAATCAAGTGTTATTGAGCACAATGTAACTGAGGTATTTTTTAAATACCTTTCTCATCCTAATCCAATTATACTCATGTACTACTGTGATTCAGTTTCACATTAAAGAAATCCTGTCTTAATAGAAGCACAAGATATCCACATACATATGTGTACTAACATGAGCTGTGGGGTTGCACAAGATGATGTCCAGAGGTCCTTTCCAACATCAACAATGCTGTGTTTCTGTGAAATCAAAACTTCTTTATTTGACTGAGTGGAATACCTAATGATGCTTTTATTTTTAATTTATATTTTAGGCCCACTGGAGTTCTTTACCTAGAGAGCTCAGAACCAGGTTCTGTCACAGAAAATGTGATACTCAAAACTGATACAAGTGGACCTGGGATTTGTGGGGTTTGCACTCTATGGTGTTGCTACATCCTTCTGATATTAGGAAGAAGTGATTTGGCATTTTATCTTTGCAGAGAGTTAAATTTTCTGAACACAGAATACATTATACAGAGGAGAAGACATCAATCACTGACTACAATTCCATATTGAGGATCATTCCTGTTATAGTAGACAGTTATAACATGGGGGTAGATTTTAATAAAGATATCTTAACTCTTTATATCTACATATATACAAATCCTTTTTCTAAGCAAGGAATAAGTGTTACTTTTGTCTGAAAAATAACAATTCATCCCCATGGCTATAAAAGGACTGGATGTGAAAGAGCTTGCTTCATCAAGTCTGGAGCTCAGTGTTATTTGCGGCTTGTGGCTACCCTTACCAAATGAGAAAAATGTTTCTTCAACAGACCAGAAAGCTTTGCTGGTGCAGTGATGACCATTACTATTCTGGAAGTCAACAGACAGGGCTTGTTTTGTCACTGTATTACCGCAATGTCATGTACCCCTTGGTTTCCAGGAAGAGCTCTGGAGCCATCAATACAACAGCCCAAAGTCTTGTCTTGGAATCGTATTGAGCTCAGTACCAGAAGCCTAACTATGGAGCAGCACAGTAATTCTGTGAATTTCCAGCTACATAATATTTTGTGATATTACAAAAACAGTTGAAGGGAGTGTAAAAAAAATCAGATGCTACCATAGTGGTTTATGTTCCGCTCTACTTACATGTCAAGTGAAAGCAGCAGCCCTGACCCTGCAACCCTTCCTCACCTGAACCACTGAAAAAAATCGATGTGGTTGTATCTGTAAGACTTCTGGCATGAGTATGGGTGACTTTCAGAAGTAGAGGGTTGCAGGATACAGAAGAATTGTGAAGGGATTTAGTAAGGGTAGCCTGGAAGGCAGAAGCAGTAGTGCACTGAGCAAGTCCAGAGGTGGCTGTGTGTCTCTTTCTAACAATGAAATACCTTTGACTAATAATTTAGCTGAAGATATAAGGGACCCAGCTCTGAAGGTGACAGTGCCTGAGTCATGGCATGCCACGTCATTTAGGGTTAAAGTGTGGACCATCCCATCCTGCTCAGAGATTTCAGTCACAAGGTTGTTGTGAAGGGGAGATCCATCGAGCCACCACTGCACGTTCTTCACGCCCGGGTGTGAGAGCTCGCAGGTGAACGTGGCTGACTCACCCACAAAGACGTCTGTGTTCTTTAAACCAGAAACTATGACTGCTGCTTCTTCTGTATAATAGAGCAAGAGAAGGTGCCAAAGGAAAACAAGAGCATAAACACATACATGTCGCTTCCTGCAGTACGAGCCCAAGCAACAGTGCAAGTTGTCCAGGAGAGCTAAACTTGTAATGTTGTTCCAGAAAAAAATGAGCTAAAATTTTCATTAAGGGGTTTAGAAACCTCCTTCCACCCTTCACCCACTTGCAAGCGTAGTGTGTGTGTCTGCAAACACTCTTTCATTAGGAGGAAACTCTTCTCCATGACCAGGTCATGACTGGCTCTCCGGTGGTGCTGTAACCATCTGCACTGACACTGTATGAAGTGGGAGGCAGAGAGGTAGCTTGAGCTTTAAATGTTTACTTAAAGTGCTTTAAAGAGTAATAACTATATCAACAATGATAGAAGCTGTGATCAGTAATAACAAGAATTTCAGTACTTTTTACGACCACTTCTCCAAAGAAATAGTTTTTCAGCAGTACCACTATCTGTTATGACACATAGTACGGCCAGTACTTTGAAATACTTTAACTTATCAACTTTAGTCCAACCTCAGCCTGGATGTAAATGTTCATGTCTTCACTGAAATCAGAAAAGAAATGAATGGACTTTCACCTGTTCGCATTTGAGACAAATATGGCCAGTTATAGCCAAAGATTTTGGAGTAAGAAATCCAGGCAGCAAAATCAGAGAATTTCCACCACATTTCACCTTACCTTGCACATACACAGAACCCGTGGTGATCTCATATCCAGTGCTACAGGTATAATCCCCACAGTCATCAGGCTCTACACCATGGATGATCAGCTCAGCAATGCTGCCTTTCAGCTTCATCTCGTACTTGTCACTGGGCTGGATGACCACCCCTCCTTTTCTCCACTCAACGGGGGCATCCGGCTTGGAGATCTCACAGTGCAAGACAGCTGTTCCCCCTTCTTCAGACTCTACATTTTTCAGCTCTTCATTAAACAGCACAGGTAGTACTGCGGTGGAGAAGCAACTGCATCAGTGAGAGCGCTCAGAGGTGAAAAACTTGTTTGCAACTCCTCCGGCTTGGTGGTTCCCCTCTTTCTGAACCACAACTTGCCTGCTGACAATGCCAAGCCCAGAGCAGGACTTTGAGCTGTGCCACAGCCAGACACTCATGGGGATACAGTAAAGATGTCCAGTGCTGCTATATAAAGGATTGCCATAGGTCACAGGACCTGTAAGAGGCTTCATGTGGGCATACACACCATTTTCACTGTAAGCAGTTAGAGGCACAATAGTACCAATCAGCATTTGGACGTTTAATCGCTGAAACCACACACTCTGAGCAGGAGCTGGTTATGTGGGCTAAACACAGAACCTAAACCCATGACCTTGTTGCTTTAAAATTAATGAAACTATAATATCAGTATAAAAGGAATAAAACTATAAAATCCAAATATGTAGCTGATAGAAAAAGAGCCACAAATCTTGGGCTGCTCAGGTTCTATTTAAAATGGGCCTGTTCTAGGTATGGTCTCCAGTCTCTTACTGTCAGATAGCAGGCAAGTTTTCTAACTGCTCTTATATGTTCCTTCCATTAGCAGCAGCTGCAGTTTTGCTCCCAGCTCTCACAGTGAGATCAAAATTGCAACAGCAAAAATAGAATTGGGTTTAAAAGGCACTACATCCTACTTTGAAAAACCAGTTGTTGATCAATCCCTTTTCCTGCAGTTGTCATTCACAGATACAGTGTTGATGATAATTCAGTGATAAAACTTTCTTCGCACCTTTATGGACAACAGCCACAGGCATAACTCATCTGCCTACAAGCCAGGCTTCTCCTACCTTTGACTTGCAGCGACGCAGTGGTCTGCTGATCCCCCGAGTCGCACGTATAATCTCCTGCATCCTGAGCCTCAGCATCATAGATGAAGAGCTCAACGTGTGTGCCCTCCTGACGGATCTCATACTTGTCACTTGACTGCAGCACCGTCTCTCCTTTCCTCCACTCCACGGGTGCGTTGGGTTTCGTCAGCTCGCAGTGCAGCATGGCTGTGCACCCTTCCTCCACCTCCTCGTTTTTCAGCCAGTGTTTGAAAAGCACGGGCAGGGCTTGAAAGGGGGGGGAACGATGCAAAGATTAGAAACAGGCAAAGCAAAAACAGAAAATTGAGGAATGTTTTAAAGTACTGATAACACCATCCATGAAGTTCATGTACTGTTCTGGCTGCATTTACCTAAGGAGAGCTGCCAGGGGTGAAGAGGTCTAGGTCTAAGCCAGAAAAAGCAGAAGGAGGAGGGAGAGGTGTTTACCATCGGGAAAAATTTCAGTTCTACAGGAGCTGCATTTCTCTCCCCACATCCTAGACTTCTTTTCACAGAAAATTCCCAGCTAACTTAATTTCTGAAGTTCATAAGGATTTTCAGCCCCAAACTAAAAACATGGAACAGGATAAAAGCACTCGAAGAATACGCACCTGCAGACCTGAGGCTGCACCATTTTAAAAACAACCTGAGGAGACACAGCCAAGGATCAATTACAGAATAATTAAGGCTGAAGGGACCTCTGGAAGTCTTCCACGGATGGATATTCCTCTGCCACTCTGGGTCCTGCTTCCAGTGTCTGACCACCCCTTCTCTATGAAAGCTTGTTTTTTTTTTTTTTTTCCTACTATGAATTTCTCTTGCTGTAGCTTGCGAATGTTGTCTCTCATCTGTTTGTTGAGAATCACAGGGAAAGTCTGTCTCTCTCTCCTCTGTAAACCCCCATTAGGAAGATGCAGACAGCAACGAGGTCTTCCCTCAACCTTCTGAACCTTCTGAACAAAGTTAAACAAGCCCAGATGCCCCCTTGTTTCTTTATACTTCATGTGGTCCAGCCCCCTGACAAACCTGGTGACCTCTGCTGCCCTTGATCCACTACCTCAATGTCTGTCTTGTACCAGAGGTCTCCAAAAACTGACATGCATGCCTCTCACCACTGCTGAGCAAAGAGGAAATCATACCTTTAACCTCTAGCCTGGCAGTGGTCTTCCCACCAGCTGCGTGGCAGCTATATTCCCCTGAGTCTGCACGGTTCAAATCGTGAATGACCAGAGTGTGCACGTTCCCCTCCTGCTTGATGCTGCACTTCTGGCTGGAGCGGATCACTGACGTGCCTTTCTTCCACTCCACAGGGACATCAGGCTTGGACACCTCACAGGACAAGTGAGCCGTGCCACCCTCTTGTAGCTCCAGGCTGTGGAGCGCCTTTACAAAGGTGACCGGAGCAGCTGTGGGGAAGAGGGTATTAACACTAATCCAGCATTGCCCCCAGATCGAAACGTGGTGCCTGTAGTCACATTGTGCACCAGGTCAAAGAGGAACAAATAAGATAAGGTATTGACATGACCCGTCTCTCAAAATCAATCTGTATAACTTAGTGGAAAGGTTTGTCGGCGATTTCAGACCTTTTTCAAGTAAATATGATCTAAAAATATCATAAGTAGGAGATTAATTGAGAGCATATTCTCGACATTCTTCAGCATTGATTCTGACATATCTTAGCTGCTTGTTTCAGGATAAGTTGGATAGTCTTCAAAGGGTGTTTGCTTCACTCCATGGACTATAAAAAGGACTGAAATGAGTAGCTCACATGTACATATGTAACTCTTAGATGCTTAAATTGCATTAGCAGAATCTCCCAAAATTTCCATGGACCCGCCCTCCGAAATACACCTCTCCAGAAGCTAAGTCAATGTTGACAGTGCTTACCAGTACCTCCTCAATCCCTCTTCCTAGGAGGTTGCTCACCTTGGACCGTTAGCTGTGCCGTTGAGGCATGCTGCCCAACTTTGAAACTGATGGCCCCACAGTCTTCCAGTGTCACTTTCCTCAGGATCAAAGTGTGACACGTCCCTTGGACTCTGATCTCATTCATTTCATTGGATTGAAGGGGAACGTCCCCCAGGAACCACTGGGCATCCTGAGTTGTTTCCTGGGATAGCCTGCATTCAAACACGGCGTCTTCTCCTTCATACGAAGTGACATCCTTCAGTGTCTCCACTATGGCTGCTGCTGGTTCTTATGGAAAGGTCAACAGAGTTTGATATCTACTTTCAAGTGAGACTTCCTGGGTTAAACATTTCATTAAGATCCTTCTTGAAAGTATTATGTTATTTGAAACTACAAAGTACTAAGCACTACATGCATGGAAATGTAGGTACATGGGCATGTAACAATATGTTACATTCTTACAGAGGCATAAGGTATGTATGTGGATATTTATGTATAATGTATGCATATACATTATGCACATAAACATGATAGTCTATAAAGTATGTATGTTATACTGTATTGGGTGTATAATAAATATATAATCCGTAATTATAATGCAATCTAAGTATTGTGAAAACACTGTCAACAGATTTTAATGGGTGACATTAACATTAAACCACAGAACCATTGCCTAAAGATGCATTTCTGAATCCCTAGATATAACTGACCCATTTCTTATCCCTCTGAAATCACTCTCATCTCTGAAATCCCCATGATTCAGTTTGGGCACAGGAAAATGTCTAATTGCCAAATTACTTCATCCTGTGCCCCTGTGACAGTAGTGACCTCTGTTCAGCTTTTCCCCACACAAAGCCTCACCTTTCACAAACAAGACTGCAGTGGTTTGCTGGTTCCCTGTGTCACACATGTATTCCCCAGCATCAGCTTCACTCAGGTTGCGAATCGTCAGCTCAGCCACGGATCCAGATTGTTGCATCTTGTATTTGTCACTTGGTCGCAGCAATGTCCCGGCCTTCTTCCACTGCACAGCGGCATTCGTTTTTGAGATTTCGCAGCTCAAAGTGATGGTGCCGCCTTCTTCAGCTTCCTGGTTCCGGAGTGGTTGTGTGAAGATTACTGGTAAATCTAAACCAAGATAAATCAGAGGAAAACTATTATGTTTCATTGCTGTTCGTGATACCAAGTGTTGTGTTTAATGAAACTGTGGTGTCATTCCAAATTTAGTTCAAACTCAATTCAAAAATTACTTTAAAACCCAAACAAGAAATGACAGAAAGTACTGGAATTCCAGGAGGACTAAGCACTCTGCACTCCCTAAGAGTCACTGGGCACTTTGCACACCAAGCACCCCAGGGAACGTGCTCCTTTTTACACAGGAGCAGTCAGGGGTATGGACGCTTGAGTTACTAAGTGCATGTATCTCCAAACGAGTACCGAAGCCACAACTCAAAGCCGATGTGCGATATCTGAGGTGTTGGGTGTATGGGAGGACACATGGAGAAACATCATTGTATAATGCCCCTCATTTGAAAACTGGACCCAGAAGAGAGTTGAACACTGGAAATCTCTGCACTGATGTGTATCACTGATGGGTCAAGATGGAGTTTTGATGGGTTGATTTACAATGCACCACATGTAGAAGTTTAGTTCTTCAAGTCCAGTTCCCTGGAAGAACCTTCGTGGCTCCACAGTTATGGCTGATTTGGAATTTGCAAGGGAAAGTTCCATTTGCAATGGGATTCCAAAAATCAGAGTGAATTCACCAGAACCAGATGGCAGATGTGTATAAGAGGAGATAGATCTGAAAGTTCTTGCAGGTGATGTAGGAATGGATAGTTTATTTTGTGGGTCAGCTGGAGACTGGCTGTGGTCAATGAATGATTTTGTACAGCTGCATTTGCAGTGAAGGCATCCCATTGGGCAGCTAAGTTCTGCACCCTGAGGGCTCTTAGCAGCCAGCAAAGAAATAAGGAGGAGAGAGAAATAAAGCCTTTGTGAAGACCTGCCCTGTCAGACTGGGTCGCTGTTGATTCAGAAATCGTCATCACAAAAAAGGACCAGACTCTGCCACAATGTCCCTCAATCTTACATATGGAACATCTAAACTAACCTAGAGCTCCCTAACAGGTGAAGTGAAAACTTTTTGCCACCTTTCACTACCAAGGATGTCATAGCTTGTTCATTGCCAGAATCACAGAAGTAGTCTCCAGAATCCTTCATCTGTAGGTCATGGATGAGTAGCTCCACAGCAGACCTCATCTGCTTTATCTCATACTCGTTGCTGGCTTGGAGCAAGGCTGATCCTTTTCTCCACTTCATCGGTGTAACATGTTTGGAGAGTTTGGCATGAAGGGTGACCATAGAGCTTTCCTCGCTTCCTGGTTTTGGAGCTTTTTTTCATGTCTGGGACCACACGTAGAGACACAAACAGACAGCCACCATCTGAGGATCTGCTTACAATATAGATACTCTGGTATCACTGAATCCTGGAGTTAGTGTGAAAGCAGACAGGTGCGTGCCCTTCATGGGAGAACCATCAAGGGATATTTCAAAAGGTGTCATCTCACAAGAACGTCCTGGCTCCTCTTTATTTTTGCTGATCTCGTATCTCAGAAAAAAAAATCAACTTGATATTATATTTGTACCAAAATAGATTTTTAAAAATTTATATATTGGCACATTACACCTATGTTTAAGACCCTAGTCACCAGAAGTATTTAGGTGTCTTGCTCATCAGCTGGAGCTGAGGGCCCAAGTAAGTCTTGAGCACCGTTTTCCCAGGTGGAAATATAGCCCATAGGATGGTTAAGCATTAGAAATGGTCTCATTCTAATTTTAGTTGCAGACTTGGTTTTCTGAGTGACCAGAAAGAGGCCCTTGGGTCTAGGATTGTGGAAGTTGTTACTGTGCTTGGGTCCCTCCATGTTCATTGCTCAGGACACCACAGGACTTCACTTCTGAAAACAAAAGGACTCACTGTTTTTTGCCAGCAAAGTACATCTGAAGTAAAGGACAGTAGATAATACTCTTTTGCTACTCCTAAGCTAAGGAGGTGGAACAAGTTTCTTGTCTGAAAAACAAAACAAAACTACGTACCTTTAACAGTTAAAGTGGCTGTTGTTTGTTCGTTTCCATTATCACAAGTGTATTTGCCAGAGTCCTCTGGTTTTAAGTGATAAATCTTTAAAGTATGGATTGTTCCCTCCTGCCTGATTTCATACTTGGAGCTTGGGGAAATCACTTGAGCACCCTTCTTCCACTCCACCGCAGCGTCAGGCTGGGAGACCTCGCAGCGGAGAATGGCTGTTTCTTCTTCCTGCAGTTCTGTGTTCTGTAATTTCTCCTTAAAGACTGGAGGTGGCACTGAAATTACAAACACAGAAAAGGCATTTACCGTCACCTTTATCTTGTTTCCCTGCAGTGTTAAAGCTACTGCTGAACTGTGAAGTATTAAAAAAAGACCATAACTTCTGTGTTTAACTTCTGAGTTAAATCAAGTGAATGGATCTTGGATGAAACCCACTCACAAATATTTGTTGAAGTTACTGAAGTACTAATAAAAAGATTTACAGATGTTTTAATTGGTTCAGGTGGGACGGGGACTTTGACCAGACCAACAGCTTCAGAGGGGGAAGGAGAAGGATGTTTGACTGAGAATTTTTTTCAAAACAGTTTAGAGAAAGAATACCAAAGAAGAAAAAAAAAAAAAAAAAAAAAAAGAAAAAAATAAAAAGGAAACAGTGAAAATTAGAGATCTGTCAATCCACCTACTGGAGCTACCTCAGTAATTTCTCTAGAAACCAGTTAGTTTCTGGATGCCGGTGACATATCCGCTGTCTATCAATAGTGATGACAGTGTATGAGACCATGTTAGTACCTCATGTATGCTCTGAAGCAAAAGCACACTACTAGCATGAGCTAAACAAGGGGCGAATGATGGCCATGATGGCCTTGAATTCACTATTAGCATAAGCAAAATGCCACCTCACCAATCCTGCTCATTTCCCACATCAGAGAGCCCTTACCTCTTACTGTGAGCTCTGCTGTCGTCATGTGGGGTCCCACTCGGAAAGTGATGGTGCCAATGTCCTGCTCAGTCACCTTCTTTAATGTCAGGGTGTGAATTTTTCCTTTTTCCACCGAGATCTCGTTCATTTCATTATTTTGCAGAGCAACATCCTGTAGCTTCCATTCAACGTCCCTTGCGTTTTCATGAGAGACCTGGCACTGAAATGTGACATCGTCCCCTTCCAACACCACCATGTCCTTTAGGCCACTCACAATGGTCACATCAGGCTCTGCAAACAAAACAGTCCATCAGTAGTCAAGCCATGAAAGGGAAAAACATGGATCAAATCATAGAATCATCAAATAATATAGACTGGAAGGGACTTTTGGAGGTCATTTGGTCCAACCACTGCGCAAAGCAGGACTAGCTTACAGAAGGTTGCTCAACATTTTGTCCAGCTGAGCTTTCAGTACCTCCGAGGATGGAGATATCACAACTTCTCCAATCACATTTCAAACACTGCTGGTTCATCACCACTTTCAGTGTACTTGGTAACATGGCCAATATTTTTCAGTTAGTGGTTTTAGTCCTTGCTCTTTCTCAGAGATACATAAAATATTGATTTTTTTTTTTTTAAATTACATGTTTGACACTGTAATTGTGTGAATAAAGTGTGAACGCTAACTACCAAATTCAGAATTTTGAAACTTATTGCTTTTGCACTTAGATATCTTCACAGAATGACATTAAAATCTTCTTTTTGCAAACAAAATTGCATGTACTCTGTGCTGGCACACCAAACTGTCTGGGGAACTGGTTGGCTCTGTGCTCATAGTACGATTTACTGGATTAATGTTAGCACAAGGCATTTATGTTTCAGTTTGCTTCAGTCCTGCTTCTAACACAGCTGGGGACCTGCAGGTCTGTGCAAAGATCATACAGACAGCGTGCAACAGGCAAAAGCTGTGTGTACCCCGAATCTGCTGGGGAATACCTAAAGAGAAGCAGCACAATCTTTATCTGAGCAAACACAGTACATATTCGTACATCTGAGGTCACCATCTGCATGAAAAATGGTGCAGCTGGGCATAATGTACAGAGTATCTATAATATTGAGTAGCCTGTAGAGATGCTAGTGGTGATTGTTCCACACTAGTGATCCAACCTGAAAGCAAGCTCTGTCTGTAATGACATTAAGGCCAGATGCAGCTGCCATGTGACTGGGAGCTGGGGATGGACCATCTGTTCACCCACATGCGTATGATGTCAAGCAAATATTTCAAGCCATGAGTCAAAAATTACAGCTGACTTATCCTTTCCTGGCCACAGAGTGAATCTTTGCTTCAGTGCATTCATTGACAATAAGATTTTTTTTATTACACCCTTCCTATGCCCTGTGTTTATCACAATAGTTTAATCACAAAAATAATGATTAATTGCAAAATCTTCCTAGAGTGAAAATCCCCATGCCCCAGTGAATGGGTCTTGCCTTTCACGGTCAGTTGTGCAGAGCTTGTGTCATCTCCAGCCTTGCAGGAATACTCTCCAGCATCACTAGGCTCCAGGCAGTGAACATGCAGCTCGCGGAAGGTGCCGTCCTGCCGCATTTCGTACTTGGAGCTTGAATGAAGGACAACTCCATCTTTCCTCCACTCCACTTCTGCTTTGCTAATGGAAATCTCACAGCGCAGTCTGGCTGTTCCTCCCGCTTCCACTTCTTCATTCTTCAGCTGCTGCTTCAGCCGGGGTTTGATGGCTGCAGAATGAAAAACAATTAATACACAATCTGTTAACTTGAATGCCAGGTCTGCACAACTCAGCACAAGGCATCTGGGGTCTGATGCTGCAGAACAAATTTGAATTAAGAGGTTATACGATATAATAAATCTTTTTTTTTTTTTTTTTTTTTTTTTTTTTTTCCTATAAACAGACCTATATTCTGTATATCCAGACAAGGAGAAGATCCCAAAGTTTCCCAAATATGTTTGTTTCCCGTAAAGACAAAGGCATCCACATTATATCTTTTACACATCTGCTCTGGATATTGGAAACGCCAACACAGATAAAGATTTTGGCTAAGCAAAACCTAGTACTTTCTGATTAAAACTAGTGTCAATCTGTGCATTTTTATAGAAATAATCATGACTTCCAACACTGTAAATGATGTAATGCTTTAAACACATTTCTGATTTCTCTGCTATCTTTTCAAGACCACCACCAACGAGTCTTTCCACATGATGCACAAACAAACGGACTACATGTATTCAAGCAGGACATGGAACAGCTCAGACAACAGCTTGTCACTGATGAAAACGAGAAGGGAATAGCCATCAAGTGTGTGCGTGTGAGCAGCTGTGAAAACAGGAATCTCGGTGCTTGTGGTTCCTCTGTCTAAACCCTATTGTGATACATGTGAAACAAGCGCAGGGCCCTCTCACTCATACTTGACCCAGTGGCTGCTTTGTGGGTCGAGTTCAGCCAAGAGGATGTAGTTTGAAAGATTGTGCCTTAGATCAAAGCCACAAGTTCCATCCAACAGTTTGAGATGACCACAAACATTCCACAACTGGTGATTAATGACAGACATTATTCCTGGTTTGTTTAAACATGGTGTTCTCAGGAGCTTCATGGGAAGGCATTATAAAAATTGAAAATAGTAAATTTTTAAAATGCTTTTTTAAATGGCTTATGATTTGTTATTGATTTGCCTGAGCCAGCAATGAATGCAAAGCACCAAAAATAAAGATCTATTAGAATTTAAAAATCCCAATGATGCAGAGTTTCTTGTTCTTATCATGTCAGAAGAAGGGGTCAATACACTGGACATTGTACTCTATAGGCTTAAATAACCATTCTACAAATCCTTTCCCACAAGATTAACTTTTCTGTATGTTGTTTTATGACTGGGAACATGATTTCCTTGTTATCTTAACTTTTGGAGAGATTTATTCACCAGTAAATAAAAAAAATATCATTCACACAATTTCATAAATCCCTTCATTTTGATGTAGTGCTAACCATTCACTCTGAGGACTGCTGTGCTCTGCTGGTCTCCCGTATCACATGTGTAATCAGAAGCATCTTCTGGTTCAACATTATGAATCACAAGTTCAGCTGTGCGACCACTTAATTTAATTTCATATTTGGTGCATGGGAAGATCTCCATGGTGCCTTTCCTCCACTCTACGGTTGCACTATCCTTTGTCAGCTCACACTGGAATTTCACTGAAGCTCCTTCTTCTGCCTCCTTGTCCTTCAACTCCTTTTTGAAAAGAACTGGCAGAGCTAAAGGGGAAAAAAAGAAGCAATAGGAGCTTTTATTGAAGCCTGAGTCAAGTCCTAGTTAACACAGTTTGACACTTTGGAGAACAAGATACTGTGCTTTACAAGTGCTATATTGCTAGGCAGGACCCATGTTTTCTGGTTTGCCTGGAGCTCCTAGGAAATCTTGCTGCATCAGAAGCAGTCATCTGCACTTATAACATTTATTTCCTTTGTTCCTTGACTCAAATCCTTCCCAGGGTTGAATTCTTTGAATTAATTTATCTTTCAGTTGATCTAGCAAAGATCTCAAGATTAAGGAAGTTCAGAACTCCATGGACAGCCTTGACAGATCAAGAAAGTTGTTGTCAGTCTTCTTCCAGGATTTAGAAGAAAATGTTTTTTTTTAAAATACTTAAATCACACATCATGTGAAATGTCCAGATGCTATGTTAAAGCATTGCTCTTTAATTTCTTCCTAGCCATTATGCTAGAAATATTTCTTCTTAGAACCCAAAACTCAAATGCAGCACTGGAAGAACAAAGTATCGTCCTTTTCCATTCTCATTTAGAAAAAAAGAAATCCTAGTATATCAGATAAAAAAGGAAAATATTTGTAGGGGAAAAAAAAAAAAATAAAAATAATGTCCTCAAAAGCATTTATAGACAAACTGTTGCTTTGCATGTTAGATGGAATCGATTGCTTTCGGAGTCAGCTCACACCACCTACCTTTCACATTTAAAGATGCCTTGGTTTCCTGATCCCCAGTATCGCAGCTGTATTCTCCTGTATCTTCTAATTTGAGATTATGTATTAAGAGCTCTACCAGGCATTTCCTCTGCCTTATTTCATATTTCTGGCTGGGCTGCAGCCCCACTCCTCCTTTCCTCCACTCCACTGTAGCATTGGGGTTTGACAGCTCACAACAGAATATAGCTGTACTTCCTTCCTCTGATTCCTTATTTTGTAGGGGTTGCTTAAATGTAACAGGAAGTGCTGCAAAATTTGAGAGGGAAACGTTTTAAGAGTGTTTTAGTCTGAAAAGGATCCAATCCTACCATCATTTTTCAGAAATGGCCTATTCTAATGATTTCATAATCCTTGGGCTGCAACTCACTGTCTTGGTAGCATCTTTCTTGAATCATTATGTGAACCAAGAGGTGAGGACAGATGGTGAAGTTAGGAAAGATCTGGTTTAGAGAATGGAATAGTCCATAGAATGGTCTGCCTTGTGATCTGAAGGAGTCAGACTTTCCTACCTAAATGTCTCCATGCCATCTAGGGATGCTTTAGTCAAAGATCACTGGGACATGCTCTCTCTTACATGGGCCCTTGTTCCTTAATAAAGGTCTGCAAGTTTGCAGTGTTAAGCAGAGTATTCCCCCCCAAAAATAAAGATTCTATCAACATACAAAAGGTCAAGTTAGCGTTCAAAACACAAAAGGAAACAGTACAGTAAAAGATGACAATAAAGTGATAAATGGAAGAGGAAATTCAGAATTCATGCGAGGTCTTGCTCTGGATGATAGAAGGGGTGGATGCAGTTGTGTGTAGTCAAAGTTTACACCTGAGGTTCAAAGCCTCAAGGAATAATACAGCACATTCACATGTTATAGAAATCCTTTATCTCCTAACTGTTGCATCTCTTATCATTGCAATCAGGCATCCCTTATGCCTACTGAAGCAATCAACAACCCAAAATAACCATCAGCCTGACTGACTTATTTTCTGTTATCCATTCCCATATGCAGCCACACTCACTGCACTCAGAAGACAGGAAGGTTCTTCGTATTTTGACATCATGACAATATTTAATTGCTTTGATGCTGATTAATCACTCCAGATACTGCAAGAAGAATCTTTCTAACTTGTACTTGCTCAGTTAGAGTATGTATACTGGAAAGGACTGGCAGCAAAACAAATAAAGGGCTCTAGAGAACACTGAAGGATGCTCCTTTCAACTTCATCTCTATTGAGCCAACGGTCAATACTCTGCCTACCATGTACGGTTACCACAGCCGTTGTCTGCTGATGTCCAGAGTCACAGGTGTATCTTCCTGAATCGTCCAGTTTTAGGTCATAAATGACCAATTCAGCAGTGGTACCCTGCTGCTTCATCTCATATTTCAAACCAGGGTAGAGAGTAATATCCCCTTTCTTCCACTCTATGGGAGCCTTGGGTTTGGTAAGCTCACACCTCAGTGTTGCTGTACCACCTTCTTCTGCCTCGGTATTCTGGAGCTCTTGTTTAAAATGTGCTGGTAGGGCTACAAAACAGAAACAGAACTTGCAACATACTGCAGTTGGGGTTTGTAAAAGAGAAAGTAGAATGAAAATGAATGCACCAGAAGAGGTTTTTTGTGGATGTCTCTACCCCTAAATACTCTAGATTCAAAGTACAAGGCTGTTTCCCGAGAGAAGTAATAGGAATAGTTGAAGAACAAGAAGAAATTAATTTCAAGAAGTTACAAGTGCCATGAAGTATATAGTAGCTTAATCTAATCTATGATCTAAAAATGGCAGAATATTTTTCCTACTATAAAAGTAGCCAGTGTGCTGCCCTGATCACTGAATAGGTATTCTGAAGATCAGCAGGAAGTTGTGAGTTCAGATTCCCTCTTAAGGCAGGCCACTTGCAATAGAAATTGCAATTATCCTGACAGTAACATACTGACAAAATGTATTTTCTTCTGCATTGCAATTCTCTTTTTCTACCTGGTCACTCTATTAGGCTGTATAGACCATGCTATTCGGCACACTTTTTTTTTTTTTTTTTTTTTTTTTTTTTTTTTTTTTTTTTTTTTTTACCATTTACTGTCAAAGTGGCAGTTGACTGCTGATCTCCACACACACAGGTGTAATCTCCAGCATCCTCCACATCGAGCTCATGGATAATCAGCTTTGCAACAGCACCATCTTGACTTATTTTATACTTGCTGCTTGTTTTGAGGACCTCCTGCCCTTTCTTCCACTCCACCACAGCAGGTTTAGTCAGCTCACAGTGCAGAGCAGCTGTCCCACTTTCCATGGCTTCTAGGTCCTTCAGGTCTTTTTTGAATTCTGGAGGCAGTGCTGAAGAGTAAAAGAATGACCATAGAGAGTGAATATTCCTTAAAAAGCAGCTGGGAGAGAGGATGCATGGTACACTACCAAGCCCTGATCCAGGTCACTGGAACATAATGGAAAAAGCTCTCCTGGCTTCCCTGGACACTGCATCAGGGCAAAGGAAACGAGAAGAACCAGCCCAGCTGAGGAGGATAAACACCAACAGGCAACTCTTTTCCCAATTCTAACACAAGGAGGAAGCACATAAACAAAGTCCAAAGGAACACGAAAGCCCAAGCAAACAGAAAAGGAATGGGAATGGGTCATAACAATAGAGACTTGGGCAGGTCTGAGGTTTGGAGGACCTTAGTCCCAAGGATTACTTTACCATGTACTGTTAAGGCAGCTGTGCTGGTCTTGTCTCCACACACACAGGTATAATCTCCAGTATCGTTCAAGTCTAAATCGTGAACTACCAGCTCCACAACACAGCCTTCCTTTCTCATGCTGTACTTGTTGTCTGAGGTGAGGACGTGGTGGCCCTTCTTCCACTGAACCTGGGCAGATGCCTTGCTGAGCTCACAGTGCAATGTGGCCGTTCCACCTTCGACTGCTTCTTTGCTGCTTATTTCTTCTTGGAAAAATGGAGGCACAGCTGAAGGATGCAGGTAAAAACTATTACAAACTGAGGATATCTCCAAGGATGTGTGACAGTAGGAAGTGACAGGGGAAAGTTGTGAAGGTTATGGAAGGGTGAGCAACAGCAACAAGGAGAGGAAAGAGAAATGAAAATATCCTAGTGGGAATACATACCCTAATAATTTGGGGTTTAGGCTGGCTTTCTAGTAGCAAAATTGCACTGTCCTCAAGAGATTTACACCTACTTTCTACCAGTTTCCATGTAAGAAAAACTAAGAATATCAATCTCTGAGCTCCTTAGTTCACATGTGTAGGTGTCTTCCACAAACTTCATGCCTTTTTACTCTCTCTTCCTACTTACAGAGCAGCTGTGCTGATGTCTGAGTGTTGGCACAGCTCCTTACTCATCATGGTTCCTTCTTCCTTGAGATACCCTTGAAAAGATACAGCCAGGGCTTCAAGATTTTTCTTGACTCCAGGGAAAATCTCCCAATGTTGAATCCCAGCCTGTCATCTTGTCTCAGAACCTGTTTTGCCTGCTTAACATAATTCTAGTACCCATTTCAAGTTGTGTCCTTGAAATAAATTTGGTGACCTTCATATATGTCCCTCTATTATCTAGATGGGATAATAAGATATTCCACCTGTTTAACAAGGTTTGATATCTCAGACGTCAGTCTTAGTGTCTCACTCCATAGTAGTGCAGCTAAGTTAAAATATCCAGGCTAGAAACCAAGTTTAGCCTGCTTGACTTGGCACATTTCTCATCTCCAGCAGTGTTAAGCTGAAACACCAGTTTTGTTTGTACAGCAACTGGTTCTTGCAACAAAATAAGACCAGAAGGAGGTCACGGAAAGAATTTATTCTTTCCTGCTTAGAAAATCAGTCTCCTATTTTTGTACATTAGGACAGAGGTTGTGGGTACAAAATCCAACATAAACACAAACATAAATCAGTACAGAAGAAATTATAACTAACACAGCCTCAGTCTGGATGCTATTTTTTATACTCTATACTACATTCAAAATGGTGGGTATTGAGAGTGTGAGAAAGGAATGGCAAAGAATAAGCAGATTTGTGTTTTAGAGAATAAATGCAGGAAAGGAAAGACAAAAGAATAGTGGGTTTATGTGCTAGGAAAGGAATGCCAGAAGGGAAAGATGAAAGGATAGCAGGCTGGTGTTTAAGGAAGGAAAAGACAAAAGGATGGCACAGAAAAATATAGACTGATATTTTCCAATATACACAGCCTGCAGGTCAGGAAAGTCAAGGAATACTTTCAAATGAATGGAACTTCAGTTAATAAGGTTGAACAAACAGACATGGAAAATTGAACACCTTATATCAGAGGACAGACGTTTCCAGTTAGAAAACAGGTGGTCAAGATAGTCTTTACCCTGTACTGTTAAAACGGCTGTAGTATGGTGCTCCCCACACACACAGGTGTAGTCTCCTGCATCCTCCTCAGCTATTTCATGAATCACCAGCTCTGCCTTGGTCCCTTCCTGCCTCATTCTGTATTTGTCACTCGCTTTGAGAATCCTCTGGTCTTTCTGCCACTCCACCTGAGCAGCCTTGGTGAGTTCACAGTGCAGGACCACTTCTCCACCTTCTTCTGCTGCCTTGTTTTTTAGCTCTTCCTTAAAGAGTGGTGCCAGAGCTGAAGGATGTAACATGGACAAATAGTCATCAGAAAACCAGAATTAAAATCCTAATTCCTTTTCCATGTTTGGGATTATATCCCTTCATGCCTCCTTTTTTCAGCCTATTATAGACATGCTTAGCTATAGTCAAGTCCAGAATCTCAGAAAGCATCCTCCTTCAAGTGTGTTGTGGTTTCACTTACCGTAAGGAATCAGGTCCCTGGGTGTCTGCTGTTCTTCATAGAACAACATGAACAAGAACAATATAGAAAGATCCAGATCTTGGGTCAATAGTACTCACAAATAACACTGCTGGATACAGTACTATTTTACCTACACAGTTATGATTTCTTGGAGGCTGGTGTTGTTATTTTCTGATTTATCTTTACTAAAAACTTATAGCCCTGTGTACATGAAAGCAGACAGATTTCAAAATAAAACTATTTCTAGTATTAAATTGAAGTTTGAAGGGTCACTACATGTAATAAGTATTTCAGATTCTTACTATTCCCCATTTTGGAAATCATAACCCAAAGACAGAACAACCTACAGGAAAACATTTAACCACAAAAGTGCTTTGTGCACAACTGCTATAAGAGGGTACAGAATACAAAACAATACTCCTCAAATGCCTCAGAAAAAGTCTATGTCTCAGGGAAGCCTGAGGGGAATCAGAAGTTTTTGGAAAAAAGCTGGAGAGGACATAACTGAGTCTCTTTGTCCAATTAAGTTCCTCTTAGCTATGGACTGTTACTCCACTAAAATGGATACTTACTAATGAGAGGAGAGCAGAACATCAAGTAATGAGATCATTAACATAACACAAGGATTTATTTCTATATTGTTTTACTGGTAGCTAATAGGATAAAGAAGAGTATAACTGCTGATAACCTGTGCTGGTTTTGGTTTTGTTTTGTTTTGTTTTGTTTTTTTTTAATACCTAACTGTCAGGGTAGTCTTGATCCCCATACACACAGGTGTAGACCCCTGCATCCTGCAAACCTAGGTTAAGGGTAACAAGCTCTGAAATGGTATCTTATTTCATTCTACATGTCTGACTTGCTTAAAGAATCTGGTGCCCCCAGGAGTAGCCATGGTCAGGTCACTCAGCAGGGGACATCTCCTCCTCCTTCTGCTGCCCCAACCCTCACTTGTCCTTTGAGTAGTGCTTGGAGAGCTGGTAGCCTGACAGACCATACGTGTGTTTTGTAGAAAACTGTGGTTGGATGAAGTGAATCATGGGGGAGGGGGTAGGGAAAGAGATGGAAAACATAAATGTCCAAGAAGAGGGGACTTCAACAGAAAGAAACACCTACTTTTCTCCTTTTAAAGGGGGATAGATTAATAATGACCCAAAATTTACCCTGAGCTGTTCTTTCTCAGTAAGAAATAATTTATAAATAGAATGAAGGAAGAGAAAGGGATAAAAACGAAGACAAGTTACTGACCCAGGCCAGAAACACCTAAATTTGAGTGATGTCTATCTACAGAGCTATTTATCAATTTTAATAAGGTCTTTTTACCATGAACTGTTAAGGTTGATGTTGTCTTCTGGTCACCACACACACAGGTGTAATCTCCAGCATCTTTTACTTCTAGGTCATGAATGACCAGCTCTGCAGTGGTGCCAGGCTGTCTCATTTGATATTTGTCACTTTCTTTGAGCACTTTGGACCCTATTTTCCACTGAACTGGAGCTGCTTTGGTTAATTCACAACGCAGAGAGACTGATGCTCCTTCTTGGACTTCTTCATTCTTCAGTTCTTCCTTGAAAAGCACTGGCAGGGCTGGGAATGGAAAGTCAATAGATAGTGTATTTAAACTAAGACCTCTGCATTTGCAATCAGCATCATGAACTCTCAACTGAAGTTCAAATCTGGCCAAGTGTGGGTCTTTGGTCATTGAAGTTGAGGTTATCACTATGATGATCTGGAAAACTAAATCCAGCAGTGACAGTAAGAAAAGAAGTGCTGAGCTGACAAGTCAAAGTACAACAGGCTGGACAGATTCAAGATGCAATCTAAAGAATTTATCACAGGGCAGCCTTCCATGGGGGCGGGACATCTCAGCTGGTCTAACAGCAGCATTTCCTAAGCACTATTCCCTTAAACTTACAACATAGCAGTTTGTCTGCATGGAGAAATAGTCATGTCCTCATCTCCATTTTCAGGAATATCAGACCAAAATTAAATGTCAGAACAAGATGTTCTCATTTCCTGAATATCAATTAATTCCTAGGAAAAGGCTGACAGGTGAACAGTTCATACAGCAACAGGATGTTTCAGAGAAACAAAAAATGAACGGTCATCTGTAAGATGGATTTACCATTCACGGTCAGAGAAGCTGTGGTGTGTTGGTCTCCACACACACAGGTATAGTCTCCCCCGTCCTGCAGCTCTAGCTCACAGATTTCCAGCTCAGCAAGGACATTATCCTGCCGCATGATGTATTTTTCACTTGCCCCGAGTATTTTGTTTCCTTTCTTCCATGACACAGCTGCAGCCTTGGTCAGCACACAGCGCAGAGTGGCTGTTTGGCTTTCCATGGCTTGCAGGTCCTTCAGTTCTTCTTTGAAAAGTGCAGGCAGGGCTGAAGGTCACAAAACAGACAGAGGACATTAAAAATGGCACGTGACACACAGGTGATGGGAGGGATGGGGTGGTACAGAAGCAGAGAAAGTTTTAAGGTAGAAAGGGTTTCCTTTCCCCATAATTCTGGGACACTGGACAAAACAATAGACAGAAAGAGTAAAGCAGCCTGGATGCAGCCAGATCTTAGAGACAGTTGACAAATTTAAAGTAACAAATTCAGCCATGGGTGAACACACAACCAATATCAATGAGCTGTCAGAGGAAAACACAATAATGTAGATATATGCATATGTTTTTTACCATTCACTATCAAGGCAGCTGTTGTCTCCTGTTCTCCACACACACAAGTGTATTCTCCAGCATCTTTCAACTCTACGTCATGGATAAGCAGCTTCATGACTGTGCCCTCCTGTCTCATTTTGTATTTGTCGCTGACTTTGAGCAAACTGCTTCCCTTTCTCCACTCTACTTGAGCAACCTTGGTCAGCTCACAGCGCAGAGTGGCTGCTTGACCTTCTGTTACCTCCTCGTCCTTCAGGCTCTCCTGGATGCGTGCAGGCAGCGCTGAGGATGCAACGGACAGAGGGTTAAAATGGAGCAGCAAAACAACCTCCTGGTGCTAGGACAGGGGTGGGGGAAGGAAAGGCGAGGGCATTGGTGGGGAGCTGTCTTTGGGCCTGATCTCACATCTACTTTAGGGATCAGGTCCTAAAAACACTTTATGTGAGGAAATGAGATGAAGGTTTTTTCCCTTAAACCACAAAATGCAAATTAATTCTCATGACTATGACATGCAAAGTCAGACTCAGAGGAACTACACAGAGATAACAATGAATATGGAAGAAAAAATTAATTCAAACCACAATCTCCATAATGAGGACATCTAGATGAAATTGGTTATTACCATGTACTGCTAAGGAAGCTGTGGACTGCTTATCCCCACACACACAGGTATAATCGCCAGCATCGTTCTCATTTAGATTATGGATCACCAGTTCTGCAGTGACATCCTTCTGCCTCATTTTGTATTTCTCACTAGGTTTGAGTACTGTGTGTCCCTTTTTCCACTCCACTGAAGCGGCCTTGGTCAGCTCACAGCGCAGAGTCACTACTTCACCCTCTGTGGCTTCTTCATTTTTTAGCTCTTCTTTGAAGAGAGCAGGAAGGGCTGAGAAACAAACGAGCAAATATTTTTATGATATGCAGTTCATGGCCACTGTCCCAGTTTTGGCTGGGATAGAGTTAATTTTCTTCCTAGTAGGTGGTATAGTTCTGTGGCTTGGATTTAGTACAAGAATAATGTAGATAACGTACTGATGTTTTTAGTTAATATAAACACTAATTAGCAACAAGTCCAGGATTTTTCAGCTTCTCATGCCCTGCCAGCGAGAAGGCTGGAGTGGCACATTGAGTTGGGAAGGGACACAGCCAGGACAATTGGCCCAAACTGGCCAAAGGAATATTTTATACCATATGATGTCATGCCCAGTATATAAACTGGAGAGAAAGCTGACCAGGGATTAGTGCTCAGGAACTGACTGAGCATTGGTTGGTGAGTGGTAAACAATTTCAATGTACGTCACTTAGTTTGTACTTTCTAATTCTTTTATTATTATTATTATTACCATTGTTATAATTTTCTTTCTTTTCTGTCCCATTAAACTGTCCTTATCTCAAACCCATGAGTTTTACCTTTTTTTTGTCAATTCTCTCTCCTATCTCACTGGCTGGGGGGAATGAGCATGTGGCTGTCTGGTGTTTAGTTGCTAGCTGGGATTAAACTACAACAGCCACCAAAAAACTAAGCCTTGATGTTTACCAGTATCTATCCATGCCTAGTTATTGATACGAAGATCATCTCACAGAAGGAAGATAATAATTTCTATCATAGATGCAAAAGGGTCTCAAGCAGTAGGTAAATTTGCTGATTGGTTTAGAGATGTATGGAATATAAACAGCAGGAATGGAAAAACTTCATGTATGGTCAAAACTATAACTTTATAATTCAGCCCAGGAGAAGCTATATAAGCAGGTTACACCAAGATCAGGGAAAAAAAAGCTAAGGAAAAAAAAGAAAGGGCTTTACCTTATGTGTTAAAGATGCCTGCAGAACTAGCTCGAGAGTTAGAATGAGGCTGAAGAGCAGAATCAGAGACCTGTTGAAAGTGCTTGGGTAACAATAAAATGTAAAAAGAAGGATAATGTCTCCATTGAGGAAATCTGCTATAACACTTTCACACCAGGAAGTTCAGGTGCATCCCAACACCCTGTCCCTTTAGGAACAACCAATAGAATCATTCAGAGCATCAGACTGGATGATAACGTGGTAATATGCACTGTGGGAGCAGTAGGATGGGACAATGTCTTTGGAATGTGGTGGGGACGACTTCTGGATATAGAATGTATACAAAAGAACAGGAAAGGACAGGTTCTGTATCCAACCACCAAGAAATAAGTATTTGAGGATACAGATATGGAGGATAATTGGGCAGACACCAGTTATGAAGCAGGAGAAGCTCATGGATTTTAGGACAAGTAATGATGAAGAAGCAAGAGGAAATTCCCTGGGCAATGAGAAAGCAAACTTCAATAAATCAAGAATTATTACTTGTGATCAAGCAGAAGCAAAACTTAAAGGACAAGGTGGTTTCAAAGCATGGAAAACTTCTCAAAGAAACAATATTAAGGGCATAATTATACAGACTACATCACTCCAAGGATCATTAGAAATAGCCTGCCTATATCACAAATTCTTCAGTGTCCTGAAACTCAAAAGACCTATAAAATACTGGAGGTTTAGATGAGTGTAAAAGAAATACTACTGAATGTAGAACTGGAAAAAAAAACAGGTTCTCTGCATGTCTCAAACAGGTCATGGGCAGTTGCCCGTTCTTGGACTCTGTCACCTCATGGACAAAGAGACCAACATGAAAGAGGGGCTGAAATGTAATCTGTAAAAAGATGCTGATATCAAATGTCTCCAGACACAGCTGAATGCTGTATGCAGTTGTATGCAGCAACTGGGCAGCAAGGTCACTACTCCAGGAGCTATATCATCTGCTCACAGTTCAACTTGTGGCTCTTGCCTGTATTGGAATTTTAGCATGCAAATCCCAGGAAATCTGGCCAGCCTGAACTAGAAAAAAAAAAAAAAAAAAAATACAATGACATTCTGTAAGTAGATTAGAAGGAAGAAAATCAACAAAGGAGAAGTTGGTCTGCATCTCTTTCAAGAATGTAAGTTGATGGTGAGTGACAAGGGGAAAGCTAAAGCATTTAATTCTTTTTTCTTCTTTAATACTAAAAGTTAACAATAGCTAGGAACATAATAGGAATTATGGCTAAGATAAGGGGAAAAAAAAAGGATTAGAGGATATTTAAATAAACTGAATATTCTCAAAGCACCTTGGTGTGATTAAATAATTTGTCCTGGAATACTTCAGGTACATGCTCAACCAACATCAGGCATTAACAGTTATGCTGGAGAAATCAAAGAGAGTGAGTGATGTTCCACAAGTATTAAAAAAAAAAAATAATAAAAAAAGGAAACTCAGAAGTGGAAAAGGTCTTACAGATTGAAAGATACACATTTAGTTCTTACCATGTAACCAAGACTCTAAGCTCCCAAGACAGTCAAGAAAGATCCAGACAGAGTCAACAGAGGCAATGGAGGTACCTGCTGACCAAATGTAAATGTCTGCTCTAAAGTGAACTGATGTCTCCCTGGCTTCCATTGACTGTGTTGACTAGATCTCCACTGACAGCAGTGGGAACTTAGGAACACTCACCAGTCTTGATCTACAAGCTGGATTCTGTTCACAGTGCTTGTCTTGGAAAAACGGGAAGAAGTGGGAGACAGAGAAGATCCAAGGAATTATGTCCATTTCAGCTTAACTTTAATTCCCTGAAAAATATTGTAGCAACACACTTGGACTTGTCAAGAGCTTTTCTCTTCATGAGGGAGTGGACCAGTGTAATTTTTCTTGGCATAGGTTAATAAGCTTCACTGATAGGGAGACACAATATGTGCTGTACACTTCGATTTTAGTAAAGCTCTTACTTTAACTTAAGTATAGGTAGAACTACAGTAGGAAGCACTACTAATTTGAAAACCACAGTCAAAGAATATTCAACTGTGATTTACATTCACAGTGAAAGAGTTGAGCAGAGTTCCTCAGTACTCTGTAGTCCAGTATTATTCAGCATTTTCTTTAGTGACATGAACAATGAAATGTAGAGTTGTCATTAACTTTGCAGATGGTCTCAAGGTGGGAAGGAAGGGAAGCCAAAAGCACTTTGTTAAACAGGATTAGGATACAGAAGATCTTGATAAAGCAGTGGTGAAGAAAATAGGCTACAATTCAGCAAGAGGAGATGCAAAATACTATATTTAGGAACAACTAACAACACAAATACAAGATAGGGAATAATAGGCAGCAGATCTGCAGAGAGATTTGGGGTTACAAGAGATTATGGAGCAAATGCAGGTCAAAAAATGCAATTCTGATGTGAATAAAGCAAACATCATAACAGGGATATAAAAATGAAGTGTCATAGGCAAGACACATGAAGTCCTTTCATCCTACTCCAGTCTGGCAAAGTCTCAGATGGAGCACTGCAGTCTGCTTTTGGCCACCACACTTCTAGAAATATGTGGATTAATTGAAGATGGTTCAGAAAGCACCAAAGATGAGCTGAAGTCTAGAAAACATGACCTATGAAGAAAGAGTGAAAGGATTGAAGGTGCTTAGTCCAGAAAAGAAGACAGAAATGAGACAAGATATAAGTTTTCAAATCTTTCACAGAGAGGAAAATAACAAATATTTCTCCATTTCTATAGTATATGGGATGAAAAGTAATGACTTAAGCCAGTTTGAGAAAAACTTTTTTTGAAATTAGGAAGAACTTTCTGGCAGTACTGATGGCTAGGCAGAGGAATCAGTGTCCAGGGGAACTGCAAATTCTTCAGCACTAGAGTGAGGCGAGGTAGGGGTGATGGTGACTTGCGGCTCAAGGATGGACTAGGTGACCTGTTGAGGTCCTTTCCAATTCTATTTTCCATGGTTAAATTGGAAGTTCAAGATTGAAGTCATCTTGTTTTATTGGTAAATATCAAGATTAAAAGGTCTGGGCAGTAAAGAAGTGGACTCACTGGCCTACTGATTTTCCAGGTGAGAAAGACAACTGAAACAACTTCCCTGTGTCCTATGCTAAGATTGGAAATAAAGTTTCCCTCTGTTCCAAGGGAAGTTTGCAGATGAATTTGACTGAGGATTATGAAATATTCTTGCACTACAGTACACAATATTCTGCAATACCAGAATACAAATCTACATGATCCTTGGGTCAGAGTTATATAGAAAAATTGCATTGAATCATGTTTTATTTGCATTATTTAAAGTTATCTGTCAAATCCTAATGTAACTTGAAATCTAAGATCGCTCTTAGGATGAATTTTCCTGCTACTCCATCTCTCTAGGCTCAAGTCAAAAAATAAGTAAAAGAGAACAAAAAATGCAAGCATGTAGCATTCTTCAGCCTTCAACGTGGTACAAATCAGTATAGCTGTGCACCACAAGAGCAAGGAGAAGAAAATAAGGAAAATGTTAGTATAATCAATGGAACTACAATTCTAGTTAGAATTAGATAAAAATCACTATAAAAAAGAGGAAATTACATTACTGACAGAATTAATGATGGCAAGATTAGAGAAAAAACCCATTGTGTGTCAGTGCTGAGGCTTCCAGAGGAGACAGGAAACACACCACACAAAAAGTTCTCATTTTTGTTTTCTTACCATGCACTGTCAGTGCTGCTGTGGTCTTCTCGCCTCCACACACACAAGTATACTCCCCAGCATCCTTGACTTCTAAAGCATGGATCAGCAGTTGTGCTGTAGTACCTTCCTGTCTCATAGTATATTTTTCACTTGATTTGAGCACTTTGTGTTTCTTTTTCCACTCCACAGAGGCAGCCTTAGAGAGCTCACATTGTAGTGTGGCTGTTCCACCTTCTGTGGCTTCTTCATTCTTCATTTCTTTCTTGAAGTGTGCAGGCAAGGCTGAGGAGTTCAAAATGAGCAGAATGTATGACCATGGCAGCTATCCAAGTAACTATTTATCTGTGGTCTGTCAACCACACGTGACAAGCAAAGCCTTCCCTAATCAAATACGATTGATAACCACTTGTGGGAATATGTGATGGTGATTTTGGAAAGCTGGAGAACACTGGTATGGCCTATGGCATGAAATAGAGAACCACGCCAGTCTCAACTTCAGTCTCTGCAAGACTGAGCTCTACCTTACTCTCGGTATTGCCTGGTAAAATGGAAAATAAAGCCCAACTGGAGTGTATAAGTCCTATTGTATTGCAAATCATCACTGAAAACGTTCATAAATTAAACTATATGGGAGGTATCAATCTCATTTTTCCATGCAATTTCTCCTCAGGTAACGATCCAGCAGAACTTGAGCGTCAAATTATTCTGAAACACTAAAACTGTATGAAAAACATCTCAAACAAATTGTAATATTCTCAACTTTAGGATTGTAAGGTCTTGACAACCAACATTACAATAGTGTGATTTTTCTTTTTTAGCGACTACTACTGAACACGTGCCTTAAAGTAGTAAGATGGAACCAAGATGAATATATGAAATTTTTGCAACGAACACCTGATCAGTGCCTGATACTGACCAGTGTATTCAAGCATTTATGCCCATATCCAATCACATGTTGCTAAATTCATCAGAAACGGGGCTGAAATTTCAAAGCTGATACCACCATGGTCTTAAAAAACAACTGGTTGAAAATAATCCACTTAATTTGCTACTTTTTTTTTTTTTTTACCATTCACTTTGAGCGCAGCAGTAGTTTTCTGATCTCCACAACAACATGTGTAATCTCCAGCATCTGTCAGATCTAAATCACGGATCACCAGCTCAGCAGTTGTGGCCTCGCACTTCATGGTGAACTTGTCATTTGCCTCCAGGGCTCTGTCTCCTTTCCTCCATTCCACAGCAGCTGCGGGCTTGTTCAGTTCACAGCAGAAAGTGGCCGTGCCTTTTTCTGTGGCTTCCACATTCTTCAGCTCTTTTTTAAAATGTGGAGGAAGGGCTGAAGATCACAGGTGAAGAGAGAGCACTTTAGAACAGGAAATACTGAATCCTGATGGCTCCACTGGATTAAAACCCTTTAATCACTAAAAGCTTTAGAATATGCAGTACTTGAGAGGCAAATGAAGATTTCAGGGGCATCCCTGCCTTATGGTTTGCAACATACCACATTCAGCATGTCACAACTGGTTTGGAAATTAGTGTTGTAAAACTATAATTTCAGTACTGGAAGGTATGCTTTAAGGGTATTTTAAGATATAACAACAGAAAGCTGATTCCAATATTTCAAGGAACTATGTACAGCTCTGTCTTAAGATCAGATGAAGAGCTAAAATGAACACTATGTTATTTAAAATTCCAGGCTGCAGTGTATCATTCTCACCTGCCTTTTCTACTTGTTATCATAACAGAGCACCTTTCAATTCCATTCAAAAAAAACAAGTGAAGTCTCATTGCAACGCCTAAATAAATTAATTAATGGAAATACTGCAAGTGTTATTTACAACTTCATCGAGGTCTTCATTATCGGCTTCTAGATTCCACTAACATGAAAGAACAGGGACAGAAAAAACTGTATGGTGCTATTTCTCAATCTTAAGAGAAGGACTTTTGGTAGAAGATATTCCCAGTAGTTGATACAGTTATCATAATGATTTAAATTAATAGATGCGATCAGGACCAGTTTGTGGTCCTGCATGAGATCACAGGTGGCAAAGCAGAAAATCCCTATTAAATCTATGTATTTTACCATGCACTGTCAGGGATGCAGTAGTCATCTTGTCTCCGCACACGCATGTGTAATTTCCCGCATCTTGCTCCTCCAGGCTATGGACTGTCAGCTCAGCAATGGTATCCTTCAGTCTCATTTTGTACTTCTCACTAGGCTTGAGCACCTTTTGCCCTTTCCTCCACTCCACCGGAGTGGGTTTAGTTAGCTCACACTGCAGAAGGGCAGTCCCGTTTTCTGTGGCTTCAATATTGACAAGTTCTTTTTTGAACAGTGCAGGCAAAGCTATGGGATGTAATATAAAGAGAGAGGACATCAGAACCATTAACCAGGCCTTGAGGAACTTAGGACTAGTTCCTGAGGCCCGTCCTTCCATATTACAGGAAAACAAATCATATAATCTTGAAATCTGCATCTGTTAGAAAACTACTCCAGGATCACACAGGGAAAAATGCCACTATGACCTGCTTCTAACATTGACTTATGCAGCATGCTCACTCCAGTAGTCCTCTCTACCTATTTTGGCCTGAAATCAACTATCTGGAATATTAATGACTTGACTTTTGATTAAAAGTCATTTCCCTGGACAACAGAGCTGCTAGCTGGAGACCTCTGCCTTTCCTGACACCATAATTTATCTTTCCGGTTCAGAAAAACAAAATTAATAATATAACTTCAGGTGTTCATTTACACCATAACTTCCAAGGACACAGTGGCTCTAATATCAATAATACAGGGGGTTTTAAGCAACATTCTACAAGTTGTCTTGTGGTATGTCACTAAAATAAAAAGGAAGTGACTTGCACAAGGAAGAAAGTGCCAGCTCAGAGGGGAGGAACAGAGGTACCTCCATCTGGGAGAAAGAAGACGAAGTAAAAGCATGTAGAAAATCTGAGAGAAAAGTGTTTTACTTCCACAATTTTGCCCCTGTCCTCAGAAGCATCATATCCTTAAGATATACCTCAAATAAAAACTATTTTTTCATCTATTGGAACTGTATTTGAACTCCCTAAATTAGGACCTACAGAATAATGGTTTGGGATTTTTTTTTTTTTTCTTTCCAAAGTACCATTTCCGTGGCAGAATATAACACAGTCCAGCAAAAGAGGAGGACAGTTGTTAATTTCTGAATGGAAAAACCTCTCACTAACTGACCTCAGCAGTTTTAAAGAACTTTCCTTCAAGTTAAGCACCAAAATCCACTGATGTCAGTGAGACAAAAGGATAAAAACTCTAAGAATAATCTTGCTGCTGGAGGTCTGATCACTCTTGGCCTTATATACAGGTGCCTTTTTCATGTTTAAAAAGTGAAGACTAAGATGAGAAATTCTCACAACTCTTCTTTGCTATAAAGCCATTAGTTTCAAACTAACAGACAGTGGGAGATGGAATGAAACACAGCCAGCCAACCAAGAAAATGCCTCAGAATCAAAACATCAAAGCAAGTGGGAAAGAAACCTCTCAGAGAAAAAGGATCTCCTTGAGACACTGTTATCAAAATGGAGAATGGCTTCTTTACCATGGACTGTCAAGACGGCTGAGGTCTTCTGGTCTCCACACACACAGGTATATTCTCCTGTATCTTCTACCTCCAGATCTCGGATCAGCAGCTCTGCAGCAGTATCTTCTTGTCTCATCCTATACTTATCGCTTGGTTTGAGTGTCTTGTCCCCTTTTTTCCACTCCACTGGGACACCGACCTTGCTCAGCTCGCAGTGCAGAGTGGCTGTTGCACCATCTGTGGCTTCTCTGTTCTTCAATCCTTCTTTGAAAAATGCGGGCAAAGCTGAAGGACAGCAAATGAGCAGTGAGATGTAATGCTCCAGAGAGTAACATTAAATGTCGATGTTTAATTTTCATTCTCCCTCTTAACTTGAACTGATTTATCAATACAAGAACATAGATTCTCAATGGTCTCCATGAATCAATTTGAGGAAAAAAATGTCATCACCAGGAAAGGATTCAGTGCTTGCAGTAACCCATAGAGGTAATTTACACGTACTCAGAATCACAAATCAGTACAAACAGAAATAGATAACCCAATTTCTTTCCTGTGAAATTTCAAGTAAAAAGAATAAATACTAATTTGAAATTTCTGAAGAAATATTGGTTCCCTTATATGACTTTTTAAACCATAATAGGAGGATGTTTGGTATGTTTGAACATACTTAAGCAAACAGAAAGATATTGTACATTAAAAAGAAAATGAAACACTGGAGTTTCATTCTAAATGTCAGTTTAAAATAAACAATTTCATTTCAATACATGGTGGGAAAAGAAACATTTTCATCTGAACTGACATATCCTTTCAAACAAGTCAGTTGCAGTAAAAGTCAAAGTTCTCCCTGAGAATGGTTGTTCTTTAGAAGGTTTAGGCTTGCTTTACACAGGACAGTAACTGAATGCAATTACAACTGTCCTGTACTTCTAAAAGCACCTTGTTGTCCTAGCAATGGAGTATGGGAATAAGTTTCCATGGAATAATCTAACCTTTGGAAATTTTATGAAACTTTAAAATCCCGAAGTCATAATCTCTTTGAGGTAACACATTTTGATGGGCTTGAGCGTAATGGGGAGTCTAATACAGGAAAAAACAAAGTGGTGGACCCTAATTAAAACAGTAGCAGCAGCCCTGGTTGCCTATACTCTGAGCTTGTACACTGATACCCCCCCTTGTGCCATGGACCCCGGCTGCACAAGCACCAGTGAGACCACTTCACTGGTGTCAGTGAGCAGCAGGTAAGGGTCTGGCAGAAGGAAGGAGGTGGTAGGGTAACCAGGTATCTGTCCAAATGAACAGAGAAAACAAGATAGCTCTTTTAGTACATGTCTTGTTTTGTTTGGTTTACCATGTACTGTTAAAACTGCCATAGTCTGCTGGTCTCCGCACACGCAGGAATAATTTCCAGCATCCGTCGTGTCTAGATTTTGGATTATAAGCTCAGCAACGACACCTTCGCGTTTCATTTTGTATTTGTCGCTTGATTTGAGGGTCTTGAATCCCTTCTTCCACTCCACGTTAGCAGCAGCCTTGTTCAGCTCACAGTGCAGACAGACATTTTTACCTTCTGTGGCTTCTTCATCTGTCAGTTCTTTGGTGAAAAGAGCAGGCAGGACTGCAGAGTAAATGCAATACGGACACGGAATCAAAGCTGAGAAAGCCTGACCCATGATCTACTTGCTCTCTCCTCTTATCCCCCTGAACCTGCACATCACTGAAGCCACAAGACCTTCTTCACAATCCAGAGTTTTGTTCCAATCTCTAACATTTCAAAAGTGATTTCAGTCTGATCTTTAATTTTTTGTCCTCACACTTCAGAACTTGCTTTAAAAGCAAGCCTGTCGATCTGCAAACTTAGTCAACAAGCCATCTATCTTTTACTTTATACACCATAAAATCAAAGGGTTAAATTAGCGGCCCTATTTCAATATGCGACCGAGAGCGTTTTGTTTCCCTTGAAAAAAAACAGCAGTTCTACAGAAGCACCCGATTCATGGCACTGCCTGTATTTTTACAGAGACCCTTAAAACAGAGCAGTTACAAACAAACTGTCGGCTTGCCGCAGAGATAAAGTATAAGTTTTGGAAAAGGTAAACCAAAACTGGCAAAAAAGGTCTGGGAATAGCAGGATCGTAAAAAGGATATTTTCCATTAAGATAGTCCTTGACAAAAACTTGTTCCTCTTAGGAGCAACAAGCGTAACAGCCTAATTTACAAAAAGTAAATATTATTCCCACTTTTATGTCAGTCCTTATGGGAAAACTTTTAAACAAGAAGCTACACCGGACTATGGAGATTGTCTTGAGCTGGGGACCTGTACTCCACTTCCCATTTGAATATAGCACCTAGGAGGGTAATCAGCACATCAAGAGGGCATCAGGTGAAAGGAGAGAAAGAGAAAGAAAACAGGATAGAAAAATTAAATCAACAAGGGAGAGGATAGAAAGTATACAGGGACCAGATGAAACAGGAGAAAAAGAGGAAGAGATCTTGGAATTATACAGGTTTACTTGGAGCACATGCTGAGGATTTCTTTTTACCATTTACTGTCAAAGCAGCCGTAGTTTGTTGATCTCCACACACACAGCTGTAATCACCAGCGTCTGCCAAATCCAGATCTCGGATCATCAGCTCTGCAAAGGGACCTTCCTGCTCTATTTTGTATTTTTCACTTGGCTTGAGGACCTTATTCCCCTTTCTCCACTCGACCGGGGCCGATTTGCTCAGTTTACAATGCAAAGTGACTGCCTCCCCCTCTGTAGCTTCTTTGTTCAACACTTCTTCTTGGAAGAGGATAGGCAAGGCTGAAGGATGCAATATCAACAGAGAAGGGATGAGCACTAGATCTAGACAAACTGGACTCTGCTGTGAGTTACTGGGCTGCAGTGAACGTATTTAACCAAAAATGCCCTACTGTTAGGTGCATACAGTTGAAAAGGGGGGGTAAAACCTCCTACAGTAGAGATAAATAAATTAGATAAAACAATATACAACATAGCTATTCTATCTCAAAGCAAAAAAAAAAAAAAAGCACAAGGGAATATTTTCTAATAGGGTGACTCATTGACACCAGAGCTGCAAACATGAAACCTTTGAGAAGTCACACTGACAAAGCTTTGAATGACCAGCAAATGCTGTCAAACATCCTACGTTTGGGGCTTAATGAGAAACACAGGTAGAACGGTTACCATTCACTCTCAAGGCAGCTGTTGTCTTCTGGTCTCCACATATGCATGTATAGCTCCCAGCATCCATCAGGTCTAGGTCCTGGATAACCAGCTCAACAAAACGCCCTTCCCGTCTCATTTTGTATTTTCCATTTGGCACCAACACCTTCCCGTCCTTCCTCCACTCGACCGAGCCCACCGCCTGGCTCAGCTCACACTGCAATGTGGCCGTCCCGCTCTCGGTGGCTTCCTCGTTCTTCAGCTCTTTCTTGAAACGGATTGGCAGGGCTGAGAGATGCAGAATGAAAAGGGATTGCAACCCAAGGCCCTGCCCAGGTCTCTGGTCAGAGGCTGAATTGTGATTTATCGTATGACTATCTAAGACTTATCCCAACATCCTCATCCTTAAACACATCCTCACATCCTGCTTTTTTTTTTTTTTTTTTTTTTTTTTTTTTTTTTTTTAAAGGCTGGTAGAAAAAAAAACTCTAGAAAATTGTTCTGCCGGAATCAAAGTATGCGTGATCTTGACTGGGATCATGCATACAAATGACAAACTTATCCTCATCATTAAAGGAGATGAACTTTCCTTAACAGAAAATCCCAAGGAATCTTATGTTTCCATACTAATACAGGAAAACAAACATGCATGTCAGCACCCTTTGCTCGAGGAAAGACGAGAAGACAACACAACACATTCACACACACCCCATTGGGCATAATGAATGCTGATCGTGGGTGCAGATTGGGGAAAGGAGTGACATGGCAACATGAAAAAGTGGAAGGATGAAAACAGTGGAAGGACGAAAACAGTGGAAGGATGAAAAAAGTGGAAGGATGAAAACAGTGGAAGCAGGACATAAAGGTAGGTGTTGCAAGGGAATATACAGAAAGGAAAAAGGAAGAGATAGACAAAAATGTTCCAGAGTTTCACGGTTATTTCTGACTTTTTACCATTCACTGATAAGGCTGCTGTGGTTTTTTGATTCCCCACTACACATGTATAGTCTCCAGCATCCTTTGGGTCCAGGTCATGGATCAGTAGCTCAGCCACCGTGCCCTCCTGCCTCATCCTGTACTTGTTACTTGGTCGGAGAAGAGTATGCCCCTTCCTCCACTCCACGGGGGCCTCTCTGCTCAGCTGGCACCGTAGGGTGGCTGTCCCACCTTCCACAGCTTCCATGTTCTTCAGCTCTTCTTTGATGAGCACAGAGACAGCTGAGGAATGAAGCATTCCCATTTTAATTTAGAAGCATCATTACCAACTGGTGACCTCATGAGAGACATAAAACCAAACCAAATTCTCTTGGCACAGCTAATAAGCTCTGACCTACCTGCATTTCCAGAACTCTACCTGCATTTACAATAACACACCATGAGTTTAGGAGGAAATAAAATCAAAAAAATTATTTCCCAATAATCAGAATATCAAGATGATTATCCTTCTGATTCCCAAATACTGATGGTTTCAGGCGCGTAAAAACTTGCTGAGAAGGTGCAGAAGAGAATTACATATTCTTTAACAAAATGGGTAGCTGAGGCCCTCCTTACCTTCCAGCTTAGGGCTCAGACAAGTGCCTCTGTCCAGAGAGAAAGCAGAACAGTTATTTCAGAGGCAAGGAAAGATATCTTGTTTTCAGGTATATTTGATTGCTATGTTTTAACATGAAATTATTGTCCTAGAAAACAGAGAACGTAATGGACCCAGACAGCAGAGCTGCCTTTTGTTTTTACTGATCCATTTTTTCTGAACGTTCACTATAAATGTGCAGGAGCTAGCAGGACCACGGCAAGAACAACAAATCGTCACAAGCAGGTGTCTTATTCCTACCATGGATTTTGACTTGGGCCGTGGTCTGCTGGTCTCCGGTGTCGCAGGTGTATCTTCCTGCATCTCCTGGCTCAACATTATGAATCACCAGCTCTGCCACGGTCCCCTTCTGCTTCATTTCATATTTGGCACTTGGGCGGAGCGTGGCTTCTCCCTTCTTCCACACCACGGTGGCATCAGCTTTTGTGAGTTCACAGCGCAAGGAGACAGATTTCCCCTCTTCCATTTCCGTGTTCTCCAGGGCTTGTTTAAAAAGGACAGGCACAGCTAGAACACAGAACCAGGGATTAGGACATGCTCTCTTGACCTGCTGTACAAGTGCCCCGTGATAGCTGCCACCTCTTAAAACCAGGCCTTTTCTGAATGAGCAGAGCAGCCCTAGATCCACCCTTGGCTGTGTGGCATCAAAGTGATTCTGCTTGGAAACAAGAAGAAACCTCTAAATCTCTCCCTCAGGTGTTATCATCTCACTGTGGATTCCTAGGAGTATGGGGGAAGTTTCTCTCATCTTTAATAAGAACCCCTTCAGAGTCCTCTGGGAATCCTCTCCTGAAAAATTCCCTGATGCTGCAGGGCTCCAAGACAATATTCATGCCCTATATCTCTCCCACCTCATGCTCCAGATATACATACTACTTTTGTTATACTATTAAAGGTACTGTATTTGTTTAAGGGCATTGGAGAGTGCAGATGGCATCTGTGCGCCTTTAAAAAGGATATTTGGGGGAGTTTGGGCATCTAAACATTAATCACTTGGCCACCTTCAATTTGCCAGGGACTGGATTTATGCTTTCATGTTCTTGTGCTCCAGTGCTCCTGGTCTCCATCTCTAAATTCAGTCTTAATCGAAGTCACGTAAAATAGCTGATAGGTCAGGAACTATGGCATGTAGGGTATAGAAAACGAACCATCTGTATTTGTTTATTTTCTGCTCAATGGGAAGTTATAGATTTAAAGTCTCACATAATGTGAGATTACATAAATTAAATATATACAGGTGCTTACAAGTATGTAATTTTACCATTAAATTTTATGTATTAATTTGTAAATGAACTGCCACAAAGTGCTGTGTGCTGGGTTTTTTTAATAAAAAGTCTATTAAGCAATGCATTAAGAAAGCGTGGCAACATATCTAACTCTGCCTACCATTTACTTTCACCTGAGCAGTGGTCTTCAGTTCCCCAGTGCTGCAGGTGTAGTCTCCAGAGTCTATCGATTTGACATCTCGAATAATAAGCTCTGCCACAGTACCATGTTGCTTAAATTCATACTTCTCGCTGGCATAGAGAACAGTGTCTCCTTTCATCCATTTCACTGGGGTATCGGGTTTGCTGAGCTCACAGGTCAGCTTGACTTGTTTTCCTTCTTTAGCTTCTTCATTTTGGAGCTCTTGCCTGAAAAGAACTGGTATTTCTGGGGAAAAAAAAAAAAAAAAAAAAAAAAATTGAAAATGTTTGGGAAAAGACTGGAAGTCACTTTTCCCTTTTTTTTTCAAACTTCATTACTGAGATAGAAAACCACAGGAATGGAAAAGCACTAGCAAACAGTAAACAGATTCTGACAACTCACATCTGGCTGCCAGCACTTTACAGCAGCAAAAAAATATTGGGGACCATATGCTTATTTTCCTTTTAACCAATATCTGTACTATTGAGGATGCTTCTACTATTACTATTGTAATTTTTACCATTAGTGGCAGATGCTGCACTGCTATTAATGACACAGTGTGTTGCAGTGCTGCAGATGGGTGTTCAGACCTGGACCACTGGCACAAAAAAACGTAAAACTTTACTGAGGTCAACTTGGACATAACACAGAGGACACAGAGAAATGGCAAAGCACCTTTTTTTATGAACAGCAGTATTGATTTTCTGATTATAAAAAAACACCGTAACATATTTTTATCCAACATGAATACAGACTTAAAAACAGAGGAAAAACAGAGAGGAAAGCACAGCTGTACATGAAAGGGTCCCTGAGGACATTCCTATGCAGGCTCTGTCACAGCCTGGGATTCAAGGCTTTAGGTTGAGTTTAGGGAAGTAGGGAAGGCACTTATTGGGAAAAAAAACCTCAACTAAAGTGTTTTCCCCTCAAATCATGAGAAAACCCTACATTTTTTTCCTGGCTTCTGCTGTCTTGTAAATTTGTAAGTCAGCTATGGATTCGTGATGCAGTTGTCCTGTGGCTATAGAAAAGCTGCAGCCTATTCTGTCCCAATTGTACCTCTAGTTTGGGAAACTAAACAGTTTGGGGTTTGTTTTGTTTTGTTTGTTTGTTTTGCTATTTTTTCATTCTGCTGTTCTGATCTGATCCTAATAGATAAAGTAAAGCTACAGTAGCGTAATGTGTTGTAGGCATCCTTAGGACTTGACTCCTTTACATCTGCTGGTGATTGGATCCATGTGTTTAAATCCTACATCCATCCACACCCTTCACAGAGAAAGGAAAAACGGGGCTCTTTGTGGAACATTACGAATGCCTTTTTTTCTAACAGAAAATTGCACTTCATCACAGGCAAGATCCAGGTCCTACTAAAGTAAACACCAATCTTTCTTTTGTGTGTAATGGGTATTGGGAAAACATCCTAGTGCTACAGAAAGACAGAAAATCAGGACCATTAACCGTTGCCTCTCTTCATTACCTCAACAAGGTCTTTCTTTTGCCTTGAACAGCAGATCTCAGCCTTAAGTTGGCTTGTTTCTTTGTACTCTAGATAAATATTGTGAGAAGCTTGCCTTCCCTCTTTGTTCTCAGAGATTCAGGCTGACTGTTCCAACAGCCCACATGCTTTTTGTACACACTGACTTCTCTAATCGAGGTGCAGCTTCTGATCCACCCTTCCCAAGCGTTTTATACCAGCTGCATGCAGGAATTCCACTGGTCAGACTAGACACAGCCTGTGCCATTAACAACCTCCTTGTACCTGCTCTAACCTGGCCATGTGAATGAGTGATTTTTCTCACAGAGACCAAGCTCCTCCTCAACCTTGGGCTGAGGCAGTGATTGAAGACAGGCAGGAGTGATTATAATGTGCATAGTAGATGAGCCCAGTTCTGACATGGCTCAGACCCAACGCCTACCTAACATACTTGGTGCTTAGCCAGTGAGCTCAGGGAAGTACATTAAAGTCTCACGTGTCTTGGAACTTTTGCTTCAGGTCAGACAACAGCCCTTTAGATAGCACCTCCTGCATGATCACGCTCTTTGGGTGCTTTACTCTCAATGAATTTGGCTGCCTGAAGCAATTACCCAGACAAATGTGGGTGTATGAGCTGTCTTCTTGGAGAGGGCCATCAGTGGAGACAGCCTCAGAAGGTGATTTATCCTTTCGCTGGATTACCTCTTAGTCTGGGTGGATCTCCTACAGAGATACCCACTGTCTTCTACTGACCCATTGCTCTTTTCTCTAGAGAGCTTAAGCACTTAACTTTCACAAAGCTAAAACCAGGTAAGATGAAGGATTTTCCTGGTTCCCATTCTGTCACCTCTCTGAGTGCTGTTCTGGATGACTTGATGAGAACCTCTCCGGTGGTGTAAAAATATGAGGTTCCTTTTCAGTATAGTTTCATGTTTTTATTATTTCAATTTATTACTCTGACCCTGGTGTTAGATGAAAAGTTCGGACCCAAACCATCACTTCAAATGTTCTTACCCTTCACAGAAATAACTGCACTACTTTTAGCTGCTCCAGCCTCACACTCATATCTGCCACTGTCTCTTTCTTCTGCCCTGAGAATGACAAGCTTGGCTTCAAATCCCGACCGGCTGATGTTATACTTGGAAGAATTCCTAAGGCTCTTCCCGTCTTTGTACCACTTTACAGGGCTGTCTGATCTGGAGGTTTCACAGTGAAGGATCACATCCTCTCCCTCAGTGACTTCAATATCAACCAGCTCCTTTGTGAAGATGCAGGGCTTCTCTAGAATCACATAAAAAACATCTGAGATTTTTCAGAAGAAGTATGGATTTTCAAATCACAAGTAATCTGAGATTTACATCCAAGATTACTTTTGTCAAAACTACAGGTCAAGGTTAATAATAAATAATTTGGTGTTCATGACTATAAAGCTCTCAGGAAGGCACCAGTCATACCATAAAGTGATGTTTAACAAATACCTAATGCCATCTGGGAGAAACTGAGAAGACATCCTTGTTGAAGACCATAAATAAGATCTCTCTCACATCTTGCTAAATAGGAACAAAATGGAAGCACAATTTTCCTAAGCCCTTTTACTTGTGAGCTGATTAGTTTAAAACTGAGGCTGGTCATGTAGGGTGTCTCTATAACTGCTGGAAGGTGGCAGACATCTTCAGAAACCAGATATTCCTTCCAAAATGTGCCATTAGGACAGAAAAGATGAACTGCTTATTGGAAGCGCTTGTCTTTCTACACAGTTTATAGATGTAGCCTAAGATAGATACCAATAGCTAAATTGGCCAACGTAGATCTTGTCTCCCCTACCTTAATGTTTTTTAATTCCTAAAAATCCAATCGGTCAGGAGACCAAAGCCCATTTTTGGTACTATCGCATCACATATTAGTGTTACCAAAAGAAATCAGCCTTTTGCAAATAAGATCTTTCATTTGCCTTCAGAAAAAAATCTGTTTACATTTCTGTAGCGTAGCAAAAATTGGGCAAATTTTCAAATTTTGAAAAAAAGTTCTTTGCAAGAAATGTGGTGGTTCCAGAAAGAATATGATCTGACACAATGGATACTGTGTTTTACACCTCTGGGCAATGAGAAATATTTATGTTTCCAGTAAGAAAACACCTCTTTAATCCTGCACTCATGGGATGTCTGGCATTCATTTTATTCCCTCACTATAGAAGCAGACTAACACTGCGGTTTTAACTCCATTTAACTTTTCCAGAGAAAAAAATTCATTGTCAACAATGAATAGCAGAAAACACATGTAATGTTGCTTTTCAAACAATGACAACTAAATTAAAAACGTATTGATTGCACTTTTTTTTTTTTTTTCCTCTTGAACTTACGGATTTCTCCTCACTTATCATCACCCTTATCAGCTCAGCTCAAGGAAAACTGGACAAGGCATCCAATGTATCATCACTACAGCACAACATTCCTATCTAAGGTCCAATAAACACTCTGATAATTGTCCAGGATTACAAAGGGTTAATTCTCCAGCCCTAGTTTCATTATATAGGTAATGCTATTCTTGAACATATACAGATATACATATGACAGGGCCAAATTTGTAGCCTTTTCATTCTTTTTTTTTTCACCTACCCACATTAACCCATACTTATCCTATGCATTCTTTCCTCTCCTGAAGTTTTTATGATTGAATTACCTTTAACAACCAAACTGGCAGATGTTTTCTTATCACCAGCTTCAAATGTAATGACCCCCGAGTCCTTCAGTGAGAGTTTTTTCAACGTTAGCAAGTGATATCCATCAGGCTGAGACTGGATCTCATTAAGTTCATTGGTATGGAGTGGGGTTTTATCCAAAAACCACTGCACTTTGCTATAGTCTACAGGAGAGATTCTGCATTTGAACATGGCAGATTCTCCTTCTAACACAGTGACATCTTCCAGGTCTTCTGTTATTAGCACTTTCTGGCCTGAAAGGAACATAGATACATCAATTACTGGAATCTTCGCTTTCTAGCATGAAAATCGATATGGAAAAATCCAATATTTCCCATGTGCTTATTTCAAGAAAGAAAAATGTTCATGATACAGAAGACTGAAACACAATTCCCCTGTTATTGAACACAAAAACCATTCACAAGAAGATAATATATACAGGACACACATCAAAATAGGATGAAGACAACTTCAAAGCACCAGAACACATATAGCAGAACAAGTAGTCAGTACAATGCAAATCCAATGTTATAAAGTTTCTCCTACTGAAACTACCTGGAAAGGCTAAAAGGATGCATCTCTGACAACATCACTGGGCTCTAGACATCACTAAGCAGATGATCCCTCTCATGACAACCCCTCTGTTTTTCTAGAGAAAAATATAACTTGCTTTCTTTGGGATAAGATCACTCAGCCCCCACCTTCTTTGAGCTTAGTCCAACCATAAACACTGTGGGAACTGGAGTGTCTAACTGCAGCTTTAGTGAAACAAAAAACCAAACAAAACAACAGCCCTGGAAAGCTGTCTATATATACAACTAACTAAAAATAAATAAAGTTTTCACTGTATACAAAAATGTATCTGATGTTGCTCCTACTTACAAAACCAGTACAAGGAATATTTTTATCCTGAGCTTTGTGACAGAGAAGTATTTTTTCACTCAGAGAAGCTGGTGTTAGAAACATCTCATCAAATTCAGGTAGCTTAGATCCTGAGGCCACGATGGGGATTAAACACACTTCCTTGCTTCTCAAGGCTGCTTTAGCAGATGGTCAGAGGTGGAGGACTCTGGCTTTACCCCCTTGTCGTTAATAACTAACTATAATAATTAGTAAGTGGACACTGTCATTGCATCATCATGTGACTGTTCTTGAATTGTTCCTCCTATTCTCTTCATTATTTCATCAATTTCAGCTCAAGGGTTTCTCCCACTTGGGTCTCCAGTGAGGAACTGTGAGGAACAGCCAGACCTCAATTCCTTCCCCTTAAACACTGCCCTGCTCTTAACATTGGTCATCACAGCTCATTTACTGCCCATAGTATCAAATAAAAACTGCTGAGTTGTACTCTTCAACTGGAAATTGGGTTGTACCCTTCATCTCTAAGATGCAGAGAGACATTAAGCACTCAGAGATCCCTGGATCACTCATTTACCCATCCCCTCTTAGAAACCACTACTGGAAAGAGGCATCAAGGGACATGAAAAAAAGCCTAGAGACAGAATAATTTTTATCTCGTCTCATAGCAGGCACTATAAATCACATTCATCATATATTCACACAGGAACACCAGCCTCTCCTCACATCAGCATTTTGGGGTCTAAATCATACCCAAAGTACTCCAGGTGTAATTGCTTCAAACTGACAAATTGCTCTGCGTGTCCAGCTCCCTGTCAATTTATTTTTGCCCACATGTCCCATACAGTCTATATACATCATGAGTGAGACAGAGACAGAAATCAGTGGATCTGTTACCCACATGCTGAAAAATAGATCATCCTATGCAGATAGTGTTTCCTATTGGAGAAACGGGATGTACAGTTGCATTCATCTCATGCATACCTTGCACGACTAGCTTGGCTCTGGACTGGGCATCACCAATGTCGCAGGTGTAAGTATCACTGTCACTTTTCTCCAAGTTATTTATGGTCAGCTGGAGGACTTGTCCTTTCTGTGTGATCACATATTTCCTGCTCGTCCTGAGTTCAGCTATGCCTTTCCTCCAGACCACAGAGGATGCAGCTTTCTCACTCTGGCACATAAGAACTGCAGTTCCACTTTCATCAACTTTCAGATCTGAAAGTTCCTTGACAAAATAATTAGGTTTTTCTGGAAGGAAAAGAAAAAAAAAAAAAAAAAAAAAGACAGATTTTTACCTAAAAGAAGTCTTGACCATGAGTCATTTAGATTGAAAAAGTCCCTTAAGTTTATCAAGCCAGCCATTAACCTAACTCTACCAAGTCCACCACTAAACCATGTCCCTAAGCACCACATCCATACATCTTTTAAACACCTCCAGGGATGGTGACTCAACCACTTGCCTGGGCAGCCTGTTCCAGTGCTTGACAACCCTTTCAGTGAAGAAATTTTTCCTAATATCCAATCTAAACCATCCCTGGTGCATATTGAGGCCGTTTCCTCTCATCCTATCAGATGGAGTGGATCTAAGAAGATCAGCAGGTCCACCTCTTGTCACAGGACATATCAAGTAAAATATTTCCAGGAAGGATTAATGCCATTGTACAGGTATTGGTGAGGTCTCATCTTGCAGATCACATACAGTTTGGGTCACTCATATTCAAAAAAGAATTATTCAAATTGCCAATTTTGATTGGCTGATTACGTCACACATAAGATTCTTCAGTACCTACAAAGTGTTTCTTTCAGAAGTTTTTTTTTAAGTTTTTAATCCATGACATTTTTTGAAAACTAAAATTTGATCTTATTTAGGGAGAATAGAGAAGAACATCTCCCACAGGTTGTAGATATTTACCCCAACTTTGTACACAGCAGCTTCAACTGACCTTGAACTGTGATCTTGGCTTTTGTTTTAAAGACCTCTGTCTCGCAGGTGTACTCCCCACTGTCCTTGACTGTGGAGTCATGGATGATCAGAATGGCCCGTGTTCCCTCTTGGTGCAAGTCATATTTCTGGCTTTTTCGGATTGCTTTGCCATCCTTATACCACCTAATGTTCACATCAGGTTTTGACAGTTCACAGCTCAGGCTGATGTCCTGCCCCACTGTCGACGTTTTATCCTCCAGCTGTTTTGTAACTTCAGTAGGTTTCTCTGTAGAGGAAAAAAAAAAAAAAAAAAAGGAACCATGAATAAAAATAATTATCACTATATGGTTGGGGTTTTTGCAAGACAAATATCCAGCAATTTTTCACATTCCCCAATTAATGATTCATATTATATTAGGGAAGGGAGAGGAAAAACAGTCTTGCTCTTTAGTACATATTAATTGCAGTTACGGGGTCTCCGTGAATGTTAATGATTGCTTACAGGAACTGAGGACTTGTCCTGATGACATCCATTTCAGACGATGTCATTTTGTCATCACTGAAGTTACTGTAGGCACGTAGTTATGGTGGGATCTATCTCATTATATACAGACATCTACACTATAGAGATATATAGCAGAAACACTTACTCCAGGGCTGCTCTACAGCCAGCAATGATCTGCTAAGTACAGGCAATGGACTTCAAGGAACAATTTATTTTGTCCTATATAGGTCAAGCTGTGGATGATGAGCTGTGTCTGAAAACCACCTATTTCTTCTCTCCACTGACTACCCAGGGAGCCTTGGATGGTTATTTCTGATGCACGCAGTCTGGGTAGTAGTTGTCTGTATAGTTACATTACCCTGTGTTTTCTGCAATTCTCAAATATCTATAAAAAGTTTCAGACTTTCACTTGATTTAAGGAAAAATCTTAGTGCTTCAGGGCTCACAGAGAAGGCTGCTATTCACTTTGATCATAACAAGGGTTTGCTTTCGTGGCTTACTGCCATACCTTATGAAAAGACACCCAAGAAATCAATGCTCAAACCCTTTCTGATCTCATTACCTTTCACAACCAGAGAAGCCTTGGAGGTTAGACCACGGGCAGTGAAAATTACTTCCCCAGCATCATCAGGAATCACACTTTTGATACTAAGTGTATATTTCCGACCCGTGTTAGAGGCTTTAAATCGCCCGCCACTTTCCACTTTGCTCCCATTCAGTGTCCACTTGAAGTCGTCAATGCTTTCATGGGACAAAATGCACTCAAAAGTGCAATCTTCTCCCTCCTGGATTTCAGTGTTCTTCAGCCGTTTGGTGATGCCAATGTTCAGTTCTGGAAGACAAAAAGTAGGTTGATATGAGGAGAAAAGGGTTTTATGATTTCCATCAGTAACAGTATCGACATTTTTAGCTCGTCAGACTGGTTTATCTACTGGATTGTCAGGACAGCACTGCATTCTTTTCAGAGGTATTTGACATGTGAAGGATTTCTCATATATTACCCTGTCAGAATCATCATAAAGTTATAGAAAAAAAAAAAAAAAGTTACTTTCTTGGCTTTGATCTAGAAAGACTACATGAAGAACAGCTTCCTCCATGGAGAAAAGTCAAGATTCAGTGTGCTAGAGGAGGGAAAAGCTGCCAGACAGAAAGCCTCTGGGATGTTGTGTGAGGTTTTTCTCCATGCTGATATGAGAAATGGGATGTCTGTATTTACTAACTTGTTACCATCCTACCCCTCCTGGTGTTCAAATCAGATAAATTCAAATTTTTTCTCATTATCAACACGAGTTTGAAAGCCATGAACTCTTTCCTTCAAGCAGCCACAAGGATGAGAGGACAAGCTGAACTTCTGGGTTCTTCAATAGACAATGTTGTCCTACTTTTGTGTTCCCACAATGGACTCTAAATTAATAACTGAAAAAATATGAAAACACAAGCTGCTTGGGGTTTGTTTTTTTTTTTTTTTTTTTTTTTAGGGGGGAGGGTGGGATGTTTTTGGAGAAATTATTTGCTCATTTGGGAGGATTTAAGCACCTTAGGAATGTTCAGGAAGGAAACATTGCCACTACATTCTTGATATGTGATTTTCACTGAAACACCAGCTATACTTATATCAGAGAGTAACGGACATTTTTCAGACATCACTGTGTTATGTGAGGCTCATGGAGGAATAGGTGTCAGACAAAGTGACCAAGCCCACCTATATTTGTAGCACCCCTTGACAGACCGTCATCTGCAATACTTACCCTGAATGTTGACCTTTGATTTGGCAACATCAGTGCCAATATCACATGTGTATAAACCTGCATCTGTCTTTTCAAGGTCATGAATAAGGAGGCAAAGGGTCTTCCCAGACTGTATCTGTTCATACTTGTTACCAGAAGTGAGCTTCACACCATCCTTTTTCCAGACAGGTTTGACCTTCTCTTTGGAGACTTCACATTCCAGTTTAATCATACCTCGCTCCTCACCAAAAATATCATCCAAGGACTTCATGAAGACAGCGGGCTTCTCTGTGAAGGTTAATGGGCAAAACAGAGAACAACCACAATATCTAAGTCAAGCCATTTTCAGTTGCTACCAAATATTTAAAGAGAGCTTAAGTAAACCCTTGGCAACGCTGATATAAATGCAAAACTTAAAGCAGTCTCACACCTCATGATTGGAATGTGTTTTAGGGAAATCAGAATTTATTAATGGAGGATGCAAGGAAGGAGAGAAGTAGCCTGCATTGTCATGGATGGGGAGTGATATTCATTGCTGTAATCGTGTCCTCTCTTATGACTGCACAGTATGAGATTGCAAGGACTCATTTTCCTCTGCTTTGGGGCATCTGTCAGGCACAGGGGATCCCATCACAGGGAATGGGACTTGGAGCAGGCATGTAGGGCCCTAGTGCAGACCAGAGGGACAGCTTCACACTTCTATGGAATAGCTACTCAACAAGATAGACTGGAGTTAAGGAAGCCCCTGTCTGTATCGTGGAAGAGCAAAAAATGTTTTCTGGGATCATCCTTTCTCATTGCAGCAATCTACAGGTGGGAAGGGGTCAGGTGGTTAGAAGTAAAATGTGTGAAGAGAGTTAATGGGGATGTAGGTCTTCTAAAGCCAGAGAGCTGGCACTGCCTTTTCATGAAGCAGGATTCATGCATGAGACGCAGTAGGACAAGGATATGTTGCACACTCTCTTCACTCTCCTGAGCATTTCTGCTCTTGTCTCTTTGTTTTATTGATTCCCTTTATCTAATTTTATATAGATTTGACACTGATGATATTTATACAGGGAAAATTTTTTACCACATATAAAAGAAAGCAGAAAGAGGAAATCCTTTAAACTCTCTTAGTGGATAGAGTAAAAGAGTAAAATTATTTAGATACTCTGGGAAGAACAAATTAGTCATGATCAGGAGGCAGAATGCAAAGGAAATCAGAGAGCTGATTCTCTAAGAGGTTACAGAGGACATCAGACTCTGACTTTCAGAGTGAATGGCTCAGAACATTTCCCACTCATGTTTCCAGATACATGAAGGAGTTAATTTAGGATAACAAATCACTATGATTTATCTGAGCACGCATGTACTGGTGTGTTGCAAAAGAAAATGTGATTTTCAAATTATGGTGAGAGTTTTACCTGATGTTTCTAACATGCCTAAAATAATTCATGTAACTCACTGTGGATTACCTGATGCACGAGAACATGTTAAACCTCATCAACTCAGATGTGTGACCATACTTTAAGGCATATTAAGGACAGTAACAAACTGCCGTCTCTTTGCTGAATTAGTCCAACTTCAGAATGGATGTACTGAAAGGTGTGCCCTACCCTTGCAGGTACACTGAAGCAGACAAGTCTTCTTGCAGACAAAAGTATTGATAAAAAGCAGTATAGATTATATACTATTGAAGAGACCTACAAGTAAAGGAAATAGCTCTTGAGACTTTCCTGATGACAAGTAAAAGGACGTTAAATAGCTATGGAAAGTCTTGGCAGGAGACCAAAACAGTCTTAGAAAAATCACCATCTACAGTAGAAACGTACACTGGAAGAAAGTCCTTGCATACTTATTACTCAGCCCCAGAGAGGTGAAGCTTACAGTCAGGATTGGTGCATGGTTATGGTAAATAAGAGCTCCTTTCCATCTCTTTTTTATATTCAGAAGGGGTGTGATCACAACCCACCTATCACCTTCAGACGCACGGTCTCTGACACTTTGTCTGACTTCATTGTCACTGTGCCAGCATCCTCGGGCTTGACCTGCTTCATTGTTAGCGTGTAGCAGTTGCCAACATTCCTGATGTCATTGAAGTTGTTGGTGTAAAGGAGGGTGCCGTTGAGAAACCATTCCACATCCTCGTCATCATGAGACAGCTCGCAGGAGAAGATAGCAGAACTCCCTTCCTCAATTTCCACGTCCTGCAGGTGTTTGAGTACTTCTACATTGCGGGCTGTAGGAAACCAAGGTGCCCCATCACCACCGTTACCATGCACCAGTACTGTTACCACAAATAGATTTCATAGTTTTTAGAGTTTATGAGATCATTTAATCTGGTCTCCTGTACACCATGGGTTATTACATTTAATTTACTTGGTTCTGCATTTAGTCCAACAGAAAAAAAAAAATCCATTAAAAAGACTATTTGTCTTGACGATTATAAAAAGACTATTATCTAGAGCCCTCAATTCTCTCTTTACACATAAAACTGTTTGTTTTTTTTTGTTTTTGGTGGGGTTTTTTTAGCTTTTTAATTTAAAAATAAATAAATGTCTCTAAAATTGTAATGATATTGCAGTGATGGCGACGTAAACCACAGAGCTCCAATCCCTATGTGTATGCCACTGCACACACACTTACTCTTTATAACTAAATTCTCCCTGACTCACTGCCAGGGAAACACAGAGGATGAGGTGAAGACAATGGGTTTGGCCACAAACTGCAAGTACAAAGACATTAAGCGACTTGTTCAGGTTTAGGGAGCAACAAGAATTTAATTATTTTCTTTCCCAATCCTTGGCCAGAGGTTTCTCTTTGTAGCTTCTCCACTCATTAATTGCTCCTTCTCAAGGACGAGCTAACTCAGAGGAGGATTTGGGAGTATTAAATAATTTTATTTGGATAAAGCTCTGCAACATCAAACTGTTACCAAAAGCTGCTCCCTGGACTTCTGGAAATGATTCAGTGGCTCACCTCCAAGTCTTGCTGAAAGTGGCACAGCAATCATCTTTCCTTACAGTTTCACCAGAGGTGAAGAACTGGCTATAAATAGTGCCATATCAGGATGAGGAAGAACATCATTATGAATAATAAACATATAGCAAATATGAAAACTGACACTGTGGTCAGGAAATGAAAACCACAACCAAGATCATCAGAATCCAAGGCCTGTAACAGTTTAAGATAAAGGACCTTTTTAGCAAGAAGTACTAGATTTCTAGTTCCTCAGACGAAATGGAAAATAATGTGCCTTGAGTAAGATGCATGAATTTCTGCCTCACCCAGATGGTGTCCTTCCATGTGCATTACGTACTTGATAGTAAGTGCCAGATTTCAGTATCATGGAATATCAGCACAGTGCATAATACAGTCAGTTCACTTAAGATATTGCATTTATATAAAATCAGCAGAAGAGAACTGTGGGAGTCTACCTCTACTCAAAAAGAGAAACCCAGACTGAAACCATAAAGATATTATAGAATGGTTTGGGTTGAAAGGGACCTTTAAAGGTCATCTAGTCCAACCCCCCTGCAATAAGCAGGGACATCTTCCACTCAACCAGGTGTTGCCCCATCCAACCTGACCTTGAATGTTTCCAGGGATGGGACATCTACCACCTCTTTGGGCAACCTGTTCCAGTGTTTCACTGTCATCATCATAAAAAAATGTCTTATATCTATGCAACAGGCAAGCGTCCCTGCTGCAAACTGCTTGTACCTTCAACAGTCAGCGTGGCTTCGGTCTCTGCGTTTCCAGCCCTGCACTTGTACACACCAGCATCTTCGGGCTTCACCTTCAAAATCTTGAGTTCTGCTGAATGCTGCTCCCGCTTGATTTTGTACTTCTCAGAGGGCTCAATGGGTGTGTGGTCCTTGAACCACTTCACAATCTTTGGAGAAGGCCTGAAGTCACAGGACAGGATGACTGAATGGCGCTCCAGAGCTGTCTTGTCCTCTATTTTCCTGGTGATCTGTATGTGGTAATCTGCAAAGCAGGGTTGGGAAAGAAGAAAGGATCAATCTGAAGAAGAGGAAAGTTTCTAATCTGTATTTCACGACAATTAATTTTATGCATGTCGTTCACAACTGTTTTGTGAATTGCTCAGATGGTGTTACAGGTTTCTGTTACAGACCTGATTTGCTCTGAAGCTAAAATAACGTGATGATCTATAGGGAATTCTAGTTTCTATAAGATAATACTGTATATTAACTGTTAAATGCATAGTCCAGCTCTCGTCCAGTGCTTACTGGATTGCTCTCTAATTGAAGCTTTTATTCAAGTAAGAAAAAATTAAAGACAAAACAAGGACCTCAGGATGTGATTGGAGATATTTACTATGGTAAAAGTGGAAAATAAAAAGCCTTGAAGCTTTGTCCCAGATCAAGTCAATGACAAAGTGGATTAAGTAAATGAGCTATCAAACTTGTCTAGTTCAGAAATGGGACAAAATACGCTCTCCTGGCAAGTTTCATATATTTTGTCTTCTCTGGCAAAGTCAGGAAGAAAAAAAAAATAAACCAAAACCCAGTCTTAGTTCAATAGATTTGAATGTCAGGTTTAAATAACAGGCACACCAAAGTAATTGGATCAGATCCCTTCCTAAGACATTGCTCTCTTATTTAGTGCATCCAACATTGCACCCAACAACTTGTACTCGGGCACTAAACAGATCTTCCAGGTACACATACATTTCCAAGACCCCAGCCAGTGGAGCCTGCATGTTAGATGGTATGTATGAAAAATTACTTTCCAGGGACTGTAAGAGGATCTCTTGTGATCTAATTCAAGCCAGGATATATCACACTACCTCTGACAAGCAGGTTTGCTATGGATTTGGATTTGCCAATGGAGAACTGAATGGTGCCTGTCATATCAGCAGTTGTTTTCAGTATTTTCAGCCTGTGGATGGTGCCTTCTTGCTGAATGATAATGTTTCTGCCAGCCTGCAAGACTTCTCCACGTAGAGACCATTTGGGGGGTTTCACAGATGGAATGGATATCTCACATTCAAACTTGGCTTCTTCAGGCTCAGTCACATCCTCATCACACAAGTCCTTTAAAATATTAATGGCTTGCTCTGTATGGAACAAGAAGTCAAGGATTTAGGAGTCATGAAAGAACTATTCCATTATCAGCCTGCACACTCATGCCATCTTCTCTGCACTTGAATACTGCACTTATTTTCTAAAACGGCCTTAAACCATCTTTTTTTTTATGTAAAAACAAACATATATTTCTGGTCACAGGTTAGACAGTGAGACTGTGACACTGCTTCAAGAGAATCCAGATTTCCTGATTCCCAGTTCTGTTTCTAAACCACCTTCCCATCAAACACTTGGCACTATAAAATAGAAAAGTAGATTCACCAAAATGCAGGTATTGATAATAGGGAAAGATTTTGGCTAGCTACTGCAACTTTTCTCTGAACAACAAACATTCTCTAATACATCTCGTGATAAACTTCTCTGGAACAGGAATTTCATAACTTTCCTTAGGAGAATATACCATATATTCATTTTTGAGGACATTCCTGAATTTATAATCCTAAAAGGATTAAATACCAATGGACTTCAGCATAAATCAACACAGAATTAAAATACTTTTTAAGTGGTATTGTGTTTTCAAAGTAAAAGACAAGGGCTTTTTGAATCAGCCAATCCACCTTTCAGTGCATCTTAGAGGGGAAAAAGTGGTTTATTACCTTCAACAAAGAAATTAGCACTGCTTTTGTCATCAAAGGCATCACAAGTGTATGTGTCCTCATCTTCATAATCTGCATCGTTGATGATGAGTTTCCGGTAGACACCATCGCTCACAATTTCATATTTGTCACTCGGGTGAATTTCAACATCCTTTTTATACCATCTAACTTCAGCATTGGCACGAGACACCTGGCACTCTAAGAATCCCCGATGTTTTTCAAGAGCAATCTTATCTCGCAAAGGCTTCACAATTTTTACAGGCAGCTCTAAAAAGAGTAAGGTAAAAAAGGATGGAATAATCAGTACAGTTTCCATGAAAGGTGCCAATTAAAAACTCATTAACAATATTTCTTTTATGTTCAGTTATTTGGATGATGATGGGAATCCCCATTATGCTAAGCACTCAACTAACGCACAGCAAGTAAAGAGGTAATTAAAGGAAAACTTTTTATCCATTTTACCACTTGAGTGGCTGAACTGCAGAGATAATAGGTATTTTACTCAACACTACACAACACTGCTATGGCAAAGCCAAGGACTCATCTCAGATTTCCTGAGCTCCTCATCAGTGTATTAATTAAAAGGTCTTCTTTCTCTGTCTCTATCACAGAGTTAAGCAGACACAAAAAATGAAGTATTCTTTTTAAACATATACCAGAAAGAGAAAATTAAGGAGAAAACGAAGTTACAGCTTTTTGTCCTTCAAAGTTCAAAATTGGTTTTTAATAACTTAGAGTAAAAAATCAACCTTCTGAGAAAATAAACTGTGTTTTTTAGAGAAAGTAAATTCCCATCAGTGAGGCTGATATTTCATATGCTGTAAGGTAGGCAAGAGTTTTGCTTTCCCTAAAAGCTCTGGGTGTTGTTTAACTTCACGTTAAAAGTGAGGGAAGTTGGTTGCTTTGTAACATGAGAGAAGTTAAGCAGTATTGGCATGAAAAACATAATTACCTTTTACAGTAAGGTGGGCACGAGATTCTGCCTTTTCTGCTACAAATTTGATCTCTGCTGCATCTTCAACTTGGACACAGGTGTAAGTCAACAAATAGGTCTTTCCTGAGAACAGACACACAACCAGACATGGTTTCCCTGAGCAAATACCTTCACTCTCCAACACACACACCAAGGTCAAGCATTATCCATCTGGTTTCAGTGCATCACCACCTGGCCTCACGGCACCAATGCCAACCATTCCCCTAGGTCTATGTCCCTGTACCAAAGGATAACATAACCTCAGCTCCTCTGAGGACTGATTGAATGTGGTCCCCACCATCTGGAAAATACTTGAAACAGAAGGGTCCCACCCACTGTCAGATGATACAAACTCCTACTCACTGCTGGCAGCACGGGATGGTGGGATGACACCAAATTTGCCTTATTAAAGTTCCCATCATGTCACTGTCCCAGCCCAGCTGCACCCCTAACACAAATGGGGAACTCTCTGTTGAACCTTTTTAACTTGATTTTGGAGGTCAGGCCCTTCAACCTAGTCTCCCATACCAGCACCTACTCCAACCCACCCGCATTCAAGAATGAGATCCCCCTTTTACGTCCTACCATCTTGACGCATTCTAATATTGTCGGTAGTCTTCAGTTTGTTGTCATTTTTGTACCATTGGGTTTGGACCTCATCATGTGAAATCTCGCAGACGAAAGATGCACTCTCATATTCATTCACTTCCACATCTTCTAGTGGTTTAACAATCTTGATATCTCGGGCTGTGAAATCATAGAGACAAATATTTATTTGGAGTTGCTCCATAACCGAGTGTAGTGTGTTTATCTTCTGCCTACTTGCATACTAAAAAATGGGATTGTGTTTTATTCTAGTTCAGCCTCCTTCCCTGGGCAGTTTTCTGTTCACCATAGTAAATACATTCTACGTGTGAACCTACAGGTAGAATTACCAGCTACGGTGGAGCTCACTGAAAGAGGATTTTATGAGTGCCGGAACTTTATACAGGTTTTGGAAGAAATTCAGCTTGTTCATGGAAGAAATTAAACTTGTTCATGAGAGAAAGTCTGCCACAGAAAATTAAACACCAGCCTACAATCTCTTGTGTCACTATTACCCTGTCTCATTCGCACTGTTCTCTGCATGCTCTCCTCTTACTCCCCTGTTTGTGTGTTTGGACTGTATCAGCCACAGGTTTTACCCAGGACATATCTTTGCTTCAGAGTCCCCTGAACTCAGTTTAATCCTCTTTAACTCTTCAGCTTTGCACTAATTTATGTCAGAACTGATCCATATTTCCGTGCTACTGCAGCCCTTTCCTTTCAAAAGGAAATCCACCTTGGATCAGCCTCAGGACCAGAGCTCAGATGCAAACCAGGCAGCATTCAGATAGCAACCCATCCCAATCATGAAGTCAGGGAGAAAAGGGGAGTTCAGCAGAGCAATGGAACAGGGCAGATGTTCACAAAGATATTGTTGAACCCAAGTGACCACATGAGGACAGTATCTAGTAAGAAATAAAGAGCTGATTTGTCTTTTCAGATGCCCCTCTGGAAAATAACATCTGCCAGGGCACAGTGGGCCTGTCAGTTCAGTAACTGGCCTTCAGCATTAACTTATCTCTGGTGCTTCAGAGCCTGCTGACACATCTGGCGTTTGTCTGGTTGCACAGTGCAACACACAGAGGGAAAAACTATCTTGAGCATAAAGGAGTGGTGCAGTCAGAAATCATTACCCTTTCCTTAGCATTTGCAACATAGAAAGTAGGGAACTTCTTGAGCTCATACCCAAAGCTTGTCCAGTCCCTATTCAGACAAAGTCCCCATGTGACAATGGCAGAAGCTAAACCAAACCATATCCTCACCAGCCATTGAAATCCTGTTTTGTGCCAGGCTGTCTGGTATTTGCTAACTTGTGAATCTAGAAACACCATTTAAATTCCAGAGATAAGTAATCACTTATGAAAAATGGAAAACTAAGTTAGCACCTCTTCCAAAAAGACTCTTTTAAGGATAGAGAAAGCACAGGACGGCTCTGACAGCACTTTCTCACTAGGAAGAGAGTTATCCAGAATGAGCAATTGTAAATTACACAGGCTGTCCACAAAGCATCTCTTGCCATGTAGTCAAAAATACTGCAGTAGATATAATTTCCTATTTTAGTCAAACATACCATGAACCTTTAGGGTAGCTGATGTTTTGTCTTCAGCTGCTTCACACGTATATGTTCCCTGGTCTTCATATTCACACTTGTGAATAATGAGGATTCTCTTATTTTCCTGGGAAATAATCCCCACTTTTTTACTTTGCCGGAGCTCCTTCCCATCCTAGAAGAGAAAAGGCCAAACCAGCTCACCATCAACTCTTCTGCATCCCAGCGAGTGAAATAAAAATTCAGATCTTTGTTTAATTCACCTGTTTCATTGGACATAATGGAACTGTGCTTACTAGAACATATGCTGAAACTTAAGCACAGTGCAAAGTTTTCAAGTAGGAATGGCTGAAGAACACACATAGATTTTGGTTGACCTTAAACACCTATTTGATGGCTGAAGGAATTGTACAGACTTGGCAATAAGCCCCTTCAGACATTAGCATGAAGTGCTGTTATCCCCATTTAAGGGAAGAATCAGCTGAGACCCAAGGAACTGCCTGAGCTGATCCCCAAAATAACTGTCAGGTGCAAAGGTGATTTGAGGCTTCATCTTAAATCACAGTTCTCAATGAGGCTATAAGTCCTGGGTGAAAACTGGTAAGTGTGAAGTAAAGCACAAGACTACATTGCTATCAACAGCAGTGCTCATATTCTGTGCAAAAATAGAAAAGTAACTTTCAACCCAATAAACCCTCCCAGTAAATAAATAACAGTGATGAACTGGGCAAGCAAATGACCATAAGGACAGGAGAGCAATGCTAAGAGATGTACAGCAAGGGCTCAGGCTCACATTCTCCTGGAAGTGAAATTAAAGGCTGTTGTTCCCTTCCAGAGAAGTCAGAAATTTAAATACCACTATCTGTTAAGTTCTGTACCTTGAACCACTTAACATCCACATTGGGCCTGGACAGCTCACACTCGAATATGACCTTGTCCTTCTGAGTTACACTGATGTCTACCAAAGGTTTGCTGATTCTCACCGGCAATTCTGAAAAAAAAAAAAAAAAAAAAAAAAGGAGAAAGTCCAGTTAGTGGGAAATTAGGTTTCCAGGACCATCTGGCACAGGCAATGTTGAATAGGCGGAGCCTAGCTTCCATGCTTAATAAAACTTGTGACAACAAAATCGTATTGTTTTGAACACATTATCATGAGTTGTTCTGTGGACAATGTTGTCACATTAAACTGTTGACATGAGAAGGATACATTACTGATGATGGTCCAGTGCTTAACATCCTTTACAATTACAAGAAAAGCTTGCTCCTCTCTTAAAATCTCATTCTCTGGGTAAGGAGAAGACAACCATGTCCCACAGCGACCAGGGCCTGAGACTTTTGGGTCTGTGTACCTGTCACAGTGAGCTTCCCTGATGAATGAACACCATCTGCTTTGAAGGAGATGACTCCTGCATCTTCAAGAGTCACGGAAGAAAGAGTCAGTGAATGTTTCTTTCCCAGGACACGGATGCTGATATTCGATGAAGGCTTCAGCCGAACACCATCCTTCTGCCAGATCCCTTCCACGTCCTCATGCGATACCTCCACCTCGAAGGTGACGGTCCCTTTCTCAGACACTTGGAGGGGCTGAAGACCTTTCACCAGCTTGATCTGCCTCACTGCAAGAACAACAAGGACGAGTTGGAGATCTCACACCAACAGCTGTGAAACAGCCTGAGGACTTCCAAACTAGATTATTTCCTGATTCCTCGTGCAGGTACCTGCTGATTAAGCAACCACTTTTACAGGAAATAAAACCTGTTCATGACCATACTGGTAGCATGGCTGCTCTTCTCAAAACGGATGCTTTCAGCTGGGACAAACTAGACAGCCAAACATTGCAGAAAAAAGGGAAACTGGCCCTTTTTCTAGCAAGATCCACCACACTCACTGTCTATGCCAGAAATAAGCTTGGAAGTTGTACACACACACACACACACACACACACTGGAGTAGAGGCTGGTTGAGGTGGTCACCAATAACCATCAGAAAGAAGATAAATGGTACCAGGATCTCTGTGCTGTACAGCAAGAGAGATGTTGCTGAAATTACTTATTCTTCAGGCGTGATTCAAGAGAAATATGATGATCAACAGAGATTAATAGAGCATAAAGCAATAAACAATATTGTTCAGATTTTCAATTAAGATAAAACAAGGGAGGAAGGGAAGTAGCAGGGAGAGAAGAAAGCTTTGAGTAAAAGAAAAAAAAAAATCCATTACATGGTGTGAAGCATGCTGACACCTTACAGCTTAGGGGACAAAGAATCTGTTTTGTGAGTGGATATTAACTAAATAGCATAGCCATTTCTAAGTCAGTAAGTGGCCTCCTGGATATATCCTCACCAGGTATTGTACATAGGACTGTAAAAAATTAAATAAAAAAAAAAAATCACTTTTCCAAAGGTCTTGTCATAAAGCAGCATCAGTTGGGACATGGTAGAATTTTTACAGGATTTATTTCAATAGATGATATTTTGTGTCCAGAGATGTGAAATATCATTATTCATGTTCCCAGTATAATTACTGCTAGAATTAATTGACCCAATTATGTTTTTTCCTGATAAAACCTTAGGAGTGTATCAGAGGAAGAACCACTTTACCCATGACTTAAGTCTTCCACAAACATATCTTCCTGGTCACAACTGAAAATAGGTATTCAGCCAGCTGTGTTATTGGTTTGAGCAGCTCAGTTGTTTTTAGGATCTCCTGGCATCTTAAGAGAAGAATAGATGCTTATCTTTTGATGAAGCAACTTCGATACTGGAGCAAATCAACAGATTTTCACCTAGATATTCATTATTTCCCTTACTCTGCAAGTAATCTCAAACCAAACAGGATCAGCCCAGCTTCATGTTTTTTAAATAAAGGTCCTCTAAAATCAGGCTTCTTAGCTTAAAGCTGAGCACCAAAGTAGTACATCAATTCTCCAGACTGTGAGCATTGAAAGAACTTCTGCTGACTTCAGTGTAAGCACCAACACATTCTACTGAAAATAAGCCATTTGCCTAAATGCCAAAAAATGGAGCATAATTTTAGGCTTCTACTTTTAGAGTCTTGCTTTTGATGTAAAACACTGTGAGAGCTTGGTGACATCTCAGCTGGAGGAATTGAATGCAAAATACACAAAGGTTAGAGAGATTCTTGTATACGGCCCCTTTCCTGCTGCATCTCATAACTAAGGCTTGGATGATCACATTCAAAAAGAATTCCCTGCTACAGTGAGCCAATTCTCCTGTTTTATCATGGTACCTCTCAGATCACCTTTAGTTTCCATCACTGCATGAAACAATCTCAGTTAATCAACACAGGAGCTACTTTTTACAGTGACACTAAGCGTAAGTGATGAGAATGCAGTTGGGTGCCTGGTAAGCACAAAGCAGAATCCTCTCTCCATCAGCATAGGAAGTTTATAAACCAGAAACAGATACACATTTATGCTTGCATGACTCACCTTGCACAAAACACTGTTGACAGCTGTCAAGACTGCCCAATTACTTCCTATATAAACACTCTTCCATCATTTTTGTTTTTACCACTTAGCTATAGCAACAGTCGGTGCCTAAAAACAGCCGAACTGAATCTACAACCAAATGCTCAAACATCTTGCTGGGAGGAAATTTAGTATTACCCAGAGTCTGAAAAAAAAAAAAATCCCTTGGGATGCAATGTGTGAAAGAGGATGGAGCAGCAAACTGCCTCGTACGGCACTGCATTCTTCCAACACATTGTGACTGTGAAAATGCTGTGTTTCTTTATCTTCTGTGGACCCAGTTCATCTGATTTAACTGAGATAATAAACCTGAATCTAGCTCTAAACTAGGATCATAGTCACTCATGTTTCCTTAAAAACTCAGACACTCCAGAAGGTAATTCAGTGCATCTAAGATTTTAAACACCCTCTGAAGATATTTACTTCTCTCTGTTATCTACAGAAGGAGCTGAAAGTAATGTGCTAGATTAAGCCTTCATGAATCCAAGACTAATCTACCAGCTACTAGTCACTGCTAATGTCTGTTTTTTTCTAGAGCTATTCAATTTTGAAAAAAAAAAAGATGAGCAATCACCAATAGAAGTGATGACTGCCCCATATCAGGATGCTAAAGCAGTTGTTTTTTGACAGCTGTCAGCCAGGAATATTTTTGAAGATGAAGCTGTCTTAGCAGTACATGGAAGTGATTTGACAAACTCTGCTCTGTATGAGGCAGTCTGTCATCAAATTTTGATATCTTGATTCCATCAGAAGACCACAAGATTATAAGGCTGGAAAGACCTAGAAAAATCATCTAGCCCTTCTCTCCTGCTCTAGGACATGTTTAGCTCTTTACATCATTCCAGACAGATATTTTGCTAACCTTTTCTTAAACCCATGATGGAGGCTCCAAGACCTCTCCAGACAACTTATTCAGCCATCTAACCATTAAAAAATCTTTTTTATTGTATAACCTGGATCTTTCTCATTGCAATTAAAGTCCATTATTTCCTGTCATTATTTCCACTTGGAGAACAGATTGTTCCCTTCCACTTTATAACAGCCTTTTATGTACTTGAAGTCTGTTACCACGTTTTTCCTTACCTATGATTTATGACCTACAGAGCACCAATTGGTGGCAGGGGCTTTACAGACAAAATTAGATAGTACTTAAGTGCTTAAATCCTGTCTTCATCTATCCTGTAACAATCATGACAAAAGGATGTAGGAAAAAGGACAGGAGAACAGGGCTACAGCTGAGACACTGTTAGCTTACTTGAAAGGGCAGCACCTTCAGACAGAAGATTTACTCTTGCAGGTTTTTTTTAACCCTGACTGAATATAAAGAGACATTCTGAAAGAGGTGGTTTGCAGAGAAGAATTAGGGCAATTGATGGCTGAAGAGGGAATGGTTTGCTAAAAGCTATACAAAGGAAAAAAGCAGAACGCACCAGAGAGTGAGACATTTTATAGGAAAAAAAGAATCAGCTAAGAAGATTAATGATTAATAGTGTGACTGAAAGCTGGTGGGATGAGATGGAGGCAACAGGAACCAGCCAGCCATTCTCTGTTTACTGCCCTTGCTTTCACCTCCTCTCAGTCATTTGACTGGTGGCCAAGCCCATGGTTGTGTCCCCATGTCAAGTGGAGAGGACAGTGGCCATCATGATAACGGAAGAGACCATAATCCACCTCCAAACCCTATCGATGGCATTTATAGAACTGGAGATCATTCAACTTACTTTCCACATTGATCTTGGCTTGGGTCTTGTCATCGGGACTTTCACAGCAGTAGAAGCCCCTGTCTGCAAAGGAGATGTCCTTAACCACCAAGGTGTGCTTTGTTCCCTCAGCTTTGATCTCTATTTTTTCACTGGGCTTCAAGACGATGCTGTTCCTCATCCACTTAACCTCTGCAGGCTTAGTCAGCTCTACCTCCAAGGTCACTGTGTCCCTCTCTTCAACTGTTCTGGGCTCCAGTTTCTTCTTGAATGAGATTGAGGCCTCTGCCAAAGGAGAAGAAACACTAGTAAGAATGTAGAGGATCTAGAAAACAGGCTTTCAGAGAAAATTAAAATGGTGACTCATGTATCTGCAGTCCCAACGCATTCTGGACATTCCTATTGAATGATAAGAAAGCGGAATTTCCCTACTGCTAACATAATCAGTCAGAGGGAAGGCCACATAAAGCAACATATGTTACAGCATCAGCTACAGACTGTCAAAGGGGCGTTATCACCTCTTACCTCGGACTCTGAGATTGGCTGTGCTTTCTACACCCTCAGCATTGGCGGAGATTTCAGCTGCATCTTCTAGTGTCAGATCAGTGATGGTGAGGCTGTGGCTGGTGTCCTTCTGGGCGATCACATACTTCTTGCTGGCTTCAATCTTGACACCATTCCTGAGCCAAGTGACCACGGCATCACTGGGAGAGACGGTGCACTTGAATACAGCCTCTTTTCCTTCCTCAGAGACCACGTTGTTGAGACTCGCAACAAATTTCACCACTCTGGGAGCTGATGGATAGAAATAAAACTTTTAAGAGTGTGTCTTTGAGACATGGCATAAACACCTTCCAAGAGCCAAAAGCTTTGATGATTTTATCAGAAACATAAATTTTTATTATTTACAATAAGTGATCTCAATAACGGTCCATCAGATTTCTCATGTCTGAATAAGTTTTGTGTATGAAGATGCCAGAAGAGGAGGGGAAAATCCCATCTTAGTTTTGGGATACTTAATTCCAGCCTCAAATGTAATATGAAGGTCAATTTGCCCACATATCAAGAGACCTGACCATTACAGGTCTCAAAATCATTATATCCTTCACAAATAGAGGTTCCACTGACACAGAGAGGAAGTGGAGTTTTGTATTTTGCTGTCAACACCAGAGACAGCATAAACACATGAACAAATTCAGCTTTGCAGAGTTGTAACAACTGAGGACAAAATCCAGGGATCTCTCTACATTGTCACCATTAGAGACATACCTTTGGGGGTGATGGTAATGCTGCTCTTGTCATCTCTGGACTCACAGGAGTACTCTCCCTCATCCTCAGCGCGGATCCCTGTTATTGTCAGGGTTCGTTTGACCCCTTCCTCGTGAATCTGGAATCGTTTGCTGGGCTTGATCTCGACTCCATTCCTGCGCCACACCACCTTCCCTTTGGCGTGGCTTACATCACAGGTCAAAGAGACGCTGCCTCCAATCTCAGCATTAACAGCTTCAAGTTTTTTGGCAAACTTCAGTGGGATTTCTGAGATCCAGAGGAAGGAAAAATTATGAGAAAGGAAAAGATAAGAAACCTGTTTTAAGAAACTGGTTCTGGCCAAATTAAAAAATAAATAAATAAAAACTAGGAAAAAAAAAAATTAAAAAAACCAACCCCAGAACATATTTGGGGATCAGGGTAGACAGAAACAAACAGAAAGGTGGAAACGTAGGGAGATTCCTTTGACATAGTATTTTAATATCATTATCCTGTAAAGCAAGAACAGTGTCTTAAAATGTGATTGAGTACTGCCTTCCTTTCTTTCTAATCTTTCCCCTGATGAGATCATGTGATGCTTTTACATCAGAGCCTGATTTGCCTGACTAAGAGTAAAAATCTGTATGGAGACATAAGCCCCAGTCACCTTTGTCTCTTCTGTCACTGAAGACACAGCCAAGGGAGTCAGAGAAATCCAGGGTGTGATTTCTCTCTTCCCGAAGGAGACATCTCAAGAGATCTCATCTCCATCCGTGGACCAGTTGTACTTCATCTTTCTTGTCAATTTATAGCCTTAGATTTGACTAGGGAGCAGCACCCCAAGTGCACCATCCCACAAACAGGGGGGGGATACAACTCAGGTTCTGTTTCTCCGTGTGACTAACTCACAAATCTTCTCCTCACGCAACATCCCTCTATATCCCCATCAGCTTTATCACACCAGTGAGCAGAGTGGGGAAGAGCTAAAGCTCTGCCATGCCCCAGCTACTGAGGTGAGGAGGAGATAGAAACAACATGATGAGCGTGGGGAGCAGAGACCAGGAGAAGCACCCATTGTAGGCTTCCTTGTTCCCCTGAGTGGCCAGCAAAGGACAAAAATTGGGTGTTTGGGAGGATGAGAAATTTGCTGGCCCATGGTGAGTCAGCCACAGAAGCTGCATCAGCAGTTCAGGCTTTGAGATTGGAATAGTTTTAGGGAGAGTTTGGATTTCACCTCCATCCTAGCATGAGAGAAGTATGGCTGTTGGGTTGGGACATGACCTGTGTGCTGCTCTCTGCTCACCTTTCACCTGTACTTTGAATTCCTGCTTGTCGCTCTTCGTTTGGCAAGTGTACACAGCAGTGTCTGTGCTCTCAGCCAGGTTCAGTGTCAGGGTCCTGGATGGCCCCTCACTCTTGATCTCATATTTCTTGCTCGCCTTGATTTCTGTTCCATCCTTAAACCACTTTACTGCAGCAGTTTCAGGTGTTACTGAAGTAGTCAGTGTGATGCTTTCATATTCTTGAACAACAAGAGGCTCTTTCTGGACAACTTTCTTTTCAAATTTAGCCTCTGGTTCTAAGAAAAAATATTAAAATAGGAAAACTAATAACTTAATGCTCAAATCCTTAACACAGCAGTTTTCTATTACTGTTTCTTGTTGACTCACAACACCAGCTCATCCATAATCTGTAATAACCCAGCAAACATGGCTAAATATTTGTGGCTGGTATAATCTTTTGCTGAGCAGGAAAAAAAAAAAAAAAAAAAAAAAGATCTGTCAGGTAACCCAGAGCTTCATATATACATATATATATTTTACCTGTTGCCCACAAAAAGCTTGTTTCTTAGAAGTAAAATGGCCTGTATAATTATATTCTCTTGCATTTTCAGGATTTTAGATCTAATTAAGTAGAAATATTAACATGCTAAACCTGAATTTATGGCCTAGTTTATTTTCTGCTCGCTCTATTCCCTTTCTCTTGGCTTCTTCTCTATCTTGTACAATGCTTTGCCACAAAACTAGGCAGTTTGGGGGCACACACAGCAGCAGACCACCTTTTCTTAGTCACCTTTCTCCATAGCTTTATTTCTGCTCTGTAGAACTTCCCACTCCTATTTCCAGCTCCCCACCATATAAAAACATTAGGTGACAAGGTGTGCAAAGGAGACACTAAGCAAAAAACTACATAGCATTTCCATAGCCAAAAAGAGTCTTCGGCCAGATTTCCCACCTCTACACTGCTAGATTAAAAAGGTCACATTAATGTGTGATGTGGTTCACTGAGGTTGCTCCAGGGGAAATGGTGGCTGCACTGTGGCCACCGGGTAGGGAATATCCAGTTTTCCTCTAAGCCAGACAGAGAGCTTTTTAGGTAAGTCCTCACCAGTTGGTTTCAACTTGAAGGTCAGCTTCTGGCCTGCAGCCTCACAGATGTATTCTCCAGCATCTTTCTTCTCCAGTTGCTCTATAACCAGGCGCCGGGTTTTGCCCATGGTTTCTATTTTGAATTTTCTAGAGGAAATGAGCAGTCTTCCATCCTTGAACCATTTTACTTCGGTTGCATCCTGTGCTACCTCACAGCTGAGGGTGGCACTTTCTGTCAGGACAGCATTCACCTCCTTCTGGACCTTCTCCTCATTTATAAATGCAGCTTTTGGCTCTGAGTGTGGAAAAGGAAGAAAATATTGATTGAGGGATTAAAATGAGATGAGTATTACAGATTTCTGTGAAGAGGTTTGGCAAATATTTAGGTGGCTACTTGCCAAAACCAGCTGTCTTCACTGGGAAGTATCTACCCTTCTGTGTGACCAAATTACAATGTGGAAACTAGGGAAACAAGAGCCTAGGAATGAAAAGGACCGAGAAGGTCCTGGACATCAGTCCTATGGTTGCAAGACACCATGCAAAAACCATTTAATTCAAATGTTCCCCAAGAACATCTGTCCTGCAAATCACCAAAAGCTCTCAAATTCCTTTTACCCAACACCTACAGTGAAATGTCAAGGACATAATTATAGCAGTATGGACTTCTGGAACAGACTCTTCAGGATCTCTTCCACTGTTACAAACATGACCATCAAAGGGACAAAGACAATATGGTCTTCCTACAGAGCACAGGTAGGTCAGGATCATGGCTGGCAAGGTGGCCAAGATTGTTTGCAATGTGAACACTCCCTTTAGCATCACATCCTTAAAGCAATTTGGGCACCTTGTGAATCCTGTTCCAAAAGACCACTTGCTGGGAAGATTTCACAACAAATGGACATTTAGCAGCTGGCTGAAATAGTAATGCATCTCAGAAGGCTGAGGTCTCAAACACACAACAGCATAAATTCAGAAAAAATACTGAGTTTTCAACCGATCTTGATGAGTGCCACTGAAAAATTGCAAGTGACAAAGCATATTATAGCCTCACAGTTTTCAGAGATGGGATCATAAGTCTAATAAGAAATGGATTTTGGAGTGGCTCTTTGCTTTCAAGGGGTTTGGTGCACAAGAATAAAATTTTAGGATCCCAGAAATGGGAGAGATCTGAAAAATATGTTGATTATTATTTCTATCTGTAATTATTATATAGACAGACTTAACATGAGATAGGTCTTTGTGCCATGCTAGGACCAAATATTCCCATTTCTATAAGTCCAGGCAATCAGGTACAGAAAAATCGTGTGAACCCTACAGGTTTCAACAAATCCAGACTACTGAAGCTGAGTAACTGTGCAATAGTTATTACAGGTATTATTTTATTCATAGAATTCTAGAATGGTTTGGGTTGGAAGGGACCTTAAAGATCACCCAGTGCCACCCCCTGCCCTGGGCAGGGACCCCTTCCCCCAGCCCAGGGGGCTCCCAGCCCCGTCCAACCTGGCCTTGAACCCTTCCAGGGAGGGGGCACCCACAGCTGCTCTGGGCACCCTGGGCCAGCGCCTCATCCCCCCCACAGAGAAAAATTTCTGCCTTAGATCTCACCTAAATCTGCCTTCTTTCAGCTTAAAACCATCACCCCTCGTCCTACCCCCACCCCCTGATCCAGAGTCCTCCCCACCTTTCCTGTCCCCCCTTTAAGCCCTGGGAGGCTGCTCGAAGGGCTCCCCGGAGCCTTCTCTTCTCCAGGCTGAACCCCCAACTCTCTCAGCCCGGCCTCCCAGGGGAGCTGCTCCAGCCCCCGAGCATCTTCGTGGCCTCCTCTGGACCACCCTCTACTATAATTCAGACAAGATATGTCTCACCTGTGACGACAATCTTGAAGGTAAGTTTCTGGCCAGCAGCCTCGCAGGTGTACTCCCCAGCATCTTTCTTCTCCACCTGACCCACCACCAGACGACGCGATTTGCCCTCCGACTCCACCTTGAACTTCTTGCTCGAGGTGATCAGTTTCCCCTCCTTGTACCACTTCACGTCGGTCTTCTCCTGGGCCACCTCGCAGCTCAGTGTGGCATTTTCTGATAGTGCAGCTTTCACCTCTTTCTGGACCTTCTCCTTGTTTGTAAACACAACTTCTGGCTCTGAAAAGGAAGAGAATTTCAAAGTGTCTCCAAGACATGATATATGATCCTCTTATCATGGCTTACAGGTAACACTGGAAATTAAGCTTCTGATTTACAATACATCTCTAAACTTATTAGAAGAACATGCAGATTGTTTTGTGGTGAGGTTTTTTTGTTCTTTTTTTTTTTTTTTAAGAAACTTTTCATTGATTTTGTCAGAAATCTCACTAACATTAGTATATTTATGGCAGTGAGCTAGGAGATCATCTGAATCATTTATAAGAGCATTGTATGGCACGACCCAGTCAAGGTAAGATACATTTTGTTTTAAGTTGAGTGCAAACTAATTCATTTTTACTGGGAGAAACTGTCCTTTACTGAGTCACAGCCCCACACTGTTGATTCCTTTTGTTCCCAATAGCTGTGTCTGCTGCCTTTACTGTCCTATTGGTACTGGGTAACTTTCTTTCATGCAAAGGGTGCTAGGACCAGGACTTACATGTTCAAGAGTGTGTTATTACTTCCCATATAACTTGAGAAAAGCCCAAACCATCTCAATTTCTTACATCCAAATTGTGAAATCCTCTTGTTCTCCAGTAAACACATTAGTGATCCCACTTGAGAGAGCATCAGGAGGCAGGAATTGAGTTGAGATTGTCTTCTGCCCCTCTAGACCCCACTAGAGTGATGCATTTGGAATGAGCCCCCTTGACACCTTCTTTCAATAGTTACAACTTAACTGATGCCTTAGAGACCTTAACACCTTCTTTGACACCTTCTTTCCATAGTTGCAATTTAGCTGATGACTTAGAGACCTTAACATATATCAAGCCTTACCGTCATATTCAATCCCCAGCCTGAAATGAGCCCTTCCAAGAATAGAGTGCAGACATCAAGCAGACACTCAACTGCTCTCCACCATGACCCTGCTCTGAAATGCACTGAGAATCAGCTGTGTTACAGAGTTGGTCTTGTTGTGTCAACATGTGGGTACAGAGAGGTATAATCTGTATTTTCTTTTTTATGGCCCAGTTCTTACAGCACTGGATAGCTCCCAAAATTTTTCAAGGATGGAGCACCCTGTTTTAAGGATTTTATGAAGTTTAACGTAGAACATATACAGAGAACTGTATTTGTAACTCTTTGTCCCATTTCCCCATGAGGTGCAGGTCATCCCAATGATGTTCTCCAAAAATTTGAAACGTAACAGGAAAAACTCTTATAAATTAATAATCACTTTCATAAATATTCTAGAAATAGGAAGACTGAGCCAAAAAATCTTCTCTCACCTGTAATGTCAAGCTTGAAGGTAAGTTTCTGGCCAGCAGCCTCGCAGGTGTACTCCCCAGCATCTTTCTTCTCCACCTGACCCACCACCAGACGACGCGATTTGCCCTCCGACTCCACCTTGAACTTCTTGCTCGAGGTGATCAGTTTCCCCTCCTTGTACCACTTCACGTCGGTCTTCTCCTGGGCCACCTCGCAGCTCAGTGTGGCATTTTCTGATAGTGCAGCCTTCACCTCTTTCTTCACTTTGTCCTTGTTGATGAAAGCATCTTCTGCCTCTGGAATTAAGATCATGGGGGCAGATTTAGAACATTAATCTTTCACATACACTCCCTTTCCCAAACGCACACATCAGTCCTTGCATTGCAGTGCTGAAGATGAATTTCCCATTCACATTCCCTTTCAACACTGTCAACTGAATGTTAATATTTGAATTAATCAAGTGCCAGTGAAGGATGCTTTTACTAGTAGTCCAAGACAGTTTAGATGACCCCAGACTAGCTTTTATTTCCACCACTATTATTCTCTAAAATCTGCAGAAAAGAAGTTCACATATCCCAATGTCCAGCAGCACACCAGTGGATGCAGTCTGTAAGAAGTCTGTCTGCTGTAATAAGACAAGCATTAAATTGTCCCAACAGCCCAAGAGTTGCAATTTTCTTTGCCTGCAAAAGTAAAGCTGGTCTTGGCAAACAATCTTTGTCAGCCTATTCAGTGTCTGTATCTTTGTTTTCCAAATGTTCCAAAGATGCATCATCCCAGAACTATGTTTCTCTAATGAACTGAAGTGAACCAGCCTCTCTGGTATTTGCTTTGCACTGCATCATGCCAGAATCAAAAAGCAATCTAATATATGAACTGTTGAATTTACTTTAAAATCATCATGATCCAGCTGAGGGATGTCAAGGTTAAATCCTGTTCTTGCTAATGTCATGGCGAAGAGATCTGGTTTCCTCAGCTACCGCTTCTGAGAACTGTTCTAGTATTTCCCTTCAGTTGGCAGAGAATGTAATAAAAATATTTCTTCCATAATAAAGAGACACTTTATTTCAGGAAGGACTATTCTCGAGAAAATGCATACGCTCAGATGATTTGCTGTGCCCTTTAATTTCTCCTCCAATTCCCGAATTCTCATTTTGCTATCAGTACATCTTCACCAGATTCCCAGGGAAACTCCCCAGTGATCTTCAGTCTGCCCTGGTCTTGGGCTACAGAAATTCCACTACATTTCTATTTGTCAAAGAAAGTAGACAGATCTAATATTGTAAACACAACTGCATGAATAAACCAGCACAATTTAAATACTGACTCCATCGCTTCCTGCTGAGATGGAATCTTCCAAGACACATAATTTTTCTCTTCTTCAGTTTTTCAGGATATAAAACAGGGATGCAGCAAATTCACTCACCTGTGACGACAATCTTGAAGGTAAGTTTCTGGCCAGCAGCCTCGCAGGTGTACTCCCCAGCATCTTTCTTCTCCACCTGACCCACCACCAGACGACGCGATTTGCCCTCCGACTCCACCTTGAACTTCTTGCTCGAGGTGATCAGTTTCCCCTCCTTGTACCACTTCACGTCGGTCTTCTCCTGGGCCACCTCGCAGGTCAGAGTGGTGTTCTCCTTCAGCACTGCCTTCACGTCTTTTTGCACTTTGTCTTTGTGTTCAAACACATCATCTGCAAGATTGGAAAGGGGGATAAATATAGAAAAAAATCCCAGGAAAATGAAAACTTTGTCTCCAGGATCATATGGTACAGGGTTTTCAACAGGACACCACCTGGCAGATAACAGTATAAATAAAACAGCTGCAATATTTAAAAGGTTAACAGAGTCAGGGTTTAGCAAATGCTTGAGGAATCACTGGTAGGAACAGCTTGCTTCCAGACAGCAGTTTCTCGCTCCTATTTATTTGGGCAGCAAGCACTGCCATGCCTGATCTTTAGGCTTAACACCGGCTTTTCTGTACAGTCGCTGTCTGCAGGCTGAGCAGGATGGGCTCTCTTGGGGAAGCAGGGCATGTTCTGTTCACTTACAGAAAAGACTGGGCTGCATATTCACAGTAAACAGGGCATAATTCTGGCAGGGTCCTCCATTTGCCAATGCTGTCCCTATATTTGGATCCAAGTAACTTTCAGGAAAAAAACAGTAGTTGTTATGGAATAGATGCATAACAACTGGAACACCTTCACAAAGATTTATATGGAATTGTGTCCTTATGGAACAGCATCACTTCCCAAATATATTCTATAGAGCATGTGCTACTAATAGTACAAAACCGTGGTCATAAAATAATTTAGGTTAGGAGTGGTCTCTGGAGGTCATCCAGTCCCACTTCCCCACTCAGAGCAGATAAAATTACATCAAGTTATTCAGAGACACGTCCCATTGAGTTCTGAATATCTCCAGTGATGGAGATCCCATGACCTCAAGACATCTGTTCCAGAGCTTGACCATCCTCATGGTGCAAGTTTTTCCTAATAGATTTTCAGACGCTCCCATATTCCAAGTTGTACACTTCTTTCACCATGCATCTTTGAGAAGAATGTGGAGCTGTGGACTCTATATCCTCCGATTGGATAGTTGCAGGCTGTAATTAAAGCTCCCTTTGCCTTCTCTTTTCTAGGCTGAACAAATCCCAGTCTCTCCTCATATGGCAAGTGCTCCAACCCCATAATCACCTTGGTTGCCTCCACTGGAACTGTGCCAGTAACATCTTGGATTTCCAGATGGAATAGCTGTCAGATTCTCCAATCAAGCAGACATTGAATTAAGAACAGTAGTTTGATTTTAGATTTGTTTTTGGTAAATTCCAAGGACATAATTTTAGAAGATGAGCATGTGAAACTACCTTGGATGTAGGGATCATGAAATGATCTAGTCTGCACTAAATAGTGGAATTAAAATTATCTCTGTGACACATTTATTTGGATCTAGCAAACTTGTATGAATTATGAGAACTACTTCATGAAAAGTACATGAACAATTTGTTCAACACTGTGGGACCTGGTATCTTCACATTAAGGTGTCCAGAATCTATACCTTACCCAGCAGAAAAACAGGAAAGAAAAGATTATAAGGCCAGCTAAATATATATATATATATATATCAGTACTCTTTAAAAATAATTTAAAAGACAGAGCACAAATAAGGAATTCAAAAAAGGACAACTCTACTGGAAAGCTGTGTCTCTGGGGTCAGGAACTGTAGTAATAAAGCAAGATTTTCCAAAAGTCAGACTGGATACAAGCTCATGAAGGAGGTTAAGACACCTAGCAAAGGATCCTCTAACACCAGAAATATATGTAGACAAGGGAAGAAGTGGGACCGTGATGCTAAAAGCATAGGTTTCATGTTTCAGAGCTCTTCATAGGACACTTCTGAAGACAACAAGTAAATGCTCCCAGAAAGTGTTCTCCTATGGTCTTTGTTCATTTAGGCTCTCACCCTCACTCTAAGCAGAGGTTTTGCCCTTTCATACAAAGCAATGAAGGTTACACAAGGAGGCTGAGTGAGGGACTCCTAAGCTCACACATTATGTTCTGTCCTAGGCAACTCTCTTCAGTGAGAGCTTTCAGTTGTTTGAATTTCCCTCAGGAGAATGTTACTTCTTACACAGAGTCTAGTTGGTAGTCCTGCTCAGTTATATCTTTAATCAACAGTAAGGTGAAAAAAAAAAAAAAAAAAAAAAAAAAAAAAAAAAAAAAAAAAAAGTGATCTAGTATTAAAGCACAGAGGGTCAGAAGTTCCATTTTCCAGTTCCAGTTCTACAGCATACTTCCTTAGTAGTTTTGAATGAGAACCTAAATGGGTCCCAATTTCTTCCTTTAAGGTGACCAATAAATGACCAATAAATCTCTCAGTGGCAAGAGGGAGCTTATTCTTCTCTGCAATCCTTTCTTGTATTTCCCCATTTGCAAAATCTGAGTAATGCTCTCTCTTTGGCAACAATGGGCTTGGGCCACACTCATCTATATCTTTCAGACAAAATGCCAGTCCCCCTTTCCATGGTACTCAAGTACCTCAAAGCCTGTTATATGAAAAACACTTCCATGATATAGGACACACTTCTTATCCCTATTTATGGAAAGGATATCAGATGAAGAGAAGGTTAGTGATAGTGAGTTTCACTCCACATCAAACTTCAGAGGATGGTACCGTTTCCCAAAAAAGTGAATCCCCAGTGTACAAGCCATGGGATTTTCTCCCATGCATACGACTGTTTCTCAGAAGCTCTAAAAGCAGGCCAGTCTTTGGGTTTTCATCTAAAAGTCTCATGCAATCCACCATTATTGCTGTCAACAGCTTTCCTTGCTCAGAAACAGACATTTGGGCTAAGTTGCAAGCACAAACAACTGCTGAGAACACTTCAGTGTCTTGTTGCAACCAGCAGAGCTTAAAGTTCTCCTGGTCCCAGATGAGAAGATCCTTCCACAGGAAGTCCTTTGTAGAGTTCAAACAGTATGATAAGATCCTTTGTTAATTTCTACCTTTCACAGTTTCATTTATAATCTGCTATGATTTTTACAACAGCCTCTTCTATCAACAGCAGTCATTGTTTGAAATAAAATAATGATCTCAGTCTTACTCTACTATTCCTACAACCTGCATAGAGCTATAGAAAAAAGTCACATAACTGAGCCAATTAAATAAGTATTGCCATAGTTTTTCGGGCACAAAGAAGAGTTGCCAAACACAAAGGAGGATGAGGCATATTTGTCTCTAATTTCCTTGTAGGGTCACTCCCCAGAGACATATACCACAGAATGCGAACATGGCAGAGCAAGCAGAATGAAGCCCAGCAAACTTGTACTTCAGCAAGACTCACAGCTGACAGACAGATGAACCTCAGTGCTGTACTGTCATGCTTTTCTCAGGCTACACTGGGAGCAGGGCAGCCACAAACCACCTACAGCGTGGAAGATACATAACCACATTCATAGATGGGTCCAAAATAGACAGCTCAGATGTGTAACTGGTGCACCAGGCTGCATAGACATGCTTAGATTCTAGTGTTGGATGAATCCGTTGAAAGAAAGAAAGAAATGGCAAATATTTGCTCCAAAAACCAATTATGTTGTCCCACATCACTTACTGGGATGTGGTTTTAATTGAATGCATATTTAAGGTTTTCTTCTGGTCCACAGTCAGAAAAGAAATGTCTACATCAAATTTCAGTATTCTTTCCTCATCACCTTTTCAAACAAGACAGAAGCAAGGAAGATGAGAAAGAAAGTGTTGAATAATATTTTCCACAAAAATAAGTAGCAGCAAGGACAAAAAATTATGATTCACCAGTACATACAAATTACTGGATATCATTCTGAACTCACACTCAAAACCTTATGTGTTGTGCAATTCCTCATTAAGTCATACTGGCAAATTCTCCCACCAGAACCATGCTTTGGTACAGGTGTGGCAGAAAGAAACTCTGTCCCAGCAGAGACAAAAACTACAGATTCTCAGAGAGAACTACAGACACTAAAGAGTGGAAGGATTGTTTTATGCTTGACTTGTTATTACATGTTTTTTCTTTAATTTCTGGTCAAAATCAGGGAAAGAAGAGTGGTCTAAGTGGACTTTTCTCTTTCCCAAATCATCTAAACATATGTCTGTAAGACTGATCTTTAAGGATAATCACTTAAATTCTGTAGCAGATCCATATATATCAAGGCTGGAAGTAAATCTATGTCCCTAAGAAACTTTCTTTATAGCTACAGCAAGAAAATATATAAGTAGATAATCCCTCACCTGTAATGTCAAGCTTGAAGGTAAGTTTCTGGCCAGCAGCCTCGCAGGTGTACTCCCCGGCATCTTTCTTCTCCACCTGACCCACCACCAGACGACGCGATTTGCCCTCCGACTCCACCTTGAACTTCTTGCTCGAGGTGATCAGTTTCCCCTCCTTGTACCACTTCACGTCGGTCTTCTCCTGGGCCACCTCGCAGCTCAGTGTGGCATTTTCTGATAGTGCAGCTTTCACCTCTTTCTTCACTTTGTCCTTATTAATAAATGCATCCTCTGCTTCTGTGGGGTGGAAGAAGCAATTTATAAATCACAGGTATATTCACGTTGTCCAAAATGTTCACAGCCAAATGCAAAATCCTGCTTACAAGAACTTCCCACAGCTCTGTCCTTTTGGAATGGTCCTACTCACAGCTAAGATACACTCAGACAGGACATGACCCTCTTTAAAACCTGAGGACAACACATCAGCCATTTCTGAGCAAAATGAGCCAATGCCCCAGGAGTTCAGGTTCTTCCCATCCCCGTGGATCCACAAGACATCTGACTTTTTGTTCTTTAATGTGATGAACATATAAGAACCCAATCTCATCCATCACTGGGACTCCAGTGTAAGCTTTGCCCACACTAGGTACTTCTTAAACATGATTCCAGACCTATTTTCCTACACATGTGGGAGATGACCCTACCTTTAGAGCTATAAATCACAACAACATATGTAAGCTTGCTTAATTTTTCTTTACTATGAAATCAGAAAACGACAAAGACTGCTCAGTGGGATTCATCTCACGGATGAAGACAACTAATTAGAGGCATCTGTGTGACAGTGGATGCACACAAGCTGGTTGTCTCATCTCCCTCACCACTCAGTGAAGACCCAGGCTACACAGACCCTGGAGCCTAGAGGGCAATTCTGTTTGCTTTGTAGTAAAGGAAATTGATGGACCTTTCTGTGATGAGAACTAACATATCTCTCACCTGTGACGACAATCTTGAAGGTAAGTTTCTGGCCAGCAGCCTCGCAGGTGTACTCCCCAGCATCTTTCTTCTCCACCTGACCCACCACCAGACGACGCGATTTGCCCTCCGACTCCACCTTGAACTTCTTGCTCGAGGTGATCAGTTTCCCCTCCTTGTACCACTTCACGTCGGTCTTCTCCTGGGCCACCTCGCAGCTCAGTGTGGCATTTTCTGATAGTGCAGCCTTGACCTCTTTCTTCACTTTGTCCTTGTTGATAAATGCATCCTCTGCCTCTGAAATAGGGAAAGATTAGGAAAAAAATATGTAAGATAAAAATAACCTCCATCTAGAAGATATTACATGTATTTTGTGTAGTTGCTCTACAGGACCATTTCTTGTAAGTAACATTGCTTTGCTGTTCTTTTCATCACATTGAACAATGCACCCTCAGAACGGAGTCCATATAATTATCATCTCCCTGACTAGTCTTCATTAACAGCTCAACCACCTCATTTTAAAATGTCTTATAGTGAAGACAAAGATTAATTTCCCCCTTTGTGTCTTTATGACATTTCTACACACCACATTTAGAACTAGACAAATATAGCACAATTATGCGTTGCCACCTTCACTGTCACATTATTTACAGGAATCTACCAACATCTTGTTATTTTAGATTAAGACTAGGTGTTGTTCAGAAAGTATCTTGTAAATCCATCTCAGAGAAATCACAAAGATGCAGTTCTTAATGTGGGAAAGTACTTGGCCTACATTATATATAAAACTCACCTATAAAATTTGAAGTATACTTTCCTTTCTTCAGAAATCTCTTATTTTTCAGAAAATTGACCATGGGGAATCTTCTCTTAATGCAAGCAACAAGAATTAAATGTTTAAAGTAACTTTCTCCCACAGTACCACGTCCATCTCAAAAAGTGGAGTTAGTAGTTAGTTAGGCATATAAATTGAAAAGATTCAGTTGCCACCTTACTAAGTACAATTGACTGATAAATTGAATCTTTCACTGATTAATGATTGTTTTACCTGGTTCTCCTTTTACCAACAACTGGTGTGGTCACTGTTAGTTTTTATATTATCCTACATTTGAGATGTGGGAGGAAAAATACACCCTGAAAAATGGACTCCCACATTTGTTCCACTGATTTACCTTAAGAAATAGCTGCACAAGAAGTGTAAAATATTTCTGGTATGCCTAAATGATGGACATCACACAGCAACAACCTCCCAACATTCATCATAGACTACCTTTGCCTTTTTGGGTCCCAGGTATGTACCTGAGTGTTGAAGCCTCTGATTTCATTGCTACAGAAGCACAGGCTCCAAAGATAAATACTGGACTAGAAAGTGCACAGGGTTGTTATTGCCCTTCATTTTCAGTGGAAGTGTGGAAGATAATTTAACCAGCCAGCTTCAGGCACTTGGGTCACCTGGTTAGGGTGACCTAGGAGGCTCTTGGCTCTCCCTGGCAGTCATGATGAACCCCTTCTATAGCCTGTGTTAGTCTTCCTCCCCCCAGTCACTCTCTGCAGACTCCTATGGCCATTTTTTCTCCTCCTTGGTGACTTTCTCCTCTGCATAGCATCTCTGTCATGTCTGTACTCTGAGTGGCAGCAGCTGGCTGGGAGGGTAAGGAGTAGGGGTAAATTCAGGTCAAGTTCCTATGCTGCTGACCACGGCACTCCTTGTAATCCTGGGAGCCACATCATAGGCTTTTCATCAGTATTGCACAATCCATGGAAAGAGAGGGGTCCTGCAGGGGACAAGCTGAAGGAAAAACACAGTTTATATGCTCTAAATTTGAGTTCTTCTGTTTGTATTGGATGTAGAAGGGGTGTAAGGAGATGTCGTTGTCATCAATATGTCATTAGCGAGGCAGCATACATGGCCTATCCTGGGTGATGTAAAACTCCTCAAAGGCATATGTCAGCTCAGTATAGATTAAGCAGCATTTTGGTAGCTAAAAGAGCTCATGCATACACCACGGTTTGCATCCAAAAGAGGTTGGGAAAATATAAATATTTTGGCTTTCATCTACAACTTGGACTGTGAATATGCAGGGTGCACTTAACAAATGAGTGACAAACCAGTTGTGTAAATGGATGCTGTACTTAAAATGAAAAGTTAGCAGAGCAGGAATATTTCAGATGGATTACTCAGTTGTCCTCTGCATTCTTGCCCTTTAGTATAAAACATTTTTATAGTGATAGGAAATGTGACGAGATCTTAATCTGCTTACAACGTGATTTACACTAGCCAGTAATTGGCCTCAGAAATATATTTTAAAGTTAAAGAAGTATTCAGATGATATTTCCAACCTCAGCTGCAGTATATTAGTGCAGTTCCACTGAAACTGAAGAAAACCATTTTCAGGACACAGAGCTTTGACTTATTTCAAATAAGAATTTCAGTGTATACAATGATTCTTAAAATAATGATATTGAAGAATCAGCTCTTTTGCCTACACATCTAGATCAGTCTCAAAGTGTGCAGCACCTGCTTCTGTTAATATTAAGGCAAAAAGCCATAGCTGCATCACCATACTCAACACTGAGAATCTAACCTTCAAGCTGTCCTTAAACAGGGAAGGTTTTGTGCTACCAGTGGAGCCCTGGCATACAGGAACCCTGAAAAGCTTTCTGAGTGCAATGGTAACAGGATAAATTAAGACCCAGAAAGCCACGGTGGTTTGGGATAACCTAGTAAGATGAGGATTTCTGCAGCAAAAGAGCCAACCACTCAGAGTACTCATAATCCCTCCTGACTTTCACACTAGATCATTTTCCCGTGAATGTTGGACTTGCATGTCATGTTACAGTTGTACACATGAGAAATACAGCAACAGTAGCTAGGCAAGCACTCTTCACTTAGGACAGAGGGGGAAAGGTGTTACATTACCCTGTGCAGCCGTGAAGTCATCCAGTTTGAAAGAGAGCTGAAAACATTTGGTTTCTGAGGCATACAGCTAAGAATAGCCCCCAGCTAGAGAAATTCAAGTGTAAAAGCACTAAATATCTGTTTTTTTCTGACTACACCTCTGCAGTAATATAGGAACTGGTTTCAGCAGCTGAGCATGATCTTGTTTTATACCAAGGGTCTTTCTATCAATCCCCATGTTGCATTTTCTCTGAAAGATGCCTCTCAAAACTAGCCTTACTGTAATCCATCCTTCAGTGAAACTGACAGTTCCCTGAGCCAAAATCATGCGCTACACTGTTCATGAAAAAGAGCCAAAGGGCCTCAGCTCACACCCTGTGTACCCCGTGCAGAGTGGGGATACACAACAGCTGATGGCTTACGACATAGTGCCATGGGGAGCAGCAAAGCTTTATGCTACTGAAGCAATTGCACATAGAAGATGGAGGAGGCAGGGTGCCCCAAGACAGTGGGAGAACAGTAAAGACTGCAATCCTGACAAGGGAAGAGCACTCAAGGTATGCCTTGCAAGGAATTCAGGTCTCCAGCATGGCTGCGAGCAGGGAAGTCAGTAGACTCCCCACACAGTTGGGTCTTCTACCAAGCTGATAAGATGTCAGACCTCTGTCAGCATTATGGTCCCAATGTGTTGGATGCTGTAAGAAAGAACAGGAGAAAATAGATTCCCTGGTCTGATCAGCTCAGAACTGTAACGTTACAAGAACTGTAACGTTAACAGGGAGGCAGTTGGCTTCAAAGACAGAGGAGTGTTATGAATATTACTAAAACAAAACCAAACCCTTTCTCACTCAGAATGTAGCCAACATGTCCATGGCTGCCTGGAGCCTGAGATAAAACTTACTGGACCTCTTGGAAAATATACTGAGACCAAAGAAATACCTAGTGTAGTCAGAGTGAAAGAACAGCCTCAATATTAAATCCTCAGACTCCAAATCCAGCTGTTAAGGAGAAAAATTCAAATGTAAAATAAATATTCCTGACTCATGACCAGTCATTACAGATGCAGAAATTGCCATGAACCGTCGTTGTCATTGGATTCAACAGATTGCAGATATGTGCAGTTCAGCTGATACTAAATTTTTAGGACAATACACTGCCATCAACATCCAAACATTTTCAACGCAGCCACAATAAAGTAGGGATCTTGTAAATGCTACTGTTTAAATATTGCTTGATAAACAAGTATTTGCACTACTTCTCATTATTTTACAAATCACAATTGGGTATTCAATGACAGATGAAAGAAGTGGTAGAGGAAGAGCTGGATAAAAGGTTGTTAAATAAAAAACATAATTCAAGTTGCACATATCTGTATCCATGTCTGTTCATCATCCATAAAAGTTTCATGGTACGTGGAGTTACAAGGTTGTACCCACATCTGTGTTTGCACAATCAGACTGTGGAGTAATTGAAGCAATTCTCAGTTTTGGGAGGGAGGACATTGTGTAGAGAAAAGATGAAACAAAGAGAGAAGAAAACTATGACTTTCATAGAAAAACGGCAATAACAAGAGGGAAAATACCAATACTGACAATCAAATTGGAAGAAGCTCTTTAACACAGTGTCTTCTAACAAAAGCTCTTGATTCACTATATGAGCCTAAGGAGATGCACATGGAGTTGAGGAGCTGATATCAGGATACTTGCAGGTAATATCTAGATCTGTCCAGTTCTATACAACCTCACCAAAATGGTAGCTTAGACCAACATCAGAAAGTACTTTAACGGCATTTCTAATATTTTGACAGAGAAAACAGCATAAAACACCCAGACAAAGAGAAAAGGCAATGAAATATCAACCAAAATATGTCCCCTACCTGTGACAACAATCTTGAAGGTAAGTTTCTGGCCAGCAGCCTCGCAGGTGTACTCCCCAGCATCTTTCTTCTCCACCTGACCCACCACCAGACGACGCGATTTGCCCTCCGACTCCACCTTGAACTTCTTGCTCGAGGTGATCAGTTTCCCCTCCTTGTACCATTTCACGTCGGTCTTCTCCTGGGCCACCTCGCAGCTCAGTGTGGCATTTTCTGATAGTGCAGCTTTCACCTCTTTCTTCACTTTGTCCTTGTTGATAAATGCATCCTCTGCCTCTGTGGAATAGGAGAAGAAATTTAAAAATCACACATATGTTTACACTGTCCAAAGTCTTCAAACCCAAGTGAAAAATATGACAACTTCCAGAGTTCTGTCATTTTGGAATGGTCCTACCAAAAGCTAAGATACACTCAGACAGGACATGACCCTCTGGACAGCCTGAGGACAACACATCAGCCATTTCTGAGTAAAATGATCCAGTGCGCTGGGAGATCAACTTCTTCCCTTCTCCACAAGAAATCTGAATTTTTGTTCCATACTGCAATGCACAAGTAATTTCCCAATCTCATATGCCACTGGGACCCATAGATAAGCCTTGCCTACTCTGTGTACTTCTTAAGAAGACCTGTTTTCCTACTTCTTCAAGACCTATTTTCCTACACATGTGGGAGATGACCCTACCTTTAGAGCTATAAATCACAACAACATATGTAAGCTTGCTTAATTTTTCTTCACTAGGAAATCAGAAAACGACAAAGACTGCTCAGTGGGATTCATCTCACGGATGAAGACAACTAATTAGAGGCATCTGTGTGACAGTGGATGCACACAAGCTGGTTGTCTCATCTCCCTCACCACTCAGTGAAGACCCAGGCTACACAGACCCTGGAGCCTAGAGGGCAATTCTGTTTGCTTTGTAGTAAAGGAAATTGATGGACCTTTCTGTGATGAGAACTAACATATCTCTCACCTGTGACGACAATCTTGAAGGTAAGTTTCTGGCCAGCAGCCTCGCAGGTGTACTCCCCAGCATCTTTCTTCTCCACCTGACCCACCACCAGACGACGCGATTTGCCCTCCGACTCCACCTTGAACTTCTTGCTCGAGGTGATCAGTTTCCCCTCCTTGTACCACTTCACGTCGGTCTTCTCCTGGGCCACCTCGCAGCTCAGTGTGGCGTTTTGTGTCAATACAGCCTTCACCTCCTTTTGTACCTTGTCCTTGTTTGTAAACACATCTTCTTTCTCTGTCAGAAGGCCACAATAGTCACACATAACTTTTTGCAGTTGTCTTCTCCAGTGTTTAATCAAGTTCCCCCTACTTCTCTACATTTGCCCCTGAAGGTCATATTATGACGATCCATTAAGATAAGAAAGCAGTTTCATCTCTATTTTGCTGATAAGATGTGAATAAGTGTATGGGAATTGTGGGATGAAGTTTAAAACCTCACAATTTGAGCACATACTTGAACCAGAGACTTAGAGCACCAACCTGAACCCTCCTCCCTCTTCTCTCTTTTTTTCATCTTATGTCTCTCAAAGCTTCCAGTGAATCAGAAGGGAACACCCCTTGCATCCTCATATACAGGAACCATTTCTCTTTTTCCGTGCCTATTTGAGTCACTCAAATTCAGTCATTCTCTACCTAATCAGAACTCTTCAAACACCTCTCCCTTCCCTTTTATCTATCCCTGCACTTCTGCTATGGCGTCATACTATGGTTCTGCAGTTTTTCTGCAGACACACCAGCCAGTTGTGAGAGGTGCAAAATTATCATCCTTGCCCATCATTTTTTTCGTGGTTACAGCTAACCATGGATGTAAAAGTGTATGTATAAAATGTTGATATGACAGCTGGCCAAAAATCAAGTCCTACAGCAGAAATATTTCACCCCAGAGAGGTTGTGAGATGATCCTCTGAATGTAAGATACTACCCCAAATGTAATATTCCTTTGTCTTTAACACTGCTAGCATTTTCTCACCTCTGACTTTGACTTGGAATTCTGTTCTGTCATCCTTTGTTTCACAGGTATAGCTCCCTTGGTCTTGCTGTGTCACCTTTTTGATGATGAGCTTGCGGTGTGTCCCCTGAGAGATGACTGTTGTCCTCTGGTCCTGCTTCACCTCAGTTTGATTCTTCTTCCATACCACAGCTCCACTGGCAGATGACACCTCACACACCAGCTCAAGATTTTCAGAAGGACTGACTGATATTTCTGGAGTTGTTTTGGGCTTGTTGACAAAATTAACAGCTTCATCTGGAAAGAAAAAGAAAAAGCTATTTTTGCACTGATTCAGGCTTATCAGCACAAAGTTAAGATACAGTAATTACTGAACATTATTTCATTGTTAGCCACATTTGGGTGATCAAGTTTCACCTCTGGAGGTGTAATTGTACATATGGGTGCATGGTACTATTGCAGTGTAACTGTGGCAGTGTTAACAGCAATGGCAATAAACTGTGGTTACGAGTCAGAAAGGTCCCTCCTGAGATACAGCAGCATTATCTCTACTGGGGAACTCATTGTCCAAGTTTTAAATCATCCAGAGAGTTAGTACATAATGGTCTCCAGTTTGGGAGCTGGGTATTGCTGAATCCTTTATAATACATCAGCTTATTAGGCCTACATTGTGGCATTAATACTAGCCTTAAGTTCTATCTAGACATGGATCTATGCCTACCTGTATTCATAACCAAAATCCACATAACTGCTGTGCATCCATTTTCCTCATCCCTTTCAGAAGTCAGGAATGAAAGCTCTTACAAAGCATGGATATGGTGGTTTCTATCACCAGAGCTGCATGTGCACAGGGCCATGAGCAGAGCCTGGCCCAACATCGTGAGACCATAAAGCCTGATGTGTGCTTTAATTCACAGCTCCTGTCTCATCACACACATGAAAGTTGATGCCTGACTTTCTGACAGATGGTGAAAACTCCTCCTCTGATCTTCAGATAATTGCTCTCAGTTACAGTGCAATCACATTCATCTCTCCTACATCCTTCTGGATCTTTTAAATCAAGCTGAGGTGCCCTCGAGTTGCTGTCACTTTGATCTTCACTGCTTGTTTCTTATTTCAGGCAAGCTCTAGGGAACATGTATTGATGCCTGAGTAAACAAACAGCTTTGAAAAGATCTAAGAACTGTCAGAAAACCTTGTCAGAAGTGATGAGGAACCTTCTTTAAATGTTTCTGAGCTCATTCCTGTAGCCCCATGTTCACAATATCAGTCCCGTTGGACTAATTCTTCTCCAGACCAAATCAAGGTATATATAGGATAATCTCATTGATAAGACATTTTCCAGCTTCAAGAGGATTAAGTTAATATATGAGCCAATAGTGTCACGCCTTTCTACTGAGAATGATCTTCGTAGTAGAGAACTCACAACTGCTCACAACTCGTATAGCTTAAGTGGTAGAGGTTCCTGCTTTGATGTCTCACCTCAAACTCTTCTGACTGCACATACTGGTGGCCACCTGTATGACCTGTGCATGCACACACACATCATGTATGCAGAAACAATGCAGCATTTTTATCAACTAGGGTTTTTTTGCAAGTGTATTTGTAAAAGTGAAATTGAAGACAATGAAGTAAGTGAGCAAACCTATTCAACACACCCTGTCCCTAAGCTGACGAGCAATGTTTAATGAACATGTCAGGTATTTCATACCCTTCATTCCATCAAGGCAGCCCTTGCCTGAAGAGCAAGCTGATGGCTGTCAGTTATAACCATCCTTAGCTTAGTATTGCATTTCTCCAAGCCACAACTGTTGCTTTCAGTCACAGAGTATCCCAAGGACAATTGCTATGCTACACCCATGCCAGATGCATCTGTGGCATCAGAGAACAAATATTTCTTTAAAAATTGTAATCTTTAGGACTGGTCTATTCTTAAAAAATTAGATGATCAAGGATAGTCCCGTCCAAAATCCTGCTGTTCAGGATTATTGGTGTAACTCATTACCATAAAGACAGATTGCTTCCCTGCCCTAAGACTATACCTGACTCTGCAATGCTTCCTCTTAGCAGTCTGGAAAATTTTTATAGTGACATGTGAAACAAGGTGGAAGTTGCCCTAGCTAAGATTTTATTAACAGGTTATAACTCGATCCTTTTCTATCAAAAAGTTCATGGGGATACACAGTTATTTAGCAGATATCTGTTTTCCTTGCCTGAGCCATGTGATGTTTTGTCATAGGAGTTACAGGGGATATTCACCTAACCTGCATATGGTCATCAAAAATTTAGGTGTCCAGTCCCAGGTAATTATGCAGGCTTCTTCTGTACTACTTGTTCAGACAAAGGCAGCTTCAGAACAATTTTTAAATCCATCTTGGATAGCTCTGATCAGACAGTATAAATCAGATTATATAAATTGTCCTTTGGGGGTCAGATCAGACAGAGCATGGTTGGCTCTTTCAGACCAATTTTTCAATGGGTAAAGTCAGGGACTATCAATTACACTCAAAGTGAAATTGCATAATGTTGGATTCTCAAAGAGAGAACTGGAGGTGAGATGTAGAGTGAATACCTGAGCAAACACCGGTTGTAAACTGGAAGCAATCCCTCCAGCTCAGCAAACCCTGTAGCAATCCCTCAAGACCAGTGCTGTTCTAGATTAATCAGCTCTGCTGAGTTTTATTTAGCTGATGGACAGCATGGGAATAACATGAATGCACTGTTACAGGTCACAAACAGTTGTTGCTTTGTTTAAATTGCATTGTACTGCAGCAGGTAGACATATCATGAGAAGCTTTCTGTAGAGTTTCAAATTGTAACTTAGAACTGGGTTAAAAATTAGGCTCCAGATGTAAGCCAGAAAAACAGTTTGAGAAGAAAGGTTCCCACCAGGCTATGCTAATTGAATCAGCTGAATTTCACAGATATTGAATTTCACAGATAAATTCTTGTGTCATTTTATACTCTGGATCCATCCTGGACTGGAACACATCCTCTTCTGGGCTTGACCTGACAGCCACGTGCTTTAGCATGTGCTTTATGCTGATGGGCATGTGCCATGAACTAATAGCTTCACATACAGTACCACAGGGAGATGTCTTGGAGATCACACTGTCCTTTGGGAATAGCAGGAGTCGCTTAACTCTCAATATCAAGAGTTAAACTTGTGAAAGGAGGACACAGGACTTTCACAGTAAGACTTTAGGACCTGAGTCAGGAGGTTCAAAGACAATGTACATGCTGAGCTAAAAGAATAAAAGCCAAATGGGGCATTCAGCCTGTTCAGTCAGCGTGGTTGGTTTGAGTTATGTCTCCAAGCCTAGTAAAAGCTTGTGCTGACTTGAATATGTAAAAACATCATTATATTATTTGCCCATATTGTGGATTTGTGTAAGGACCACAGTAAGTGTCAGAGTCTCTGAAATAGTGCTATGCAATCTTGGCCCAAAACCCCAGCAATTTCCAAGGCAAGACAAGTATAATGAACAAAGTCCTGAGTTTCTAAAACAGACTCTGACCCCATATTTGCATCACGAACTTACCTGAGACTTTTAAATCAAAAATAAGAGTGTCATCTCCAATTTTGCATGTGTATATTCCTTCATCTTCTTTTGTCACAGCTGAAGCCACAAGCTTATGCAGTTTTCCTTTATCTTCCATGGTGAATTTCTTGCTGGCAGTGATTTCTTTGCCATCTTTGTACCACTTAACCATGATGTTGGCTTCAGAGGTCTCAGAAACAAATTCAGCCTGCTTTCCAACAATGGCCCTGATAACTCCTCCACTTTTCTCTTTGTTTATGAAGCTTGCAAGTGCTGAAACAAAATACAGACACACACTGCTGGTAAAGAATTGCGTGGACATCAATAAATAGTTACACTTACATCTATATTAGGTATTCATTTATATTAATGATGGATCTAATTATTAGATTCTAACACAGAAGCAGACAAATTTCCTGCCTTTATAAACCATATACTTGATTATCACATGTCCAAAAATCAGAACATATATTCAGCATGGGAGGCTGATTCAAGGGTATAAGAAGCCCCAGGCAATAGGGGTTTAAGAAAATACTTGAGAGAGGTTAGGAAAGAAATTAAACAAGCAAACTGGAGGGAAAGTAATGAAGGTTATGTGATCATTGTATTGTAACGACCTGGCAAATAAACTGACTCCAAAAGAGGTTAAAATGTAATCTAGTGAAATTAAACTATATTAAATTTAAAATCTATACAAATATCACATAGGACTGAAGTGAAAATAAACTTCTTCCTGGAAGTTAACTGGGGCATAGAAGATAAACAGTAAATCAGGCACCATATTAACATGTAGTGGAATAATTGAGTCACCAACGACCTCAAAGCAAAGATTCAAGCACCCACCAATATCCCAGCTAAAAATGTGAGATTAAAATCAGTCTCATTTTACTTTAGATAATGGAATTTATTTTCAAACATCTTCTTAACATATTATTTTAAAACAACACACACAATCAAGTCACTTTGTTGGGACTGTGCAGTCAAATCTACCAAAATCAAAGATCTGATTATGTATGCGTTTTTTTTTTCCTTAATTTCAAGAAAATGCTTGTGCAATGCAAATTAACAACTCTCTGAAGAATGCCTGGCAAAAACAGTTATCAATTTTCACTGCTGATACTGTGACAAAGTTACAGTCCACGGTCTGGACCAGCTAAGTGTGACTCTCAGACTTTTGTTCCCGAGGTTTTATTATCAGGGCTACAACCTGGTGCAACACATGGGGGTTCTCCTTTAGCTCAAAGGCCCCACCCAAAAGGATGGGTTCTGCATTTAGTTTCCTTGGTTTTGAGTACATCAGATTTCTCCAAGTCTGTGGTACTGCTTTTAATTACAGGTAAATATTTGGTAGGGAACCAATATTCGCCAACTTGTACAGTGGCAGTGTCTGGAGACCTGAAAATGAAGAGTGAATTGACTTGCCAAGCAGTACACAGATAAGAAAGGAAAAGAAAATCCCAGTCCCAAATCTCTCCCAATCTAAGACTAAGAAAGACAAAGACCCAACAAGCAAATAAACAGGAAAAGGGAAGGGAAGGAGGTGACAGTGAGGTTAAAACCCTCTCTAGCTCCAGTCATGAAGGGACTCTATTCAACCACCAGCTTCTGGAAGGGACAGGGACTTGCATTTGACCTCTCCAGGACCCTATCAGCCCTGTTTTCTAGGCTTTAATAAGTCTGCTTATTAAAAGCAATACCTACTGGTAAAGAAGTCATACCAGAATCAATTAAACCAGGGAAAACCTCCCTTTTTTATTGGTGTTTGTTTTTGTTTTTGGTTTGGTTTTTTTTTTTTTTTTTTTTCCCTGAGGCCTCTGTTTCTACTTGTTTCTCTAATGACACATAACAGTGGAGCTTTTCTTTCAGTGGGACACCACCACAATCCTAGAATCCTAGAATGATTTGGGTTGGAAGGGACCTTAAAGATCACCCAGTGCCACCCCCTGCCCCAGGCAGGGACCCCTTCCCCCAGCCCAGGGGGCTCCCAGCCCCGTCCAACCTGGCCTTGAACCCTTCCAGGGAGGGGGCACCCACAGCTTCTCTGGGCACCCTGGGCCAGCGCCTCACCCCCTGCACAGGGAAGAATTTCTGCCTTAGATCTCATCTAAATCTGCCCTCTGTCAGTTTAAAACCATCACCCCTTGTCCTACCCCCATCCCCTGACCCAGAGTCCCTCCCCACCTTTCCTGTCCCCCCTTTAAGCCCTGGGAGGCCGCTCGATGGGCTCCCCGGAGCCTTCTCTTCTCCAGGCTGAACCCCCCCAACTCTCTCAGCCTGGCCTCCCAGGGGAGCTGCTCCAGCCCCCCGAGCATCTTCGTGGCCTCCTCTGGCCCCACTCGAGCAGGTCCTTCTTCTCTCCCCAACCACCTACACCCATGAAGCCTGCAGGGGCCAAACACTGCTGAGACCTCTACTCCACCAGCATTACTGGAATTAAGCCCACAGGTTAAAAGTTTTGAGAGAGGAAGACGAGGGGGATGGATTCATTCATGCACCTTTCACTTCCTCAGAAAGCTAGAGTGAAAAATACAACCACAGCAGTCTGACGAAGGACTTCTCAGATGTCCCGTTTCAACGCTGGAAGTCATGTGTCAGAGGACGCCTGGCAGGTGAAGTCTCATGGCAGTGGAGGGACAGGAGTGATAAATGGCAAGCGCATTTTCTAGCGGGGCTTTTTTGGGCAGGAGGCCCAGCGAGTGACACACCTCTGGCCGTGGCTCAGCATGGTGGCCTCTCGGCAGCCACGTGACGTCCACGTGCCAGACACAGCTGACCGGCTCATCAAGCGATTCACCAGCTAGCTGCATCTGATTCACGGGAGGAGCTGATAAAATTGGCGATACCAAAAGGCGAAATGCCGGGACAGCGTTTGTGAGCCTCATCCTGCAAGGATGAGATGTATCAGAGCTGATTCTCCGAATCAAGCTACAAACAGCAGATGTTTAAGTTACAGCTTGTCGACACAGATTTTAAAATAAGAGCACTGACTATTCATTTGATAGTCATATTACAATGAAAAGCACATGGAAATGTCCATCAGCTAATTCAATTAAATCTGTGAGTAGACCTGCCAGCTTGAAAAATTATACTAAAGAGACAGAGAGAGAGACAGAAGAAAAAAAAAATAAAAGCAGCTGCCAAATATAGTCAACAATTCCTCCCTCCATAGATTTAGTCACATTTTTTTAATTATTTTTTTCAGCTTTGAGTTTGTTCTTTAAGAATAACAAAGTGAGTAGGTTGTCAAATGCAAAACACACCCAGTACTCTGGGACTTTGTTCTTTCTACAGAGACCAAGGAGGACAAGAAGCCAACAGGACATGATGATAGAGTGCCTCATACTTAGTGTAGAAACAGAAAGAGTGCGATCATTGCTGGGGAGAATTTGAGGCGTGAGTTACGGGACAGAACACGGAAATTAAATGAATTTATAAAGTGAACTTGCCACTTCAAAGCAAAAGAGCTACTGAACTCATCTCAGGTAATGTCTGACAACAGGCTAAACTGTCTTGGAGCCAGGTTTTATACTCTGAACCTCAGACGACATCTATATGATATCCATGAGGAACAGTTTGGGGACACACTGGTGCAAAAAAAAACAGGAAAAAAAAAAATGCAACCCCACAAACAAATAACGAAAAAAATCCCACAATGCCAAGTTAATCTTGGTCCATCAGAACTTTAATTAGAGCTGAAGAAGCTCTTCAGTGAATTGTCCAATATCACATAGCAAGTATAGGGCAGACATGGGATCATGCTCATCATCTGATGAAGAAATTCAGCCACAGGGTCAGGACAAGAGCACCTTTTCACTGCTCACCATTCAATCCCATGAAATAACGCCAAGTTCCCATGGAATATCAAGACATCAATTTAAGTGAAGGAAAAACTTTTACCATTGAGACAGTGTTAGATCTTGTATTCACTCCCAAGTTCTCCTACTCTGGGACCACAGACCCTGCCAAGGCTAGATGTTAGTGGGGAGTTACTACAACTCCCTGTGCTGCTTCTGGAGTATTCCCTTTCTGTCCCTTGATGACTTTGTTGGCTTAGTGCAGGAACAGGCTATTAATGCAAAGCAGCCCAGACAATCACATACCTTTCACTGAAAGCTGAAAGAGCATTTTATCCCCTTCACAGACGCACTCATAAACGCCAGCATCCTCTGCTGCAGTGTTGCGAATTTTCAGGATGTGCCTCTTCCCCACAGTTTGAAGTTCATATTTTTCACTGGTCTTAAGCTCTTTCCCATCCTTCATCCACTTCACAGTAGCTTCTGTGTCGGAAAGCTCAGCCTGAAGCTTGGCTTCCTCCCGCAGCCGAGCAGAGACTTTTTCTACATCTCTGCTCTTGTTGGTAAATCTCACTGCAGCACCTGTCAGGAAAATAGGTTTTGTTATTTCAAGTTACATGGAGATAACATGTCCCTGATACAAGTCTGCTGTAGACTGAGAGATCTCTGAAAAAGTATTAGGTTCTGTTCCTGTCCTCACACTCATGTCAAAACTGAGCATTTATTTCCAGTTCAGAAGAGTTGATCTGTTTCTATTGCCAGAGTCATTAAGAAAAAAACAAAACAAAACAAAACACATCTTTCTACTGTTTAATAATACTCTAAACATACTTCTGAAGAGATTTTCACTCAAAGTCAAACACATCCTTCCAGAATGAATGCCTATCCGTTGCTTTTTGCCATGCAATGTGGGTAAATACAGATCTACTGTCATTTCATAGAGGGAAACTGGAGCACCCAACTCTCAGTGCTAAATCGAGTTACATGATACTAACTTGGGCATCAGACACAACTGTGGTAGACAGAAACCTCCAAGAAAAAAAACCTCTGTTAGTAATTAATGCTCCTTTACTTTTGAAAGGCTCTACTACAGTCAGAAAGCCCAGCCAAACCTGGAGCTGAAATTACTGGCTTAAGGTGACTCAGTGGTAGATTTAGTAACAGAACCCACTGACTGATGGTTGCGAACTACAGAAATCCATGAGCTGCTGTTAAGCAGTCTAGTTCAGATAGCAACCAGCCGGCTAGGTTGTCTCACTCTGAACTCTGTGCTATCATGGTGAGGTCGTTACCAGGACCCACGTTAATTCATATGATGCAATTTCAGATACTTCCTACAGACCAGGCATCAGTGAAATCCTTTGGCCCCAGTTCTAGTCATCAGGTCACAACAACAGCCCCTGGACTGGCAGAAGAAAGGAGAGTGAGGGGAAAAAAATACCTTTCACTCTTATCTTGGTGCTGGCGTCAACATTTCTGGCAACAAATTTCACTTCTGCTCCATCATCATTCTTGGTGACATTCTTTATGATTAGGGTGTGAGCAGTTTGAGTTCTCTTGATGATGTAGGTCTCACTTTCCTGTAAGACTTTACCATTAAGGTACCAAGTGCCAGGACATGTTGTTGTAAGGTCAATAGAAAACAGGGCATCCCCTCCAGGTATAGCTTCAAAGGTTGTCAGCGGGGTTTTCACAGCCAGGACTGGTCCTAAGGAAGAAGAACAAAACATATCTCTGAGACCAAAGGACACAAGACTGCCACACTGGAAAATAGTTCTTCCTATGAAAAAAAGTTCTCAGGGTAAACCAAACATGAGAATAAACTCTTGCAGCTTTATAAAATTTGCATGCACTGAAGGCAACGCACAGTGAGTGAACAGGATTTGATTTCTACAGCTGTGGGTAACTGACCTCTGGCATTAGAGTAAGTCCTGTTTCTGCAGGGAGAGAACAATAGGCATATTTTACCGATTATTCTTTTTTCCCCTAAGATATTTAAACGTACAGCATGCCTGAAACACTGAGGTTCCTCAACAAGTGTGCTATTTATTTAACAACCAGTATTTATTCTTAGATTTCAGAAGCATCCTAAGGAGGCCACTCAGGCTACTAGTCACTTCTAGGTATTCTGGGAAAACACAGGGACATTCAGACAGCAAGGGAAAAGGATGACACAATAACAAGACAGAGATTGATTGAAGTCTGTGCAAATATTGTTCCAGTGCAATGAATCAAAGGAAGAAGCAATCCTATTGCACATGATGATTCTATGGACACATTGACACCCTAGAGATAAAGTAAAAACCCCACATTTCTCCTAATAGCTGTAAGGTTAAAGAGAGACTGATCGGAAGTTGGTTTTCATGACAGTATGATCACCCATAAATATTCTCTGCGTGTAAGTTTGATATCTCATTTATGTATTGAAAATTGTATTATAAACCCACCTCAATTTTTCCTTTCATAACAGGTCTAGAACTTACAGGCTTAAGGTCTATTGCAGAGAGCTCTGCCCCTCACATGGCCTGATGTCAGGTGCTAGAATATAAGCATACTCACAGCTCTATCACAGAAACCCAACCACCATCACTTTGGTGATGGTCAGTGGTCGAAATGAGATTGGAGAACTATCAGTGAAGGGAAAAAAAAAAAAAAAAAAAAAAAAAAAATTGGCGTGCAATTGCTCTATCCTCCTCCAAGTCATGGGGAACATCTTTAGAGCACCCACGTGGCAGAGCAGCAGAGACTGGCCCATTTTAGGATGGTTTTGTGCTCACCAAGGCGCATGCTTCCTGGGAACTCCAGGTAGGGACTCTGTCCATAGGCGTTGACTGCAGACACTCGGAACTGATAGTCAGCCTCTTCCAACAAGTTGCTCACTGTGAGCTCTGGGACAGGGACGTGAGACTCATGGCACCTCACCCACGTAAAGCCAGTTAGTTTCTTGCGTTCCACGATGTAGCCATCGATCGGAATGAGGCGGTCCATCTTTGGAGGGGACCATGCAAGCGTCACTGAGGTTTCTGTTTTATTTTTCACCACAGGGTCAGCTGGGGGTTGGGTGGGAGGTTTTCTGGGAGCTGCACAAGGGAAAAAAAAAAAAAAAAAAAAAAAACAGAGCAAGAAGTTTATGTCAGAGTGGAAAAGCCACTGTGCCTCAGCAATAAAGCTTACACTGGACTAAAAGCTACTCTTGCTTAATAAACTTCCATAAAAAATTGATGTGAGATGGAAAAGCAAGAGAATGGAGAGAAGGTGCATTTGAGCTGCATTACACAAAGATACTTCTACCTACACAGCTAAACAGATGTGATTTCTGCATAATATTACAATTGTCTGCATAGACAAAGAGCCTACAATGAACAATTCATAGGCTTAAATTTTCAGTGCTAGATACAGACCCATGCTACTTCCTAGACAGCTCCTGGGCAAAACAGATGGACACTCGGCCTGTTATTTTCACTCAGAAGATGGGTAAAACCACCATCAAAGGTTGTTCAAAATTCTGTGTACCAAATTCCTGGTACAATTCCCAGGTGTGAATCCAGGCTTAAAAAAATAAATAAATAAATACCTCAGTGGGATTATTCTGGCAAGGTGGCACAATTTTGCCCTGTTTACTAGACATCACTGTACAGGGATAGTTGCACTAACATTGTAAGTCTGCCGGTATTTATCTTCTGTGAGAATTTCAACTATGCACATCCCTGCAGTCAGCAACATAGGTGTGTCTGTGAGAACCAATACTTGGCAAGGCACCACTGCATCAAGGTAGACCGTGGCAATATTTTTCAATGCTTTGCACTCAGGTGTAGCATCCTGTGCAGCAGTGTAAATCCACTCCATAAAAAGCAGCCTGTGCCAGGAGTCCACGTCTATTTCTTGTTGAGAACCTTTTCCAACCATACACTAAGATACTTCAGCCCAGATTCTCAACAGGTTTCAACACAAAGCAGCTAAACATTTTACAATTGGGACTTTTCAGAGATAAAAATACATGAATAATCAGTTCATGGGTTTTAGAGTTATGGAGATCCCAGCTGCTTGTGACACAGGTTTGGCTGTTCTCTGCAGCCACTTTCATCTGGGTGTCTGTCCTCTGTCCTGCTGAATTTTATGTTATCCCCACTCAGAAGACTTCTTGTAGCTTTGTCTCGCAAGAATGATAGCTATCACTGGGGATCTCTGTTTTAGTAATTATACAGAGTCAGCTTTTGGGGTTGGGGAATTAACTTCAAAAGGAAATGACATAAAGACATGTCCCCACCATGAGACTCTACAATTGGGAGGATGTGGCTACTTTATGGCACCTGAGGTCACAAATGTATCCTTGCAGGTATTTGTATGATGAAGATTTACATTCACCTTCTCACTCCTCTTGAAACCTTTAGAGAAGGCTCAAGCCCCATCAGGGTTATTCACTATGTGCTGCCACTGGTACGGTCAAGAAGCAAGGAATTATCTGATATGATCTAGTTACACATCTACTGACGTGGTAAAGGATTCATTTCATTTAATTTTGACTATCTGAAAGGTGTCTGGTTTAAATCAGTCAACCAGACTCCAACTGTAATCCCATGGAGTACAGCAGACTCAAGAGCAATTAATCCCAATTTAAAAAAGGTGTGTGAGACAGGTGAAATGAATCACACATTGAAGATACTGAAGTACTCATGACTATAGAGGGAGCCTGTATGATGAGCCTAGACTAAAAAACAAATTCTGGGACAGCTGATTTTACCTCTGCCTCAGTTTACCCTTCTTATAATGGGCATCGTAACAATGCAAGATACTTAGCAAATAATATATAAACATTGATGGACTGATAAATGCTTTTAGAACAGTCAACACCAATCTAATCCAGCTAATTCAAAAAGATGTGAACATATTACACAGGATTCTTCAAGCAGCTAATCACATATGCACAAGGTGTAAAAATAGGAAATGTAGATGTGATACACTTTTCCTTCATCACATAAATAGACACAGAAGTGTTTTGAGGTGCACAGTTACCAGCCTGTTAGTTACTGCTGGTCAGAACTAGGTGCCAAAGGTGCCATTAGTGTAGCATTAAGTTGAATACCAGACCCTGGAATCAGATCTCTTGACTTTACCATCAGAAACAGTAATGTAATATTTTCTTCAGAGATACCTGTTTGTGGGAAGGCAGTTATTACATTTTTCTATTCCATGAATCAACATTTTCTTCATAACTTAAACAGCAGAGTCCAAAATCAAACCGAACTTTGTTGTTCCCATTGCATAGGTGCTTGGTTGGATGCTACAGCCTTTCTTAGAACCTTAGAAACTGTCACAATGCTAAATGTGGCATTTACCTCATTTTGTCTCAGTAACATCAGAATGCCACAACCAAGTTTAGATAACACAGAATTTATAAAATTTTATTTAAAGATTTCTGTTTACCACTGACTAATTGCAGTTTGAAGGTGGTGGTGGCAGAAAACAAACATTATTCTTCCCGAATAATGACTAGAGCAGATGATTTGTTCACATGAAAACTGGAACTGCAGAAGAGCCAGAAACCACATGCTGCTCTCTATCTTAAATGAAGCAGTTTTTGCCTCAGAAATGCAGTGCCGTCAAAAGAAAACTAAATAAAATTAGGCAACTTGACCAAAATTTCATTTCAGGTCTAATCTCATCTACATTGCACCTGCTGCTACTGCTCTGTCAGCTAAAACCCTTGCTCAGATCAGATGTGCCAGGTGAAGGAATTCTCCAGCCTGCATATTAAATCAGTCTCCTCAAGTAAAGCTAAGAAGGACAGAGATCCCTCCTCGCAGTAGAGCTACTACCAATTCACAGGGTCCTCCCAGCTTTGTCACGTCAAAGAGAGGATGAGAGAGGACACGGCTTTGCCGGTCTCTGCAAAAGGAAGGATACTATATTTTCAGAAGGAAATATTTTCCCTTTTTCTTGGAGGCTTGTCTGTGCTATTGGGGTTCTTCTATGCAAACAGTTTAAGAAGATGAAATGAAAGCAAGATGTTTCAAGTTCAGTGAACGTTTAACTGTCCCTGAAATGCTTTATGTATGTGCTTGTAGATGTTCATTCACAGATGTTTTTGCTTGATAGAACAGAAATAAACTTTGTAGTCTGCCAAAAATGTTCAGGGTGCCTATATACTTCCCTGTAAGAGCCAGCACACCCGCAAGCTACCCTCACATCTCTGTAAACTCAAGACCTATGGAAGGAATTCAGTGCTGACTGACTCTCCCCTCTAAATCCTCAGAGAAGGGAGAGAAAGAGAGAGAAGTCGTCCCTGTTGCTAGAACAGGTTTTATCCCCAGAGCAAAAAATTTATAAGTGCCCCTTAAAGAAACTAAAGACTTTGGAAAATGGAGGTCAGAGTATAGATTGAGCGCACGCAGCGCTCTGTATACAGTGAAGTAAGGTGACTGCAATGTATGCAACTTGCACAGTGTTTTCTAAGCACCTCTTGGGGAGAACACGCATGTCCCTTACCCCCTGTTTTACTCAGTCATCAGTTTACATTCACCCCAGCACAAAATGAGAATGGTATGGAGAAGTTACACATTTGTGCCGTGCTCTTTCCTCGCAACTCTTCTTCTTTCTCTGTTTTGATATCTCCATAACATTTCATCATGTTCATAATGACAGCCAGTGTTCAAGCTGCCGGCCTTTTGTGGCACAGATTGAACCTTCTGCTGCCTTTGGACAACAAATTTACCATGGCAGTACCTAAATCAACAGTTCTAACATGGGAGTACCTGCTTGCTAGGGAAAACCCAACACCAACGTCAAATAAAAGTGAAGCTTACTGGTCACAGTGAACTGGGTAGAAGTCCTGCTTTCATCAGCCAGGAAGGCAATCTCACCAGCATCTTCCATCTTACACTCTCGGATGATCATGGTATGTTGCTTGCCAGAGCATGTGATGGAAATTCGATCACTGGGTTTCACTACTTCTTTATTTTTCAGCCATTGGATGTTCTGGCATTCATTGTCCAGCTCCACACAGAAGATGGCTGTATCGTTTATGAAGACCGCAGTCTTTCGTGGAAGTTTTTTAATGATGTTCCCTTCAAATAAGAAATTAATTATGATCAGCAAACAAGATATTAAGGTCTCTAGCAACACTGGACCATTCAGCCTACAACAGGAGTAGCGAACAGCTCTCACCTAATCAAAACATTGCAGACACTATGCGAACATCCCTAAATGAATTTCTAGGCTCTGAGTTATACAGAACAGATAATCCCAAGGACTCATTTCAGCCTTCAAAGAGAGAAAAGCATTCTTGTTTGACTACAGTCACTCATGTTTCTAGCCTACCATGAAGAGTCTGCTGTTGGGTAAATACAAGGTACGTGGTCTTGCCAAGAACAGATTTGACAGTGATATGGCTTTCATTGCCCACATATGCTGGGAATTCAAATTAAAACTTTGCTAAAGTAGGTCAGTCTTAAACCAGACAGGTCTCTCATCTGTCTTGAGGATTTTGCCTCCCTCAAAGTTACCAGTAAGTTACATAACCAAGACAGCAAACACACCAGTCACCTGAATTAATAGAAAATACACTGAAAACCTCAGATTTCTTCTTAGAGCCAACACAGAAATTCACACAGAATGAACTTCACTTATTTGTGTCCTTTCCAAGTGACTGGGATGATTATCGCTTATCGAAATAACCCCAAACTTACAAGATGTGACTATTCACAGGAAAGCTTGGACAAAGCATCAGGAGACAACCCCCACTGACAGATGGTGACTGGCTCCAGCCCTGGAACATTCCCTGTGAGGCAAAAGAGCCCTCCCCCAGGCAAAGCACCTAGTGCTATTTAATGAGAAGCAATGCTGAAGCAGCAGATCAAGCACACATTTCATCAGTAGGATTCAAGAATCCAATTCTCTGCTCATCCTCTCCTAAGCTTGGCCACATGTCTGCTCCTTGCTGCCATCAGCAGTGTCCCTGTCCCCGTGGCTCTTTGCATCCTGCCAAACTCTCCTAATCTCCCATCTCCACACTGCTCTCCCAAATCTCTTCCCCCCAAAGCAGGCACAGTGCTTCCCAAGGAAGTCTCTGCCTCCTTTCCCTCCCAAGAGCTCCACCAGGCTCAGTAACTCTTTTTACTGGAACATGTCATAGTACCATAGCACAAACAAGTAAAATAAATGAGAACTGTTCTACCAGGGCCAAACACATTTATAGTGTTTGGCTGGTCTAGACCTAACAGAAAGTGCAACAAAAAGATATCTATCTGAACTCTCCCACGTCTCCAGATTAAATTTTCCCTTCTGCCTGGACCCATGTGCACTCCTAACACTTTAATAGTGATACAAAAAGGCATTTGCACAAGGTTGTACGTCACCCAGATGTCTTGCATCAATTTATGTAGCGAAGAATTTCTGGTTTCACTGGGAGTGAAGTGAGGCTTCAAATGAGTCAGGACAAGTGCTATCCTGTAGCTGTAACAGGTCTTCATGCAACAGGAGACATGTCAACGATACAAGCATAAGCATCATCAAAATCAAAACTGCAGGTCCTGCTGTTGCCTGGGTAGGTTCTTGTTCATACAGCAAGTCAGGGAGCTCAGAATCAATAGCCCTTTCTGCAGACATACCTGCATCTCTGATGTGTGTGTCTACTCTACTGTGAGACATCTATACCATACCAGGCTCTACACCTAAACCACCAGACTCAGAAGACTTGAGCATGGATCTATAGCCACATTTTGCACCTTTCTCTCTCGTCAGCTTTCCAAACTCCAGAGAATGCCTCCAGATGTCAGGGATCTGGAGCGTGGATCCGGTTTCCAGTCTGAAACTATACTGGTGTTGACTGCTGCCCGCAACACATATCAGACCATAAGCCACAGCTGCTTCCCAGTGTGTTCAGCACCACTCTCGGACAAGATTCACCACTGGGTACTCTGGACACCAGACAAGATGTATGTGAGACAGTGCTGGGGGACATATCTGATGCTTGGGGTCACGATAAGGAAAGTCTACACAATATGCCCCCTCTCTCTGACCCTGTGTCCCTGATACACCCTGTCAGGACACCCAGCAACCCACTGACTGACCACACGTGGCTCTCCTCTTGCACCCTAAGGGAGTCTGCTGTTCTTCACCGCACACACGCACGGGATAAATGACATTCACAAGGTCGAGTCTGGAGTCTCATGTGTGAATCTCACACTTGGTAGGTGAGACTTGGCCTCTCTCAGATACTAAGAACCTTTCTTACCTTGGACTGACAACTCTGCGATGGTCCTGCTCCCTTCTTTCATCTCACAAATATAGACAGCATCATCATCTGTGGTGACATTCTGGACAGTGAGCCGGCGATACGTGCCCTCTTCTTCGATGTTGTATTTCTTGCTCTGCCGGAGTTTGGTTTCCTCCTTGAACCAAGCTGTCTCTGTACTAGGAACAGGCACTTCACATTGGAAGGTGGCAGATTCCTTCTCCCTCACTTCAAGATCCTTCAGTTTTTCCTTGAAGGGTATTGTGGGTTCTTAAGAGGATAAAAACAGAAAGGAGAAACAAGAGTTTATGATGACCTGCAGTAAGAGGTGTGCAAATAAATAAGTCAATAGAAAAAAATTAAATAATAAAACTCCTCATTAATGATATTGATTTATCCTGAGCTGCCATTCAAAATCATAATCAAGTCCTACTACAATAGATGTTCTGATCTCACATTAAAAAAAAATCTTGGCTCTCAGCAGAAGTATTTTAAGGACGTATCTAAAAATGAAGCAGAGTCAGTCTGAACTGCAGTACCTGCCCCACAACACCACACAGAGGAGTTTGTGCTAATCCAAAATGATGTGAACGAGTTGGTGAAACATCACGTTAGTAAATTCTGCTCTTGTGGCCTGCTTATCCTCTAACGTGAGCGTCTCTGCATTGCACCTTGTCATTTAGTGATGCCAACAGGATGAAGCGCTGGGCCCACCCAGCCTGACTCTATACATAGCAACAGCCCCTTCAGGTCATAGTAAAAGCCCTTAAAAGTAAAGATGTTACAGGTGGGCAAATAGCAGACAAGGTGATCATAAAGAGAGGGCACAGGGCAGCAATTCTAGGTGAGCGTGAGCATCTGCGCTGGTCAGCTAGTGCAAGAATCAATGTTTTAGGGGCCTTGCAGCAGAAGCGAGCTCAACGGATCCGAAAGGGCACAGAAAAATGAGAGGTGGCTGGGCACAGGACAGGTGTGGGGAAAAGCACAGGAGTAAATGATGGAGGAGTTTTTTGTTCTCCCCACAAGCACCAAAGGCTCTGTATCAGATTTGGTCTACGACAATAGAAGAATTAAAGAAAGAGCTTAGGCCCCCCAGCTGCCTCTGCTTTCCTTCAGCAGCAGGGCTGCAGTGCTCCGGTTCAGGCAGAAACCCGAATATAAATCAAAAACGTAAAACAGCTGCATGGCAATGAGGAAAGACATTTTATGAACAGAACAATGTTTAACTCCAGTGACAGCTGCACTGTGAAGTCATGCTGATACACCAGCACTAAACTGGAAAAAGGGGAGTTGGACTGAAGAGGACAGCCGGTGGTCGCAGCCACGGGATTGGTGCCGCAGTTGTGTCACAGGCGTGGATTAGCCAGTGCTGATGCATCACTGCTCGTGCTTTGTGAGAGATCATGTCTCAGCATGTACCTTCATCTTCTCATAACTATTACACCAGCTCCCAGCCTTTTTTTCTGACTCCAGTCTCCCTCTCCCTAACCACACAGACACACATGCTCCCAGGCTGGTAATTTCATGTAGTCGCTAGCAGTCAGTAATGCCAAGTGTTTGACTCTAAGAGTCAAACGGGAGTAGACTTATCTTAGATTTGTATGCCCATGCCTACAGTGGCACATTCCACTCAGAGTCACAGTGCTCTAGAGGCTGGAGAAACAAAAATAGAGGCCCTCAAACATCCCGGATTGAAGCTTTGATGTCCAGGAACCTCTATTTTGTAAAATCCAGATCTGGTAGCTCCAAACTAATTGAGTCCATTACCTGCCCCATCCTGCCCCATCATTAGGACACGAGCTGCTATGGGACCAGTGATGTCTTTGTTCCAGTTTGCTCTTTTCTGAACTCAAGCCCTAGAAATTCATGTGTTCAGTTTTGCAGGCCTTACATTCCACCCCTGGCACAGCCACTATTCCAGCTGTCACATAAACACCTCCAAACATTCTACCTGAGCACAGCCTGAAGAGAGACACCATGCCCTAAGGGCTTGACAGGACACCTGGAGGGAGCAATGCCATCTACCACCTTGGTTGTTATTCTGAGATCAAAATCTGACTGAGAATCCATACACTACCTTTAGGAACAGAAAGGTAATTCCAGCTCACCACGTCAACTTGGTTGTTTTCTTAAGAAATGTTTTGCCTGAATGCACCTCAATTCAAGGCAAGTCAAAGTCTTGTCTTGAAAAACCTTCAGCTACAGTTACACAGACCTGCTCTTCCTGCACTGCACATGTTAATTATTATTTTTAATTTAACCAACAGGCAACTCGGACTCCTGCCCTGCAATCCACTGCATCACCCATGTAATCATGGGGAATGAAGCAGTTGCAATTCTCATGCCATGGGAACAAGCAAGAGGATGAGATCAAGAAAACATTAACAGGTAGGACACCACCCTCTGGGACCTGGATGCAGTGTTGCTGTGTGAGATAGGAAGGACTCGGGATCTGACACTTGGAACACACAGACATGCCCAGGGGCCAGAAGGAAATATGAGATGCACCTGAGAAGTACACAAGTGTATTCCCAAGCTTGGAGCAGCTGGCCATGTCATTAACAGCTCTCCCTTTACAGTCACCAAGCAGTATCTAAGGTTAAAAAATAAAAAAATAAAAAAAATAAAAAAAAATAATAAAAAAAAAAAAAAAGCCACTCCAGGAAAAAGCTCTTAAATGTACAAATGTAGAAAAGTCAGTTGATTCTTTTGTATGTGTTGCAGTAAAAACACTGCTATTCCAGCCAGGGAAAGTAGGTGCAAGGCTATCTCTGGCAGCCTGGGGTCACAGATATCCTCTGAAAACAACTTTGCTTTCGTCCTACGGAAGTGCACACACATCTTAGCTCAGTCTGAACGGGGCTTCAGAGATACAGCCGCTGATAAATTGAATTGAAGCCTGGGATTCACCCAGCCCACAGCTTTTTTTGATCTGGAGATATGAGAGGCTCCAAAACCCACCAGCCTTCCCTCCTTGAATATAGCTTCATGCTGTTTACATGGTCTAGCATGTGCCGGGTCAGACTGAGGGGGTTCCTTTTGGTCAGGGGACTACAGAAGGACCACAGGTCTCTTTAGAGTAGGCATCCCAAACAATTCATCTGGTCTATAACCAGTCCCCTGCTCAGGTCAGAGCGATGTTCAGAGAGGTGGCCAGGAGGGAACAGTACCTCCAGCTCATCAACAGGCAACTCAGATATCAAGGAAAGATCTTTGAAAGGGAGGTGGGTCATCTTCCTTCTTCATAGACTAATCAACACAGTCTGAGCATAACCATATAATATTTATATGAAGACTTCTTCTGAGGAAGGAAGCACTAAACTTTACACCAGCCTTTCAGTGTACTTTCCACTTAACTAGTTAAATGTGAAAACAAATGAATACTTTAGAACAAATAAAGAAATAGTTATTCTCCAAATAGATTCTCCCACTGGCCAGCGTGATGAGTTGAGCAGAGACCTCTGTTACTCTCTTTCACCTCACATTGGCCTGCAGTCTGTCAGATGTTGACAGTTATGTTGTAAATTCTCTAATGTAGTCATCCTCGCTTACCTATTTGTACAGCACATAGCACAATTCAGAAATATTCTGAGTTGTAACTACTATAGGCACATCGGCAAGACCTGCTGCAAATAACTATGCTATATTTGATCTGACAGGCTCCATAAATACTGACTGCTCATTTCTAAATGCCTGTTTGTAATGTATTACTCTCACAAGGCAATTCTCAATGTAAGCTAGTATTAAGTATGACTTTAATATTGGAAGATAAAGCCATTTAGTAATCAGCCTTTTTCCTTATTATACAAAATGTCTATAGTATCTGAAAATGTCTTTGTAAGATAAGCGAAAGTGTGTTCAGCTCAGAGACATAATTCTCCCAGGGACCCTCTGTTTCAGATAAGAAGTGGCACCAATTCCCACTTCTAGTTCCTATAAATATCAGAGCTAGTTAGAAATTATTTAATATTAAGAAAAAAAGGTGATTTCTGATCTCTTTCTCAGTTCCACGACAATGTGCTGATTTTGCTCAAAACAATTATTAAAGTCTTCTTTGAGAAAAATCTAGGTGGTTTGTTTCAGAATGACTAGAGTAGAAACATTCAGGAGTGTTGAAAAAAGAAAAAAAAATTTTTTTTTTCTTTTTTTTTTCCACTTCAGTTTGGTATTCACCTGTGACCAGGCGACACCCCACGGTGCTTTTGGAAGCCATGGTTTGATGGTTCCCTGGCCACATCCTTTCCTAAGGCCGCTCTCCCAGCTGGGCTGGGTCTCCCACAGCACAAAACACTTTCAGCTCTGCACCAGTCGCCAGAACTCTGTGTACCCCCGAGTCCCAGGCACCAGGAGAGTGACAATTTAGACAATTTAGTCGGTGACAACTGACACAGGCTGCAAGGAGGGGAGCAGAAGCAAGAGGCACCTGAACTGTACATCTTGCAAGCAGGTCAAGTGGATGCCATTTTGTACGGAACCCAACCAAAAGTACGAAACAATGTTTTTCTGATCACTCCAAATCAGCCTTTATCTACAAGCATTTACTTCCATGAGAGCTCAGTGGTGTGCATTTGAATAGTGAGTCTGCTTTGTAACACCTGGACTCCCAGGTCATGGCTCATTTTCAGTGCCCTGAGGGGTCATTTAAATTCATCTCTAGTGTCAGTATGATTTTTAATTTTTTGAAAAAATTTCATTGACGGTACAGTTTTGTCTATTAATCTGGTTTTAGCCAAACAGAAATAGTCATTAATGCATACAACAAAAGCAATAACATTTCTAAAGAAGAAATAAGAGATAAAATGAGAGCTACAAAAGCCTGCCGACTGGGAGCACTGAAAGAGAGAAACAGCAAAGCAAACCCCCGAGGGAGCATGGAGCAAGAGCAGCTCATGGAATTAGCAGGAAACTGCAAGGGCTTAGACCAACTATGAATTTGGCTGCTTGACTTCAGAACATATTTCTCCAGAGTGTCATAGTCTTTTTACTTTGGACCATACCAAGCAAACTAGCAATGAGATGATGTTATTTTTTAAAAGCAGGTCCTGCTAATGCATATTTTGCTAAGAATAGGTGCAGCCTGCAAAGAAGCCAGTGTTTCCTTAACCTTCTCAAGGCGTATCTATCTCCTTGACCTGGCCTTCTCACTTCCCTATATTTCCTCTTGCATATTCCTGGCCTTCTCACAGGCTCTCCATTTATTATTCCAGAGGCAAGTTTCCCTCTGCTTAACAAAAATGATCCAGTGAGAGTAAGAATATAGAAAATGCTTCTGACTGGAGCTATTTAAAGGTGCATGGATAAGCTTCCACCATCTTGTGTCTTTGGGCTTCTTCCCAGTTACTGTGCTTTCCAAGTTTCCTTTCTACCTCCATGATTCTAAAGTTCTCTTTCAGATCTCAAATGTGACTACCATGATAGTGGTCATCCAAAATCACTTCAAGTAAGAGAGGAATAAAGTGGCCTCAGCACCAGTCTGTTTTTCCAGTCTCTATCCTGTTTGGCTTGCAACATTTAACCTTTTCATACAGTATCTGATTACTGTATTCAGGGACTCAGATGAACGTGGTATGGCCCAGGCCCAAGCATGGAGACCTCTGTGATGTTCTTGCTAACTTTACACACGGCCTCAGGGCATCTCCAACACCTTCGTGAAAATTAAGTCAGTTTTTTGTGTTCTTCCCATCCTCTTTGCTCTCTGGTTTGGCAAAATCATAGACTCATATAGTCATTTAGGTTGGAAAAGACCCTTAGGATCATCCAGTCCAACCCATTACCTAACACTACCAAGTTCACCATTAAACCATGTCCCTAAGTGCCACATCTACACATCTTCTAAATACCTCCAGGGATGACGAGTCAACCACTTCCCTAGCCAGCCTGTTCCATTGCTTGACAATCCTTTTGGTGAAGAAATTTTTCATAATATCCAATCTAAACCTCCCCTGGTGTAAAGGTTTACTCCTGAGCCATATTTCCTATCTTTTTCCACATCTCCCATTTCAGCATATGGTTTGTGATTTTATCCCCGCTCCAGATACTAGAATCCAGCACATTTCCAAATCAAAGTAATCAACTCACGGTTTTCCTTAGTTGTGAGAGTGATACTCTGCCCTGTAGCCTCTCCTTTGAAATTTATATCTGATTCACTACATTTTATTTAGGAACAGCTTAAAAAAATTTTTTTTTCAGCTCAGTGATCTTTAAGACATAGGTTCAGCAAATGTTTACAAATGTGTTGAGTCTCTAGGGATAGGATCTAGACTGACAGAATAAAGGAGGCAAGCTAAAGGAGAGGTTTGACCTGTGCCCAGTCCTACGCCCTGAGAGACTGCTAAAAGCCACCTTACAGACAGGATGCTGGACTAGGTGGTCTTTTTTATTATTATTAACTTTAAAAGACCCATAAATATTCTCACTCAAGTTCTTGTGTTGGAATTCTGTGAACCAAAATGCCAGAGCGTATTTAAACACATGAAGCTTGTCTTTCCTGGGACCTGTGTCTATAGATATACACTGTGGATGCAGCATCACGGGCTCTATAAATATGCTGTTACCTGAAGAAAGACCAATGCAGCAGCATGGTGCTTACCAAGGGTGGCTGGTTGGAGAATTTAGCCTCTTCTGCACAACTGAGCAAAGAGAATGTTGTGTGGCAAGATGACCTACCCCCGCTAAACGCTATGGCAAATGAGCTAATGGCATCACCAATGGCATAAACTACAAAATTAAAAGCTCCCTTCATTGCTACATCATTCTGGGATGTCTTTGGAGAGCTGAGAAGGACTTCTAGTGACACAGAGTCATTATTCAGGGCCTAATTATAACCAACACACGTAGATTTTCCTTGGCAGCCTTGGCCTGGTCAGAAAGCCTAATATGGTATAGTATAACCAAGACACAAACCATAAACATTTCCACTTAAGCCCTCTGACTCACAGGCACCTCTTGACAATGGACATTGATCAATAACTTTTTCCCACCATGCTTGCTCCCAGACCTGCTGCTTCGCATGCTTTCTCCATCCCCTTTGGAACAGGTTCCACCCATTTACAATAATCAAATGAGCATGAGCAGAGGGGAGGGTGTTTGTCTTTGCAAGACAGGCGTCGGGCAAGTAACAGAGCTTGAGCCATCCTCAAAATCAACACCCACCCAAGGGCCAGGCTCGGTCTTCAGCTCTGAGTCCCGACTCATGAGGTAATTGCAGCTTTATGGAAGAGGACAAATGCCCTTCCCAGCATCACTCAGCACCTCCAAGGGATAGCAAGGAGTGGGACAAGTTCCAGCCAGTTCCACGGATCAGGTGTCACTGATGGACACGGGGACTGAGGCACTGATGGGAAAGATGGTGAGTGTGAAAGGAGAGGTCTTGAAGAGGGAAACCAGAAAAACAAATAGAAGCTGAGGGTCTTAACGACATGTATGAAACACAGAAGCATTCCTACTCATTTGGATTTCTAATTTATTTTGCTGCCAGTCAAAACCATCATTTTTGCCACTCAAGTGACAAAGCCTTTTACATCTGAGAGTCAGTTTGCAGGTGCTGCCTGGGTTGCAAACTGCCTGCTGTAGCCTTGCCAAACAGGAGAGCAGCTCAAAAATTTAGAGCATTGTTTGTGAAAATGCAAGTGTCATATTTTTGTCACCATTCTGAAGAACTCAGTCTGACCTCCAATAGTGTTAAGGGACCCTCTGAAGACAGGTTTTTCACCACTGACCACAGCAAACACGGGAATCCTGGACCTGGTAGAGTTCTGGGAGCATACAGGTTATCCAGCAACACAAACTGGGAAAAAGCTGAAGAGCCTGGCAAGAACAAAACTGCTGGTGGGTCACTGCACAGGAAAACTGAGAGGGACTGTAATTAGAGTTGGAGTAGATCCCCCAAGGGAGCCAAGGAAGCCTGACACACTCAGCTTGGAGGGAGGAGTTTCCTCTACTACTGCTTAAAAGGCACACGTGTGCCAGTTTGACTAAATCCTGTGGTGAATATAAATCCAGATGTGATTAAAGCCTGGAGGGTAAGATGGGGGTTTAACAGTCACTGATCCAGAGGACGGTCACAGATTACTATGAAACCAGGATAGATGGGAGATTTAGAGATCTGCTTCATCCCAGCTGCCCCACAATCAGCCAGTTCTACATCATCCATCCCTGACTAGTTCCTATTTATTGCCCTTCCTAAACTCCCCAGTGATGAGACTGTCTCCCCAGGTTCCAGTGCTTAACCTCCTTTACAGCTGGAGGGCTTTAATCATGTCTAACCCACACGCTTTCGCAGCAGTTTGGTGAGAGAAGTTTTGTTTACGCTCCCACCCCAATCCAGAAGCGCACTGGTTGTCTCCTTTGTAGACATGCCCACCCCGGTGAGAAACGTAAGCACCCACCTTTGACAGTGACGAGTACAGAGCTGTACGTCTGGCCTGCCAGGTTGGAGGCCGTGCAGGTGTACAGCCCATTGTCTACCTGCTTGCAGTAGAGGATCTTCAGCACAAAGTTCTCCTGATCATCCTCATAGATGACATGCCGACGTCCTTCCACAATGACCTCGTCGTCCTTCTTCCACACGATCTCTGGCTTGGGCTCGCCCGTCACGTAGCAGCTCAGCTTGGCGTGTTTCCCCTCCGTCACACTGCACGTGCGTGTCAATGCCCCAAAAGTCGCGTTGCGGGGCCCTTTGGTGCTAAATCCAGCCGCCCTCTCGTAATCCCGGGAGAGGCTGTAGCCGATGCCAGACAACCCTTCTGTCATGGGGTAGGACTGGGCAGATGTTGAGTCAAGAGCCCCGTGGGAGACGTCCATCTTCCTGATCTCCTCCCGCCTCTTTTGCAAGTGAGACAACAAGGACGCCGTCTTGCCGCAGCTTGTATGGAAGTGGCTGCTGCTGCTGCCTGGGTTGGAAGAGCCCTGCGTTTCCACCACCAGCGCAGCTGAAGCGCTGGCAGAGCCGATGGGATTCTCTGCCCGGCAGGTATAGGTGCCACTGTCCCCCAGCCGGGCACACTGGATTGTGAGAGCGTTTGACTCCCCGGCAGACTCAATCTGGAAGCGGCCGGCGTCAGCCCGGTTCCGCAGGTGTCTCCCATCCTTCTCCCAGTTCACAGAGAGGGGAGGGCTGCCCTGGACTTTGCATTTGAACATGGCATCTTCCCCCAGAGTTACTTTGATGGAGGAGGGTTTCTGGATGAAATATGGGGCTGACTCCGTTACCGTGGTCTCCTCTCCAACCTTGATGCTGACAGCTGCAAAAGCTTCCCCAATGGTGTTCTTGGCCCGGCAGATGTATTGGCCACTGTCCTCCAGACTCAGATCATAGATTGTTAGCCTATAGAGATCCCCATCTTCTGTGGTTTTAAACCTGCCTCCAGACTGGACTGGAAGTTTATCCTTTTCCCAGCTCACAACTGGGATGGGGTTTCCAATGATCTGGCAGCTCAAGGTGGCATCCTTCCCCACAGACACCATAAATGCCTTAGGCCGGGTCAAAAACCGGGGGACTCCACTGAACGAGCTGTAATCCATCTTGATTTCCTAAAGGATGAGGAAAAAAAAAAAAAAAATGTCAAGAGAGCTGATTAGATGGTGCAGATAAAGAACTGCTGCACTTCCATGGTATCAGGATGTTTGTCATCTACAACAGTCTAGATGGGGTATGGTTTTGTTGTCCTGCTCATTACAGGTGAGAAGGTCTTGGAATATTTTAGGTTTTTCAGATTTCTTAGATTTGAGCTCAATAAACTAGCGGTGGGGAAGGTAGCTCACTTCCCCACAGGAGTCACTGGGTAAAATAAAAGTCTTCAGGCAGTTCATACAAAAAGGACATGATGGTCCCTTTCAAGCTTTGGCACTAGGAAAGTGCCCTGTACTAATGCCATATAACATATTGAATATTTCTGTAGCCATAAAGAAACAAACAGATGTTAAACTGATAGATGTGTCTAACCACCAAATACCCTCATTCATCATGCTCATCTCTTCATTTTTACCTCTTTTTCTATATTATTGTCCTTGCTCTTTCCAATTTTTCCCTTTCTCTTTGCCACCTTAATTTAAAAGAAAAATTAAAAAAAAAAAAAAATCTGCTTTTACAACATGCTCTATCTCTCCTCTTGCCCTCTCTGGTCATTACCCATTCCTACATCTTTTTCCCTGAATCTCATTCACACAGACCTTACGGCAAACCCCTTTCTTGTAGGGAACAGCCTTTAAGAGGACACACAGATACACCTGTCACATTCTTGACAATATTTCTCTTTATTCCCAGCTTCTATTCAACACAGCCACTGAGATACAGCTACTTTGATGGCTATGGCAACCAATGAGTATCTATGGGGCCTTCTGCCAAAAAGCTCCACATGGCTTAAGGCTTACAGGAAAGATGTTTCATCGCCCGCTTATTCTCAGCTGTGCACTAACCTGCAGCTGTTAATATAGACCAGTCAAGGGGACGAGGTTTAAGCAGTGTTCTAAAACTAAAGCCTGTGGCAATCCTGGTGCCATTTTGTCCCTAGAAAGTCAAAAGCAATCAGTGGCATTGATCTTTACAGCCGTCTTGACTCACACACAGAGTCTATCTATCCCTGTGCAGCTGGAGAGCAATACAACAGAGCTCACTGCCTTTGGGGTCCCCCCCTAAAATCCACAGAGCACACAAACTTTTCTTGCTTCTTACGTGGATTCCTGGATGTCCTTTTCCTTCTGCTAGAGTGACCCTACTTCTAATCCTCCAAGAAGCCCTTTGCATTAACTAGCATTTACTTTAATAAGTATGGAAGAGCTAAAAGCCTGGTCTTGACCCCACTAGCACCAGTAACCATGCACCAGCTGACTCTGCTTGGGAGCAGGATTAGACCTGATGATATTGCTCTGTAAGAAGAGCAAATGTCCCAGCCCCAAGCCTCTCTGGAATTCCTACTCACAAGATTTGAGTGCACTGTTTCTCTCCAAGCTACTACATCTGGCCTCGTGATACCAGGCACTCCCGTCTGAGCTGTATGAACAGTCTCTGCTCAGGGGTGATTGCATAGCTGCTCCCACATCCATGTTTTTTCACCTTCAAAGTGCCACACGAAACAAAATGACCAGGGCACTGTGTGTTATAACTCAGAAAGGAAATAATAACCAGTCACCGTGACAGAAATATCCTTCTTAATCCTACAGCAGTTCGGCTTCCCCGCTGGCCACAAATCCACCCACTCTCTCACCCAATGGCAGATGCTCTCACAATCTCCCCCCCACCTCCAGCAGAAAGCAATAGGAGCGGGCCAAAAACCTGCTTTCGTTTCTTGAGTCACCATTTGAGCAGAGGTTTCATTATTTTTTTCTGTCCTCCTCCAGCTCCTGTTGCAGCACATTAATGTTAACGTGCAATCGCTGATGGCACCAGGGAGTAGGGGCTGGATGGACCTGCTGCATGACCTTGGGGAAATTGCTTATTCTTCCCATGTCTTGGCTCCCCTCCCGTTTCATCTTCATATCAGGACAGCAATAGACTTAAAAATAATTATGTGCACAGTGTATATAAGACAATGTATTTGCTGGAGTATATGACAAATCATGCATGAAAATTAATAACAAATTACAATTTTTTGTTCCATTTATGTTGCTGGGGACTGAAAGACACAACTCATCATCAAAACCAAATATTGATGAATACAAAAATACAAAGTGGTATTCATTATAATAATTATTACCATTGAAAATGGCATAGCTGAGCTATCCTTCGAACTTCACTTGGGCCACAGATCTAAGGCAGAAAGAAATGTAGTCTTCTTTCTATTTTTATCAGGAAACATACACTACTTTCTATCCTGTCATATCTCTTCCCGCTCAAAGAACATATGAAACTTTTAAACAGTCAAAGACTTTTCTCCTTGAAGGAAATTGATCCTTTCTAAACTCTTTCAATTTTGGTTGCTTTTGTTTCCTGGTATCAAACAAATTCCATTATTCTACCAAAAATCTTTAAGAATTAGGGAAAATTCTTTCAAAGTTTAAAGTTGAAAAAAAAAACAGTCATGGGGGAAAAAAAGTCTTTGTTAGTAAACACTAAGAATGCAAAGAATTGTTGACTTGCAGTCACTAGTGTTCAGACTGATTGACTTTCCATAGAGTGGTCACCTTCAATACTAGTAGCAATTAATATACAGAACTACTTTTCCTCTGGTCTCAAACTGGGCTAGAAATCTGTCAGCTAGTTAGCACTTCTTTAGTCCCTCTTACTACCTTCAAGCTCTGTCCTCACTTGAGCTTTAAAATGTATTTTCCATAAAGACTTGCAAAGCTGCAAGCAGAGACGCTGCACAAATGGTTAGAAGATGCAGATATGAGCTTTGAGCTTGAGCCAAAGTACACTGAAGTCAGTGGAAATTTCCACTGAAGTCAACTGATTGACAATCAGAGTCTTCTGCTAATCTGGGGAAGGACAATTTCAATGCTCAGGGTGGGATGTTGGGATTCAAGTTCGTCTCTGGAGAACCCAGCAGTAACCTTCGCTACATTAACTAAGAATTAACAATCAAAACACAGACTCAAGAGTTCACGTCCTAATCTTTCCCAGCTATTAGCTTGATTTTCAGGCTGCACCATGTCAAAGTGCTTGGATCCATCTCCAGAAGACATTGCCATGCTTCCTCCTTCCTAGATCCCTGGTTGTTTCTGACAGACGTATCACTGACTTATTTCCAGCTTCAAATCTGTAGCTTCAAAAAGAGCAAACCCCAAAATTGCTTCACTTCTCCTTCAAAGGGGGCTCTGCATAACATGGAGAAGTGCCTGGATCACAATGACGGCTACTGACACAAGAGGTGCCTGCTTGGGGGCCAGCCAGTGACCTTTCAGCAAACAGTGCCTTCTCTCAAACCACCTGCGTGCCGTTTTCCTCTCTTGCTCCCCAGGGGATGTAGCCACACCTGGAGGAGAGCTCTGCTGTCCTCTGGCTCTCACAAGGGTGAAAGCAGGAATGCTGCTCACTTCCTAAAGATCTTGTGCATCCTCCTCCCCGCTCCTCTTGTGCTAAATAGTGCCCAAACAAGCCCCAGCTGCTCACTGGTATGCCTGATATTCAAAAACATTTAAAACACCGGGAAACTGCTGCATCAGGTGCCTGTTGCTCTTGCTCCTGAACCAGACTGGTGCAGCAAATCCATCTAAGACTCTTTTTTTTTCCCAGTGGCCATAGCCTCAGAGTCCATCTTCCCTCTCCCATTGCTCCCGAATTCTTGCCCGGTGTTTGCAACTCACTTCTCTCCAACAGGTACAAGCTGCTGTGTCGTGAATACCCCACGTCCCACGCTGTAATCTACACCCCACCCTGCTCTCTACCAGCCTTCACCACGTGCCCTCACACTCAAGGGGTCTAATGCTGTTATGAATGACCAGAATAGCAGAAGAAAATCCAGGGATCAGCGAAAACCATGCAAGCTCATCAGTACTATTTTAGACTAATTTCTAACATGGCAGGAAAGCAAAACAGGTTTTATTCCTTACTCTGTCACTGGCTTACTTCTACAATCATGAGAAAGTCACTCAAACTCTTGTCCCTTCAGTCCCCATCCGAAATAGAGAGTTAAAACCTTGCCTTATGGGTGTTGAGAGCATGAAATCCAATAACAGGCACAAAATCCTAACCTGCAGCAAGGACAAAGCTACAATAAGGATCTAATACTGAGACAGATCAAACATTTTAGATAGGCTGCACTAGATAAACGACATTTTGTAAGTTTAAATGGGATAAAATGCATCACATTAGATTAGGTTGATAAATAGATTTAGGAGTAAGAGGGAGAGGATAGCCTTGTGAGCATACAGAAAGGACAAGATTTAATATTTCTACAGTGTAACTTGTTAATCAATTTAGTAAACAGATCCACTAATTCAGATTCTTTATATGCACATTCAACCTTTAAAAAAAAAAAATAGTAATTCTCTGCAAGTGCCAGGACAGCTCCCTTGGAAGTGCTAGGACCAACAACAAAGCATGAATAAACCTAGTCAATGCAGATGCACTTTCCAATTAATCTCAGACATTTACCAGTATCACATTTCTCCTTCTAATCCCTCTGTGATTAATCATTTGCAGCAGAGATCACATTCCCATCTGGGTATTTCTGAGCATGATGAAGGCAAAGTAGCGGCACTTGTAATTTTACTTACGTCTTTATTCATTCAAATTTTCACTGTTTTATGCGTGGGGGAAAGAGGGACAAGTGCACAGACCTGTCAGATAATTCACATAAATCAAACCACCACCCAGGAATCAACACACGGCCATGCAGCCAATCAAGGCTTCCTACCCACTCCTGTCCTCACTGCTTTCAGTCTCTGCTGCTTCCCCACGGACAAGCGAGCAAGTCCCTTGCAGTGGGAACAATCAGAGACTACTCCAGTTCCTGCTGGAGTAGTCTGAGGTGGTGCTCATCAGGAGAGTCCTCGGGAGATGGGGGAGTCCTGATGGAGGTGCCGTCATTCTCTCGACCTCCTGCGATTCTCTGTGCTGTGCTGATGGGTTGGTTTCACGATGC